GATAGCCCAAAACTCCTTCTTCATATATATTTGTTATGAAAGTTGTTAGGCCCAAAGAAGATGAGGCCTAGGCAATTTTTTTTTTCGATTTTTTTTTTCAAATTTTCGAATTTTTGAATTTTTGGGCCTAGGCAATTTTTTTTTCAAATTTTCGAATTTCCGAATTTTTGAATTTTTGAATTTTCGAATTTTTGAATTTTTGAATTTCCGAAATATATATATATATATATTTTAAAGCTTTGTAGGTGAAGCTTTGGTGTTGAAGCTTTGTAGGTGAAGCTTTGAGGTTGAAGCTTTGTTGGGCACCATGAATTGATTTTGCTTCACATTATCTTGATCAAGATAGTGTGAAGCTTTTGTAGGTGAAGATTTTGTATTGAAGGTTTGTAGGTGAAACTTTTGTGGGTCAAGCTTTTGTGGGTCAAGCTTTTGTAGGTGAAGTTTTTGTGGGTCAAACTTTTGTAGGTGAAGCTTTGTAGGTGAAGCTTTTGTGGGTGAAGCTTTTGTGGGTGAAGTTTTTGTAGGTTAAGTTTTTGTGGGTCAAGTTTTTGTGTTGAAGCTTTTGTAGGGCCTCGTATAAGTACTCAGGGAACTTAAATGTAATTATGTAATAAAGGAAGGGGCAAATATGTAATAAGTGAGGAATTCTTATTCTATAAAATGACCCATCATCTTCACAATTGGGAAGGTCTCATTCTCACCCTCAGAGGCTATTTATGGAGCCTTCTCACCCCTCTCACATCTCCTCTCATTACAGAGGTTCTCTCCCTCACCTCTCAGATAAATACATAATCAGTGTGGACGTAGCCCAAACCTTGGGGTGAACCATGATACATCTTGTGTTATTTACATTTCACGCAGATTCACGGTCGGATTTACGTTGTTCTAAGACCTCCGGTTTTGTGCATCACCAATATATACAAAAAATTATAATTTTTCGTAAATGATAATTGACTTGGCTCGTTTAAACAATAATATTTACATATTTGAAAATAAAATTTTCGCAAATAAAAAAATAATTCGTTACAATCACAAAAACAAAATTGCACACGTAAGTTCCGTCTCGCTGTCCATACTCCATGCAATAACGGTGGCACAGATGCACCATTTCCGATTTGTCTTTTGCTAATGGCGACTAAGGACATGAATTATAAGTCAAAAGCAGCACAATCAATTTATTTAAGGGAGTTTTAACGAAAAACTCACGGTACTGTTCACTTTAACGAAAAACCACATTTTTACACTAAAAAGTCAAACCTAGTACTATTCACTTTACCCTTTATTTTGTCTTTATTATTAAAACTCAAAGTTTTCAAACTCTTTTCATTAATTTTCCTTTTATTTAAGTCGATTGGCTACCTTCGTTCGATTTTGTGCTTTGAGCCATATCAAAATGGGTTCGGCCTTTTCTCTTAAGAAAGTTGTGATGTTAAATGCTTCACACACGTGTCAGTCATTAAGATTAACTCAGGTGGCGAACGGAGCGTAAAAACAAAATAAATGTTGTATAAATTTGGACGGATTGTGAGGAAGCTGAAAATGTGTTATTTTGTATTTTCTACAATTACATTAGACATACGGTTGTTTGAAAAGTATAATCCCAGCATTTCCAAACATGGGAATGAACATTTCTCGTCCTCCCCCCTAAAAGTCCCTTCGTGATGTTTGTGTAGCTAAGACTTGAGGATAATTACATCTTATGAACTTTAATTAGTTGACTCTATCCCAAGTTGTCTCTATGATATTTTTAGGATTAAACCTAAACCAACCTTTCCTCTCAATTTCCTAAACTCAAGCATTCTGTTTCGCATCCTTCCAATGACTTCCTTTCGAAAACTCCATTGTTGTTTTCTTAGGAAAGAAACATCAAAACCAAATAACATTGTGGGAAAAAAGGGAACCCCTTTCGAGTTCAAACCAAAAGGGGCCTAAAAGAAGAAGAAAAAACCACAGAAAACCATGGAAACAAGTTAACATTTTGCAAATTTGCAACCTTGTTTCCCAATAGTATTTTTGATGTGAGTCCTCCTCATGGGAAGAACAATTCCCACGGATGAGACGAATCTGCTAATCCATCCGTTGCTATCTTTGTCTTTCTTTGCCGCTGCCATGGCCGCCACCATTGCCATAATCACGTCTCTTTGTAGTTTTCGGAGAAAATCTTCTTCGTCCTCTTCTGAGTCCCCTGCTTCCAAGGAAGCTGAGGAATCCGATGTTGGCAAGGCGCAAACATCGGAAGCAGCATTGGGGGAAACAGGGAACAAAACATCTCAACAAGACACGGAAGCAAATAGAGGAAATGATGATTCGAGAATGAGTAAAGAGCTGCCCTTGCCTCCAAGGATGAAGAACTCGGGACAACTTTATTCCGGCAACCTTGACACAAAAATTCAAATGAAAAAGTCCGCTTCCGAGCGAAGGTTATTGTCGAATTTGAGCCTTAAATTGCCGCGAAGCTTGTCGATGGCACGAAAAGACAAGGTTAAAGAAGAGTACAACAAGCGAAAGAACGGAAAGTTGAAGTCGGAAGACTCAGTCTGGATGAAGACAATCATACTAGGTGAGAAATGTAAAGTGCCTGATGAGGATGAAGCTGTGATTTATGATGCCAAGGGGAGGAGGATTCCGGCTTATCACCCGAGAAGTCGGCAATCCTCCTTCATTGATCCCAACGCATTACTGGACCAAAATATGAAGAGAGTAGAATTAGAAAACAAAATTAATCAAGAGGCAGAGCACAAACAAGAAAACAAAAACCAAGAAAGCGATCAAGAAAATAATCATGATGATAATTAAGGACACATGTAGATTTTGTATCTTAATTATTTGTTTATCTTGGAGTGTATAGTTTCATTGGTTTGTTTCGTTTTCAATTTGATCATGCGGCTGAGGTTTTTTTTTTTTTTGTTTTTTTTGTTTTTGTTTTGTTTTTGTGTGTTTTGTGATGATAAAGAGAATGAGAAGCTTCTTCTTTTTGGTGCTGCTAAACAGATGAAAGCTTGTTGGTTTTCTGATGGATTAATTGTGAACATGACTGGATAATCATAATTATTATTTTAATATTATTTCTAGGATATTTGAGAATTTCTAAATTGAATATAAAAATAGGGTTTCAATAAGATTTGAACATGATTTAAAACAACATATGATCAAACGACCTGATACAATGTTAAGATTTTAGATAGACGGTACAAATATGAACTTACATAGTTGAATTTCCCAACCCCCGTTGACAATGAATTAAGAAGTAAGATTTAGAATTGATCCCAAAAGTTAACTAAAAAGTCTTATTGAAGGTTTGAAATTAAAAGTCTTATTGGGATTGAAATCTTTGATGTTTGTATCATGCCAAGTCTCAATAATCATGTTGCCTCAGTAGCAAACAAGTAAACACATGTACACATGCAACACAGCTCAAGCCTCAATCTGCATTTCCAATCAATTCCTCAAAGTAAACAAGAGCAATTTATATGAAACGAGTCATGTAATATTATAATCTAATAATATAATCAAGGTCGAAGACACTAAGGGAGCGTTTGTTGCGCCGGACTATCTCGGACTGGATTAGCTTCAAGGACTAAGCTGGACTGGCTTAGACTAGACTAAGCTGGACTAACTTAGTGAAGCGTTTGGTGCAGTGTTGGATTAAGAAGCTGGATAATAACAAATTCTAATATTATATTATTTAATATATAAATTATTAATATTTTATTATGATCTAGGTGACCGGAGATGACGAGGAGTCTATCGGGAGTGGTTGTTGAGCATGACGAGGACGAAAGAGGATAGTCTTAGCTAGTCCCATGGTTATTGGGGGGTCTCGCTAAGACCTCTTAGTGAAGGGTTTTGTCCATGCTAGTCCCCTTTAGTCTCATTAATGTTAGTCCCAGCATGGAACAAACACGGTATTGGACTAACAGCTAGTCCAGTCCAGTCCAGTCCCACTTAGTGAGGGCAAACAAACACCCCCTAAGGGACTAGAGTGGGTCCGCGCTATCCTGACTATGATATAAAACAAATTTCGGCAACCTTAACTATGAGACATGAGGAAGATGGATTGTTCCTTGTGAAGAAGTTGAGTCAAATCTCACGTCGTCGTCTTCTGATTCTAACATTTTGTTGTTATATCTTTGTAGTTTGATGAAATGATTATTTGATTCTTTCTATTAAATTTAATAGGTCTTTCAGTTTTGTGAAGATTACTTTGATTCCTCATGTTATGAGTTCAACTTTTTTTCTATACATATATGAAAGGCCCTCCCTCACATAGAATCCTGGCTCAACCATGGAATATAATATATGTTGGAAAACTTACACATATCATTATTTTATTGAAACGAAATTGGCTTCGTGAAAAAAAACCAATTCCATGTAAGTCATTATACAAGTGAGAAGATATTGAAAGAGTTGCCTTAACATTTCTCTTCTTTTATACCTAAAACAAGAAAAACTCTATTGTATATGGATAGGCCTGATATTTTGGACCCAACCCGTTAACCCGACCTGACCCAACTCGTTAATATTTGTATTTGGGTGGATGCTTAAAGGGTCGGGTCACTAACGGGTGAACCCGTTAACAACCCGATAAATAACGGGTCACTTTGGGTCAATCCTTTTGACCCGTTAACACCCGTTAGCACCCGTTAGTTGATGATATTTTAGTAATTTTAATAAAGTCTTAATAATAAAAAATAAACTTTATGCCAAAAAAAAAAAAAATTTAACGGGTGTTAACGGATGAAACGGGTGACTCGTTAGCTTAACGGGTCGGGTTCGGATGACCCGTTAGCTTAACGGATTGGGTTCGGATGACCTGTTAACTTAACGGGTAGGGTTCAACCCGACCCAAACCCAATAAACCCGACCCGTCTATATACGGATATCACCAGAAGGTACACCTAAAAATCCACGTGGACAAACGCTAGTTGTGGATCAGTGTAGTCAATGTACCCAATTCCACCCAATTCCGCGTTGGACAGAAGGAGAGAGACGGAAACAGAGGAGATAGAGGTACGTAACTGTCGAAAGAAGGTTCAGAGAAAGTCCGAGGAAACCTCTCCATCTCCTTTCTCCTTCCGAAAGGGGAACGGGCACTTCATTCATTCATTTGGAACGTCATTTGACCATAAAAAAACATTATTGTTTTTGCTAAATTCCAAATCTTTGGTGCCCGTTCTCCTTTCTGACCCAAATCCAATTCCAATTCCAATTCATGGTGGGGTTTTGAATTCCCTCTTCGATTCCTTTTCCTCCACTTCCGGTTCACAAAACCCACAAATCTGATTCCCTTTTTGCAACCAAAGGCTGCGGCTTTCGATTGGAGGGAATTTTGGGTCCGTTACCGGAGGAGAAACCTTTGATGGGTTGTGTGTGATTTTCGATTTCGTTCATGTTTTGTGAGTGTTTGATTTTAGGAGTTTTCGATAGTTTTCGGGTCGGTTTTTATATGGGTGTTTGATGGGTTTGTGATTAATTTACTTGAGCATTGCTGTAATAATTGGAGAATTTGAGTGTTTCCGTGGTGTGGTTGCTCGGTCAGATTGGTATCCTTGAATGTATCTTGCTATCTGTGCGGTGGAGGATCGGCTTCTGAGCGTGCCCGACTCGAATCTGGGTGTTCTCAGGCCGTTTTACCTGCCCATTGAGCAAAAGGCCGTCAATTTTTGTTTTCCGAGAGATAGATGGGATAAGGAGTTCTTCAAGTTGCAGAGCGGATAATAAATTACCTGTCGAATTTACGAAAAGTTTTGGCTTTGGTGGTTGTTTTGTTTCAAGAAATTTGAGATGGGTTCGACGCAGAGATCTACCTTGTCAACAAATGTGGCGGAATTGGTTGATGCTTCGCAATCAGCCCGCCAAGAGGTTTCGTACATTGGTAGTATGCCGGTTTATGTTAGGGAGTTCATTGCCGGGGGCGCTGCTGGAGGATTCGCGAAGACTGCGGTTGCGCCGCTGGAAAGGACCAAGATACTCTTGCAGGTGAGGCATTTAACAAGCTCCATTTTTCTAGGCTAATTAGTTTAGTATATAGTGAATGGATGTTTGAGGAATATTTTCATTGTGAATGATTCTGCTCGGATATGTTTCTATTGCCATTTTCGTCACGCTAGGCAGCGCGTTGTTATGTGCTCAGTTTCTGCATTTGTTTTCATGTACTTCTAGACAAGAACAGAGTTCCGTTCTCTCGGAGTGTGTCAATCTCTGAAGAAGTTATTTCAGCATGAAGGTGTTCGAGGATTCTACAAGTAAGTTGGATGTGAACAATCAATTTTTAAGTTTCGTTATCAAACTTTATACATGTCGCCATAACAATTATTCTTGAACTTTCTTGTCTGTTTTTTTTCAGAGGAAATGGAGCTAGTGTCGTTCGAATTATTCCCTATGCAGCCTTACATTACATGACATATGAGCAGTACAGGTGTTGGATCTTGAACAATTATTCTGCTTTAGGTTCAGGGCCTCATATTGATCTTTTAGCCGGTGCAGCAGCTGGAGGGACAGCCGTTTTATGCACGTACCCCTTGGACCTAGCTCGCACCAAACTTGCTTATCAGGTCATTATCTTGAATATATCTTGTTGGTACCTTTTTCTTTATATCAAATCAATTTTTGTAATTGTTCATTGATTCGTTGTTTAATCGCTTTGTTATGATTTGTTTAGGTTGTTAATACTAGAGGCAACTTTGATTATGGTATGAAAGGCGCACATGCTCAAGTTGCTTATAAGGGCATAAAGGACGTGCTTTCAAGTGTTTACAAGGAAGGGGGCTTGCGTGGGCTCTATCGAGGTGTAGGTATGTATCTCATAGCTGAGTGTCCTGCTAAGACTTTTGCTGATATGAAGTGCCGTTTGTTCTTACGTGATGCAATATAATGGTCAAGCTAATGTTAACTTGGAGCCATTTCTGCTTGATCAGGCCCAACACTCACCGGAATACTCCCTTATGCTGGTTTAAAGTTCTATATATATGAGGAACTTAAACTCCATGTTCCTGAAGAGTATGAAAAGTCCATTATGATGCGTCTTTCCTGTGGAGCTTTGGCCGGGTTATTTGGGCAAACTCTGACATACCCCTTGGATGTCGTTAGGAGGCAAATGCAGGTATTGCTTTGTCAATATTATCATAATTTTGTTAAGTGTTGGTTCGTGTTGCTATATTCTGCTTTTTTATGTTACATTTTTGCTTGGAATTGAAATTTGTTGCAATAAAAAGCATGGGGTCAAGGTTATATGACATTATAATTTGGATTACAGGTTGAGAATTTGCGGTCTTCAGATCATGGCGGTGTTAGGTACAGAAACACAATGGCGGGTCTTAAATATATCATCCGAAACCAAGGATGGAAAAAGTTGTTTTCAGGCCTAAGCATTAATTATATGAAGGTAATTTCTCATTCTCTGTGTCAAATTAGTAAACTGAATTTCAGACACGATCGAGTGTGTGTAGTTGCAAGGATAAGTTCTTGTTTCTGGGTCCCTGTTGATACTTCGAATAGGTTTCCTTCTTTACGCATTTCTTAAAGGTCGAGTTTACAAGAGTTTTGGCCATGATCGTCCTGCTAACAAAAGATTTTTACCGTGTTCTCAGATCGTTCCTTCTGTGGCAATCGGTTTCACTGCATACGACACGATGAAGGTTTGGCTCCACATTCCGCCCCATCAGAAGTCCAATCAATAACTGCTGCTGCATGACTGGAGATTCAGAATGTGTAAACTTACAAATTCCACCCAATAGTTAGAATTTGATGCTAACAGAGGCATTGTATCTCTCTTAATCATAAGAGATGATTTTACCATTGTTATTGAAAATTGGATTTCTACATATGCTTTTCTTTCACTCTTTTATTTATTTAATTTTTTGACGAATTTGTGACACCATTTTTTTACGCAACTTTTGACACATCTTTTGGTGGAGCCTATTTTACAATGTATTTTAATGATATGAACCTTCTTATCTTTTAGAAGTCATTCATAAATCATCCTTACAAAAAATTAGACAAATCTAAAACAATTAAGACATTCATTTGTAGTGAAGAAAATCAACATACGTTTTTGCAAAGAAATCCTAAGCCCTTAATTCAACGGTCATATAGTTTCGGATTTTAGTGATTTTTTAGATAAGAAAATAGACGGTTTAGATCATTGAAATACATTATAAAATGTGTTTTACAAAAACATATGTTAAAATTATGTGAGAAAATAGTGTCACGGATCCATCCATTAAATATATATATTTGTTTTGATAGGCAGGAACTGCTAATGTCTTTTTAAATTTCTAGTTGATAGGTATGAATTGGGCCACAAAACCTACCACTTTTATTCAAAGGAAATAAGCTAAATTAAAGAACAAAACCTCGAGGGCTACCAGGACAAAATGCATCGTACAACACCCACTTGGCAGGATAGGAAGAGGGACAAACCCACACCACCCGACTTGGGTCTCTCCTTGTGTTTGTTTTACCGATGTTAAAAGAAAAAAAATAAACTTCACAATAGATGTGTTGAAAACTTGAAATGTCACATGAGGAATTTTAAGGGCACCAAATTTTTTGGTGTAAAACTTCATGTAGTTCAGTAGGTTAAGAATATTCATTTCTACACGTTTAATTAAAAGCTCGATTTCTTCTTCTTCGTAGTCAACTTTCTATCGCTTGTCTTGACTCTTTCCTTGTAAACGTTAACTTTCCATCAACTAATATCGATTGTATATATCTCGACTAAATAAAAAGAAGAGAAATGCTAAGGAGACTCTCAAATTATGACTCTCTATGAATTCTATCATGCAAAAAATATAGGATGTAAGAGAATTCATGGAAATTCTACTTGATAGAATCTCTTTAGCATTTATCAGAAACGAAAATAGGTTGAATAAGTGATTGGAAAAGTCAGTCAGTGAAGCTTCAAAGGTTATTTACTTGCATCTCAGTTCGATGATTAATGATTGGAAAAGTCGGTCAGTGAAGCTCAGAGGTTATTTCCTTGCATCTCAGTACGACCAACTTTAACTTTTGAAACCAATATGCAGAGCCAGAACCTGGTTTGCTAGTGCAGATTAAGGAAGGAATCTCCGAAGAAATTTTGATTTTTGGATTGATTTGCATGTTAGATCTGAGCTTAATCTTGAGCACATGAATCATTATGCTTGATGGTTGTAGTTAATTGAAGTGTTTTTTTACAAGCGATAGGATAATCCACTCTAAATTCATCTAAACTACGGGAAGGGCAATTCAAACTTTGGTGCAAAGTCGTCAGTATTAGTCCTCGGATTTTGATTGAAGTTGTTTGTGTTTCCGTTCATGTAAATAGAGAGCTTAATGGATTCTTGTACAACCATTATTTACAGTAATTAACATTTGATTAGCTGATTTATTCATTCTGTAATGGTGCTATGTGGTCCATTATTATGCTTGATGGGTCTGATAAAATAAGTTTAATAATTGCTAGGTCAATAAGCTCATAAACTTGAGACTCTACAGAGCCAAAACTTAAAGCATTTGAGCATACATTTCAAAATTCAGGCTCAACCTCTTTGATGGATAGAAATCGCGAAACAGTGCGGGTTAGTCAGCTCGATGCTGCAGCGACTAAGATTCAGAAAGTCTATAGGGGTCACCGGATCAGACGTAACCTTTCGGATTCTATAGATCTGCTTGAGGGACTATGGTTGGTTTGTACCATAAAAGTTCGAATTTTTTCTGTGGTGTACAACTAATTAATTGTTTGTTATTTTATTGTATTTGTGTGACAGTGGTAGGTGCAAGGACTTAGGCTTTGCAGCTCCGGAACGAAGCACAGAATCCTTAAATATTGAGAAGCAGGAAACTGCTGTGTCACGGTGGTCGCGGGCTATAGGATAAGGGCTGCCAAGGTACTTTGTCGACATCAACAAGATTTCTGAGATATGCTTTACGGAGATTTCCAATTTAAGAGAAAAACTTTTGTCGTGTTTGTAGATAGGGAAGGGTTCGGGCAAGGATGACAGGGCTCAGAAACTAGCTCTGCAACACTGGCTTGAAGATAGTTACTATCACCCGTCTGAAGATAGTTACGAAGAATTTCTTAGCTTCTTGTGGGACCACCAAGTAGACCTAACCAATGTCAAATCATCAGGCCTCATTAGCTTCTGGGATCAACAGCACCAAGTAGGCAACCTAACCAATGTTGAATCACCAAAGCTCACACCGGACACCCATGTAAGTTGTCTACCAGTCCCTTCGCCACGAACAAGCCCAAAGATCTGGCCTTTTTCGTGCATGAAGTTTATATTATACTTGATGTATTTCTGTTCTCTTTTGTAGGTTATATCAGGAGAGTGGACCTTTTTAATCACCGCCCTCTGCCTAGAGATTTTGTCAATTTCTTTTTATCAAGCTGCCTCCCCAAGTAAGCCCCGATATGCACTATTTGGTATGATATTGGCTATTGCAGCTCTACTCATTTGCATCTGGGAGCTCGTTTACAAGGGTAAAAAGGAAGGAGTTGTACTGCGGCGGTGGGGAAAGTACTTGTGGTGGTTTTATTATCCGCATTCCACCCAGCTTTTTGGAACTCTTCCCGACTTTTATGGATTAATTGGTAGCACTATGCAGTGTTTTTGCTCGACAGTTCAATATGTTTGGTTCTCTCAACATGCTGACAATCCCATCAAAGTTTCCCTTTGGCCTGCAATATTTCTTGTATGCTTGGGTGCCAAAAGGTTAGCTGAGATCAAAATGAGAGCAATGGACACGGAGATTAGACAAGGACTAATTGTGATTGAGCGAGCAGATTAAAAAGGTTCGTGATGGTTGAACCTGTGACTCTACGACTAACATGGGCATTCAAGTTATAACGCCAATTCGTCTCAGTTATGTGATGGCTTGTATGTTGTTTCTTATGTGTGCTACTTTTAGTTTGTAGTATAATTAGTTTTGCTTCAAACTGATAATACAGCAAAATGATGATCGCGGTCTGTAATTATACAAACTTATGTTTCAGGTTTTACCTTATACATGGATTTGAAGTGATTAATCTTTGCTGATAATTTAATCTGCAAAACATTCTTGGATCTCGAAACTTTGTTCTTTGATTGTAACATTTAGATTTTCTGGTTAAACTTTGTTGTTGTACTGTTAGGTACAATAGCACACTGGAAGGACTTAAATTTATTCCACTGGAGTTATAACGGGCTTGTTTTTTGTCAATTCTGGACTCTGAGTGTGTGCGCGTGTGTATTCAATCAAATTTCTACTTGTCCAAGCAAAGAATGCTGACCAAAACAATGCCTCTTTTGCATCATTGGTATCGATGTTTTAGAAGGCGAAGATATAAACGAAGCGTTTCATGAATAGTCCCGTCTAGACGAAAGCCTCGAGGTGTGAGGTGCCTCACAGGACTTAAGATGTTTAGTATATATTGTATATAATTACTTTTTCTTGTTGGCCAATCACTTTTTTAAGCAAAAAATATTATAAGGTTACAAGATGTTTTTATAAAGGGAAAATTTTTGAAATGTCATATGAACTTGTATACATTTTTAATTTGTCATATAAATTAAAATTTTAAGCAATTTGTCATATCAACTTTCCGAAATCATTAATTTGTCTTCTCACCCCAACTCCGTTATGTTTTCCATCAAATACAAGTCATGTGCAGAGTTATTTCAGTCATTTTAGCATCTTTTCACAAGTTTTTTTTACTTTTCCTTAGTACAAAAACTTAAATTTTGTGTTAGTGGGTATTCACGAGGATCATTGTGAACAAAATCTTTGAGAAAGTATAGCGTAGCAACAGCTACGCTCCTTCTATGGCTTTAGAAAACCTAGAGTTTTTTGTGGAATATAACTTAATAAAAGGGAAGTGAAGTGTTAGAATGACCCAATACCCTAAACACAAGTCATGTGCGAGACACATGTCGCACATGACTTGTATTGGATAAAAAACTTAACGGAGTTAGGATAAGATGACAAATTAATGATTTTAAAAAGTTGGTATGACAAATTGCTTAAAATTTTAGTTTATATGACAAATTGAAAGTTGTGTACACGTTCATATGACATTTCAAAAAATTTCCCTTTTATAAAAGGCAACTGTTATTAGCACCCAAAAAATCTCATTCTGCACTCCTATTACAAACATGTTTTATTTTTAGTCTCTTGAAATCTATAAAATAATATTTTGAGGAAAATCTAATAAAAAAAATATGTTGGGAGAATATATTGGGGAATATGCTGAACACTTGGGAAATATGTTGGAAAACTAGTGAATAACTATCAATGGTCAGTTTAAAGAGGAAAAAAATAACGAAAAATCCGCCAAAAATATAATAAAGAAAACGAAAAATCAGCAAAAGAAAACACTCCAAAAGACGCAGTCTTCTTCAAGACTTCATCATCTTTTCAAAGTGCTCTACAACTAAAACTTTCAGATTTTAATTGAAAAATTTCCAGATTCTAACTTTTAAACAAACAAAAAACGCCTTAGGCATGCCTCATCCGCTTTGGCATGCGTCGATCACGTCTAGGCAAGTTTTTGCCTACTCCCACTAGGCAAAGACAGTTTCACCCCCGTCTCGCCTTTGAAGTCGCACAGGCACACATCAAGGCAGGTTTTTAAAACACTGATTGGGGTTGTAGATTATATAATCTATAAAAAGGGACTTAAATTATCATGGAAAGTTTGGATGTTGACCTTAAATTGACCAGTTTCTGATTATCAAAAGCTGTTTCGTCATGTCGCGTTTGGCAGAATTAAAGGGTTTTTGGATTCTTTCTAAGTGCTGTCCAAAGTCAATCAGTCAAGCTCAAAACAAGAGTGAAACAAATTATAAAGGGATGTGCTATTCACACATTCTTTTTTACTTCTCACACAACATTTGTTAATTTATATCTGTTGATTTTCTTCAATTTATCTAATCCGACGGCTGAAAATTAAAAGGATGTGTAGATATCACACCCCATTATAAAGGAGGCAGATTCTCTGCCCAATGACATTCTGTACCCTCCTGTTTTTTTATGGTCACGGACTCACGGTTAAGTCAGTCAATATTTTATATTATTTTTTATACAGATAATAAGATAAAATGAATAATAATATAAAATGTTGACTGACGTGGCTTAATCGTGACCACACAAACAATTGAAAGTGAAAGGCAAGAGAATCTGCCTCCAGTTATAAACGCGTAAACAGTATTATTATCAATCATGCAGCCGATATAATTTGACTGGTAAATCTTGTCCAATTTCTTCGATCTTTCTCTTCAACTTCGTTGAAGCCAGTGATCAATGGAGCGGGGATTCTGAAGGTATTTTGGGTTATTGATTTGCATGTAAGATTCATCTTAATCTTGATCTTAATATTAATTACCATTTAGTTACCTTATCTCAATCTCTAATTCTCTTGTAGCTATGCGGTCCATTATGCTTGATGGGTTGTAGTTGATTCAAGTGTTTCTGTGATACCTTATTTTGACAATGCGACATTTTAAACTGCTCTAATCTTAAGGGCAGGAGGATTTGAACCTAAATACAAGGAGACGGGAATTTAGTCCGCTGACCAACTGTTCTAATTCACGTCTACGTGTTGCCTTGATTCCTAGCATGAACTGAATTGTGTGGTGCTGGTCCTGCTGGACTGATAAGAGCAGGTTCAATCGTTATTGAGTCACAGGCCAAAATGCTTCAATGATTGCAAAATTTATGGATTGAGATACTGAAGACACAAGCTTTTTGGTTGAATGGGCATCACAGAAACAGTTATGGCGAAATCCATGAGCTTTGAAAGAAAAGAAGGAAGAGACCATTCAGAAACTAATAGCAGCTCCAATGGCTCTGATAAAGTTTACATAGAAAGGTCAACAAACTTCAAAAATTGGGTATCCACAGAACCGAAAATTGAAGCATCTGATTCAATATTTGAGAGTCCTGATTTAACCTCTTCGATCGGTAGAAATGGTGAAGTAGTGGAGATAAACAAGCCTACAATTTTGTTTCTTGAGCGCAATGCGGCGGCAACTAAGATTCAGAAAGTTTACAGGACGTACAGGACTACACGTACCAATGCTGCGGCAACTAGGATTCAGAAGGTTTATAAGCGTTACAGGACTAGACGAAACTTTGCAGATTGCGCTGTTGTAGTTGAGGAACTATGGTTTGTAACTTTGTACCTTAAAAAACTATCTTAGATTTTTGTGACACTTTTGTTCTTTGCTGTTTGATTGATCTTTGTGTTTTTATGATTATTCAATGGTTGCACTTGTAGGTTGAAGGCCTTAGACCTCGGAGCTCGGAAACGAAGCTCAGAGGCCTTGGACATTGAGAAACACGAAACTATTGAGTCACTGCGGGCACGAACTAGGGCAAGGGCTTCTGGCCAGGTACCTTTGGTGATAAGATTCAGAGTACTGAGAAGCATTTTATATATGGAAAACTTCAAATTTACATTAAACTTTTTATGTGTAGGCTGACAAACTAGAGCTGCAGCACTGGCTTGAATCTGTGAGTCTATTTTCCTCCAATTCAATTCTGTTTATTTCTCTGATTCGCACTTTCGTTGTTTTCCAAGAATCAATTTACTAGAAATGCAAACTACAAAATCAAAAGCTGTAATACGATGCAAACAAAGAAATATTACATAAGCAATTCATGCATTTTAAGTTGTTACTCGTAGACATTCGTTTTACGATTCCCATATTGCAAACTGGATGATGTTTCTTCGGAAAACTAAAATCAATGAACTTACCATGCTTCATCGCTTGATCTTTTCCCAGATTGATCCACGCCATCGGTACGGGCACAATTTAGAGTTCTACTACGATGTCTGGTGTGATTGCGACAGCAAGCAACCTTTCTTCTACTGGTAAGTATGGCCGAGAAAAATCTTCTTCCAGGATACTGTTATATCTCTAACATCATCGCTCACTTTGTTGCCCTTCCTGGAACTGAAGGTTGGATATTGGTGATGGTAAAAACATAAATCTCAGTAAGTGTCCGAGGACCGAGCTACAACGTCAGTGCATCAGCAATCTTGGACAACGCCAGAACAGCAGATATCTTGTACCAGTAAGGCCTTTTTCTAGTGCATTGAGTTTATGCTTTTGAGTATATTTCTTGTTAGATATCTTTAGAATTTAATCGACGTAATACTAATTTGTTTTGCAGACTATTTCAGTAGAATGGACATTTCTAGTCATTGGCCTCTGCCTAGAGATTTTGTCGATTGCTTTTGATCAGGCCGCCTCCCCAAGTAAGCCCCGATATGCACTATTTGGTATGACATTGGCTATTGCAGTTCTACTCATTTGCATATGGGAGCTCATTTACAAGGGTAAAAAGGAAGGAGTTGTGTTGCGGCGGTGGGGAAAGTTGTGGTGGTTTTATTATCCACATTCCGCCCAGATTTTTGGAACTCTTCCTGACTTTTATGGATTACTTGGTAGCACTTCGCAGTGTATATGCTCGACGGTTCAATATGTTTGCTTCTCTCATCATGCTGACAATCCCATCAAAGTATCCCTTTGGCCTGCCATCTTTCTTGTATGCTTGGGTGCAAAAAAATTAGTCGAGAAACGAAATGAGACCCATGGACACAAAGATTAGATGACAAAGTCTAATTGCAATCAAGTAGATTAAGCATGGACAACATTGATCAAATCAGAAGTGTATGTATCAAATTCATGATTTGTGTAACATGTGTTAATGAGCAAATAAGGATAGGTAACCTCAAGAATATCCAGAAAGAAACAAGAATTAACAAGAAATTTGTATTTCTGTATCTTTCTTTAACCTCCAAATGCACATGGCTTCTTTGTTTTAGTGAAGGCTTTTGACTATCCACAGTGAAAAACTTGCCCCATTGGCCGTTCTACAGCCTCTTGTTAATGGAGATATTCGTAAATCATCGGTTTGAGGAAGAAAGATACGTTGATCTTCAGAGCAAGAGCTGATGCTCTGAGAGAGAGAGAGAGAGAGAGAGAGAGTTGAGAGAGATGCTGAGTCTGATACTTTTGTAGACATGGAGCTGAGGGCCATACAATCAGAGAAGCCGGTCGAGGCAAGTGTTGAGACAGAGCAGACATTACTGGTGGATAATTTACTGGTAATTAACTCAAGTTTACATCCAACCCCGTTACACATATCCAATGTTAGCATGCGTCAAAAATTAAACTAAAATCGACAATTCTACGAGGGGTGTGCTATCCACACTCTTTATTAATTTATGTTCGTTGATATTTTTCAATTCATCCGATCCGACGGTCGAAAATTAAAAAAATATATAAGAAGTAAAAATAGATGTGTGGATATTACACCCCTTCTACGAAATAAAGCTGTACCTCAACTGGTTAAAGAGAGTTTAATCCTACCTCCGAACTCTTGTAAGTGGACAAGCGGGATTGGCCCACGTATTGAGAGTGTGAGGGACTACCCATCAGAGCTACAATCGCGACCTTAGAACAAGCTCCAGGGAAGTATTGCACCAAGTCAAATCCCTTCACAAAGTCCAGGCTCAAACTGTCTGCTCTCACCTAGGATGCTCCATGATGGGACTCCCTAGCCCCAACTACTTTTTCCATCCCTCGTGAAAACAAGGGAAAATCTGCACACTTTTCTTAAAGCTTGCATGTCACTTTTCTTTAAAATTAATGTGTTTTAAGTTTAAATTCTCATTTTTTTTAACATGAATTAGTATATACAATTATTTATAATTAAATAAAGTAATAGTTCTTTTGAGGGAAAAATATTTACGAACACCGTATGAACTAAATACTTTAATATTATATGTGCAACACGTACTTTCAATTTGATTACGAGCCTTCCTAATTTTTTTTTTTAAAACGATCCATTTATTCTCTGCTGTTGAATATGCGAGAGTTCATTTTGTCCTAACATAGAATGTGATTAATTTGACAGGTTGTAAAGCTTTAGAAAATTAAGACGACTCTAAACCAAATTGAGGTTCGAGCCACAAATTGACATAAAGTCATACAGTAAGGTCAGAAAGTCATACATTACGGGAGAGTTATCCACTTGATGTGGCATATGCCAATCACTTCATGGGGGCTAAAGGCCTAGGCTTTATACTATACCGACAGCTATTCATGACTCTGGCAAGCTCTCCTCATGCCACAAGAGAATCAAGGCGTTGCTCTCCGTATACCGTTGTTCTAAAAAGTTTCGTCTACTGTGGCCTAGATTCTGTCTAGTGCTGCTCACGCTGCTGCGTCTACGTTACTTTACTTGGATTAATTCTTATAAGTTTGAAAATTAAAAAAAAAAATACCTACATCATCTAAACCCGCTTAAACACCTGCATAGATCGCGATTCTCACTTAGATAGAAAATAAGTAATCTTCATTTTTTTCATTTTATTTATTTTAATAAATTATAAGAGACTTGTTAAATACGTAGATAAACACATATTATATATTTATTCCTTATGTTCTCATTATATTCTAATACTTTATAATCTATATATCATTTTATTTTACAGTTTATGTATCACAATAAAATTATGTATTCTTTAAATATAAGTGACACTTATTTATATGGTATATAATATATTTACTTAAATCTACCTAGGCCCCTACCTAAGCCCTGATTAGCCGTCTAGGCGTTAGACCCCAATTCGCCGTCTGACTAGAGCCTATCGTCTTTTAGAACCTTGCCACATACTTCTTTTTATCTCTCACACATACTTTTTTTTATCTCTCACACATCCTTCTCAATTTTCAATCGTCGGATTAAAAAAAATTGAAGATGAAATGACAAAAATTAACAAGGATTGTGGTAAAAGAAAAAATGAGTTTGTTGATAGCACTACTTAGGATTACAAAAATGTCTTCCAATCCAAATATTTGACATTGAGAATGAATCTCATATTGATGGAAGAATGGATCTTACGCTTATAATTAAGTTAAGTTACTTCTTACATTGCTAATTAATTTTATAGTAAAACATCAATTTCTTTCATTTGACACCCCTGAATCTCGTATCCATTCAATGTACAATATCAGTGGCATCTCCTTAGCTTATGATTGGTAAAAATTAATAAGAGTCTCTCTTATATATCCTGAAAATTTTCTTATTTAATGATCGAGGTGTAGGGATGACAATTATAACCGTTAAACCCGATAACCGTGGATAACTGTCCAAATAGAATGGATTTGGGTATATTCTGGATATGGGGAAAAACCGTTTATATTATTCGGTTATGATTTTGGATATGGTTATAGAGGTCCCCAAACCGTATCCATAATCGAATCCGACCCGATTAGTAAATAATATAATATATATAATATAATAGTATAATATATATATATATTTGTATATCCATTATTCACCGAACCATATTTTGTAGGAAAGTAAATTTTTGAATCAAAATCAATGTGAACTCAATGGTTCTTATGTGAGATATCAAAGACAAGCCAACATCATCAGTATTTTAATTTTTATACTTAACAAGATTCATTCATTAGATCATTTTATACATCAAATGTTTAATGACGAAATTAATATTTATTAACTTATAATGTCTTAACTGAATGAATATATTTTTTGTATTGATGAAGATGAATATACCCGTTAATCGATGGAGAATCCATTACCCTGTGAGTATGGTTATGGATAATACCCGATGGTTAATTTGCAGTTATAGATATGATTAATTTTCATGATTATGGAGATAGATATAGTATTTCCGTCTTCAAATCGAACCATTATCATCCCTAGCGAGATGTCAAATTGTTCGTACTATAAAAAGTATAATTCATTTTTCCATAGATATATATAACTAAAAATAGAATTGTCATACTATATAAAGGACCAACAACTTTTATAAAGGCGGGTGGTTGGCTTGACTGCAAAGAAGCGCCAAAATATTCATATCTACAAGGCAGGTAAACCAGCAGAGAATGAGCTAATCCAAGTCCTTTTTCTTTTTCTTTTTCTTTTATGTAAACATGTGTGGTCACAGAAATGACAACCGTGCTCATCCAATTTGCCTTAGTTTTAATTCTTTGGTCTCGCAAGTTGATCCAAGACTCTGAGATTGGGATTATGATTTTGCAGTACTACGCTGCAAAATTATGATTTTTATAGATTCTTCGTCTCTTTCAGTTTTTTGTTGTATCTGAAATTGTTACTGTGTAGTTTTGATCTTTAGTGGGGGAGGAGGATTTTCTTCTCTTCTCTTCCCTCTTACTTGAACGGTTACTATTAAATCATATTAACATCTTATATGAATTTTTATATAGAGATAATAAAATAAAAAACATAGTGTGAGAGGAGAGGGCGGAAGAAGATGAGAATATAAGGAGAGAAAAAAAAGACATGTCTTTTGTCTTAAAAGAACACTCGAAGACCTGTAAATGGAAGTTGTTTTATTGACAAAAAGCTATTAGCCGCAAGGAAATATATACAAATGGTTTAACAATTAAGAAACGTTAGACAAAAAATAATACGTATGCAAACGAGAGTTTAATATATTTTTTTCTATATTTGTTTATAAAATTTGTAATCAATTGTACTGGTGCGTATTTCTCAAGCTAACTAGTAAATGAAATGCATGGAGGCCCTTGTTTTTGTGGATGGACCCAAATATAGCATATGTATGTGTATATACCTACCCATATATAGATGAAGGATTTAATCTAACCATCATGGAAAGTGACACCTCGATTATTGAGATGATGATTGAGGAACATGGCATACGTCCTAAATTTACAACATAAAAAAATTGCTTTAGGAAACACAATAACAAGAAAAGATTTAATCAAAGGCAGCCGCAGATTTCATGACAAACTAATAATTGTTATAACTTTTTCAAGAATATTTCTACTACCGTTGTTTTTTGGCTTGGCCCAGTTTTCTTTCTTGAGATAGCTAGAAAGTAGGAGTACACTAGTATTTTTATATTAGACTAATGCGAGATATTTAAACTCGAATCTATAGAATAAAGCCTATTTATTTTAACTAATGGGATTACGCTGAACATTCTGGGAATTAAAAAACCCAAAGGTGAAAATATCCTTGATAAAATAGTACAGTCTACTAGTGGAAACAATACTATTATCAACCACATGCAACCCCACCTTTCTATAATATAGGTTCTTGTACAATCTTTCTCTTTAACTTCCTTGAAGCCTCCTTACAAATCCAACCAACTTTGATATCTCAAAACAGCTATGCAGCAAGAGGCTCTGCTTAGTATATATAAGCAGAGAGTAAGAGGAAGAGGGCTAGCTTCTGATTTCTGGACGGCCTTTGGTTTTTGGGTTTGCATGTAAGAAACAGCTTCGTCTTGAGTATCTTCCTGTATTTCATTTTTCGCACTTCGTTTGCTGCTTCTGTATCTCTCCCCTTGTTTCTGTCTCTTAATTTTCTTTTATTTGTTCATGTCATAAAAGAAACGGAGGGAGAAAATAGAAAGTGAAAATCACTTCCCTTTTCATTATGCTTGATTGGGGTTGTGCTTCTAATTTTGGATATGCATGCTTTCTATTTAAGTGCTTTTTCCAGTTGGGTTTTGTGCAGGTTCAATAACTTTTGAGTATTAAAATTGATGGTTCTCTCTCTTTCTCTAGTCTTATCAGCGTGGAATGAGATACTAATATTAACCGCAAGTTTTTTGGTTCAAATGGGCGCCAAACAAGGGGAGTTAGAAGACTTGGGAAAAGGGTTAGAAAGGTCAATAAGCTTCAATTATTGGGAATTTACACAATCAAAACTTGAAGCATGTGATCATTCAAAGCGTATAAATCATGAGACATTGCAGATAAAGAAACCTACTATTTTGCTTCCTGAACCGGTTACGTTGTCTACTGACTCTACTCCGCTGCCGGTGAGCGAGCTCGATGCCGCGGCAACCAAGGTCCAGAAAGTGTACAAGAGTTACAGGACTAGAAGAAACCTTGCAGATTGTGCTGTTTTGGTTGAGGAACTATGGTTCGCAACTCTACCACTATACCTTAAAATACTGTGTTGTATTTTTTCTTTTGTTACACTTTTGTTGCTTGGTGCTCCAATCAATCTTCTTTTACTGTGTTGTATTTTTTCTTATGTTACACTTTTGTTGCTTGGTGCTCCAATCAATCTTCTTTTTCTTCTTTCTTGTGTTTGTTTTATTTTTGAAGGTGGCAGGCTTTGGATTTTGCAGCTCTGAAACGAAGCTCAGTGTCCTTCTACAACATTGAGAAACACGAAAGTGCCGAATCGCGGTGGTCACGGGCTATGACAAGGGCTGCCAAGGTACAAATTTTGTTGATACATATGAATCAGATTTTGGGAGCAGCCTCTCCATAAATGGGGGTAAGGCTAGCCGACATTCACCTCTCTCAGACCTTGCGTAAAGCGGGAGCCTTGTGCACTGGGTACGACGACATATGAATCAGATTACTGATGAAATGTGTTTTACGGAGAAGTAAAAATTATTGATTTGTGTTTGTAGGTAGGGAAGGGTTTGTGCAAGGACGAGAAGGCTCAGAAACTAGCTCTGCAGCACTGGCTTGAAGCTGTGAGCCTATCTATCTACTTCTTATTCAACTTTGTTCATCAGCACTGTTCTAAGAATCCAAACTTATAATAGTCAGGCTGTTGACTTTTTTACGATCAAAACCAAACCAAACCGCCCAATACGATTTGAATCAACCGGTTTTTCATGCAATTCGGCCGGTTTGATGCCCACCCCTAACTTAAGCAAACATGCATACATTGCACATTGTAAATGCGATACATAAGATATTGGGTAGTGAAGCAGGTGGCTACCGACACACATGACCGGGATCACGGGTCTGTTGTGTGGGACATAATAGTCATTCACTGGAAAAGATATTTTATTTTTTCGGGTTACGTTTGAAAGGGGACTCGAACATTTGACCTAATATATTCCCAACTCATTTCCTCTCATTTATCCGATCACACTCAGGCTAACCGTGATGGATTTTTCGTCGAAGAATCGAGAAACTGAAAATCAATGAACTCACCATGCTTCATCCTTTTCTCAGATTGATCCCCGCCATCGGTACGGACACAATCTGCAATTTTACCACGATGTGTGGTCTAATAGCAAGAGCACCCAGCCTTTCTTCTACTGGTAAGTTTGCCTCACCCGAGGAATACCTTTTCCCATGATACAGTTTTACATAAGATCACCTTTTACTTTTACCACCATTTAGTCATTTACCACTAACACTATCCTACTAACCGTTTCTTTTTACCTCCTCCCCTGCAACATGAAGGCTGGATGTTGGTGATGGCAAAGACACCAACCTCAACAAGTGCCCAAGAAGTCCTTTGCAACGCCAGTGCATCCAATATCTTGGGCCTGTAAGGACTTACATTTGCATACTCATATACTGTAATTACTACAAATTAAAGCATTAGTTCTTCTTTGAACACGACGTCATTTCTTTAAAAAATGACGGATTGTCAATATGGTGTCAATAATTGACAGATATCACGTCAATAGCAAAATATATCAATGCAATCAGTACACGTACACGTTTTTATTTATTTATTTTGTTTCGCAGAAAGAGAGGGTGGCATATGAAGTGATTGTGGAGAATGGAAAGCTTGTGTACAGGCAAAGAGGAATGCGTGTTGACACAGTTGAAGGGTCAAAGTGGATTTTTGTTCTCAGCACATCAAGAGCGTTATATGTAGGGCAAAAGAAGAAAGGAACTTTTCAGCACTCAAGCTTTCTTTCTGGAGGGGCCACAACTGCAGCAGGAAGATTAGTGGCTCACAATGGGGTTCTTGAGGTACATATTTATCATTGTTCGATAACTATTTCGTTTAGTTTTTAGATTTTTATTTTTTGTTCTTTTTAACTGAAAACTTGTTTGGTTATTGTTTTCAACAAAAAATGAAACCTCAAAATCAAAACGAAAAGTTACTTAAGTTTTTAAAATTTGGTTTTCAATTTTCATTTTTTATTTATATAAATAAAATAATTATCATACGACTCCTTAATTCTTTTAAAATATAATGTTTGACACTGAGCTAAAATCTGCTTGTCTTTTAACTGGTTCGAGGCTATTTGGCCATACAGTGGTCACTATCTCCCAACTGAGGACAATTTCAAGGAATTCATCATCTTCCTGAAGGAGCACCAAGTGGACTTAACCACTGTCAAGGTAAAAAAATATCGAATCGACATTCATTCTTTATTATAGAACAAATTGATAAATATGATAATGATAAAGTGTTAAGTGTCTTTGTCGCCAACAAAACATAACGACAATGTTGTCGATACATTCTAAAAAAATATTCATGAACAGAAAATAAACGTCATGCACAAAAAATTTCCTATATAAAAATGGCTAATTTGTTCTCACTTTTCCTTGTGGTGGTATTTTAAAGATGTGTGCTACAGATGATGACAAAGCATCATTCACAGTTCCTTATGAGGAATCCAGTCTAGAGATTAATGATGACAATCCTGATAGGCCTAAAATCAACGGCTCCAATGGCTCGATTCCAATAGATCATCAACACGAATGGGTGGGGCCCAACATAGCCAATGCAGAAGGACCAGTATGTGACCCGTCCAGGCGTCTGTCTTGCAAGTGGGCAAGTGGGCTTGGGCCACGTATTGGGTGTGTGAGGGACTATCCAGTTAATCTACAGTGCAAAGCACTTGAACAAGTCAACTTATCACCAAAAGTTACACTGAGCCGGCGTGGAAGCTGTGCTCCAATCCCTTCACCTAGGCCATGTCCAAAGATCCGGGTCTCTCCTAGACTTGCCTTCATGGGACTCCCTACCCCGACGGTATTGGTTCGCGCTAATTCCGCCATGTGAGTTAAAGATGTAATTGGTTATATACAATCAGTTACTCAAAAAAATTTCTCCAGTCAAACAACTTGATACTCTCGTATGTACCAATCATATGGCATGAAGTTCAACCTTAAACAAGTAACTATCCGCCTCGTCTACAAGTTGAATTTGGCTGAGAGCACGGCTTAGGCAAAAAAAGTAGTGAATCAGACGCTACGGTAACATCTGAGACCAATATCGCATTTTGAATTCCTATCCCAATTCCCACATGTACCTAAGTTTGTTATTCTTTTATTGTTTTTTCTTTATGCATTTTGAAACCCAATATCACTAGGCTTTTTTTTTCTTCTTCGTTTTCACTAAGGTGGTGTTATATTTGTTGTCCTTAAAGATAGATTTTTTAATATCTTAAACACGAGACGAGACGGTACACATATGCTATAATATAAACAAAGAAACACTTAAAGAATATATCATGTTTTATTTATATTATGAGATATAATATGTCAATACAACACTTCACTTTGACAGTGGAGATAAATAACGTCACGTCAAATGATGTTTCCCCTCACTGTATATTTATGAATATTGTGAAAACAGCTTCCTCATCTCTCTTTCTCTGAGCTTTATGCAGAAGACATGATGATTCAATGACAGACTCAGTTACCCACTTATTTATTAGGGTAGATGATCATACTAACTCCATCTCCATGTATTTATTCCGAAACACAAAAATCAGAAATTAATTCGCAAAAAATAAGAAGGAATTGTTTAAAAAAATTTAAAACAGAAAAGAAGGAATCCAATGTGGAATTTCTTGTTGAAGAACAAGAAAGAACCTTTTTCCTGAAAGTCGATTAATTTATTCAGAAAATTAGGAAAAGATTTGGAACTTTGAAATCTTGATAGGAAGGAAGCAGAGACAAGAGTGTGGAACCTCGATGTCAACGACTGACAAAAACATAAATGGTCTGGTCCGATACGGTTTGGTTGGTATTTGTTTGGTTATCTCGAAATCGAACTTGAATAGTCAACTGAATATGCTTTTTTTTTTTAAGGATGTGCTATCTATACCATTTTTATTTCTTACACACCTCTTATTAATTTATGTTTGTTGATCTTCTTTAATTCATTCTATTTGACGGCCGAAAACAAAAAAGTATGAGAGAAATATAAAGGGATGTATGGATATCACACTCTTTTATTTAAGAGTAATTATAGGGAGATTAAATTTTGTAAACTAAATAACATGTAAGTTGATAATTTGATTATTATTTAAACGTTGATATACGTGCTCATTAACTATTGGTGACACATCATTTAGTCTACAAATTTAATCTATCACTCTTTCTCTAAACTAATGCTTCTTTCTTTCCCAAATCTCTTCACTGTACTTGCCCGGTTTCATAAACAGTTGATGGCCATCAATAACAATTGCGATCTGTTTGGTATTGCGTCTGAGTAACGCCTCATGTTTTTGTACGGTATTTTATCATGTTGGTATAAAAATTGACGTTAAATTGTGTTATATGAGAGAATTCATATAGATAATTGACGTTAAATTGTGAGATGTCGAAAAGTTAATAAAGAATCTCACTTTTGAAATACGTCCCTTAGCACACAACTATATGTCACTTTGAATTCGAATTATTAGTAATAAACAATTAGGAGTCTGAGACAATTTGAAAGTTCTAGGATGGGTACTAATTTAACCTAGAGGGGGTGAATAGGTTCCAATTTAAAAATCCAATACAATTTTCAATTTAATTTTCAGTTCTCAAATTAAATCCACATTCACATCACATATCAAACTATCATACTCATATGCAATTAAAACGATAAATAAAAAGTGCACACATGATGTAGGATTTAACGAGGCAAAACCCACCACTGGGAAAATCCTCGGGCTCCCAAGCCAGGACAAACACTAAGAGAAATAAGTACAGAAAGACTTACAAAACTCATCAACTAGACACGCATACTAGTAGGCAGTTTTGTCTCCACGCTTTGCTACTAGATCTCTCTTCAGCCTTCGAGTTGAAGTGGCACGACACTAACGCGGCCGTCAATCACTGTCGCCTCGAACTTTGCAGGATACTAACGCGATCATGCAGAATGTTTATATGATGAAGTGTTTATTTGAAAAACAATCAATTACGAAAATCACAAGGCACATTTTCATAATTGACATTCAATTAAAACCTTAAATGAAAACAGCATGAAAATAATATTTTCTCTTTAAAAACGCACGATGTTGAAACCACAAGATAGCATAATAAAAATAATTCTTTCTGCCAAAAAAAAAAAAAAACAAAGCTACTGCCTTTTGATGTTTTTATCTAAGAAACCAATATTCATGCATATGCGGCAGCAGCAAGGACAACCCTAAATTGATCTAATGCATGCTGCAAACATCAAAACATATTTTGATGCACTCTATTAATCTAGCGGCAGCTCCTTTTAAACCCTAAGGTAATCTCATATATATATAGGTTGCAGTAGGAGACTTCAACATGACTTAAAACTCTAAATAGATGATATCAAGATAAAAACAAAACCATTTGAATTTATCCTCATTTTAAATGCATAGCATCTGACTCCAAATAAATCTTATATTAATAAGTAGGCCTTTAATTAATCTAAACGTACTCATAGCAAATTAATTAATTAATATGTAAAGCCCATATCTCCATTGTTAAACTTCAAAGCTAAACAACCAATTGAACATAAACCTATCATGTGAATGCATATGCATGCCAAACTTACTTGAGTGGATGTCTCTGAAACGCTTGCCATTTTGTGATCGAGAGCACGTGAGACAAACTTAGACTAAAATAATTACAACTGAAAACAAGCACTAGTCTAAGACTACAGACTCAGGCGTTTTGTTTAGGAATAGCCAATTTTACCCTAACACAATTCAAACATCATTTTTTGAAACCACACCCTAAAACTTGCAAAGAACTTAAGAACATTTTCAAATGCCGCCATCAAAGCTCTATTCTCTATTTTTAGTAGTAAATCATTCAAACTTCACTTTGCTCGTCCATTTTTAGTTCTTGGATTGGATTAATATGTTTGTTGGTGAAAACCACAGAACCAAATATCATTCTTCAGCACACGGGCCCACTTCCCACGTGGCCCAATCTCATTAGCCACAGGTGGTCCCACAAACACAGTTAACCATCTGAGTCGTGCCGTCGTGGCTAGGCCTGGCATTTTGTACCCAACCCGTTAATATTTGTATTTGGATGGATGCTTAACGGGTCGGGTCGCTAACGGGTGAACCCGTTAACAACCCGTTAAATAACGGGTCACTTTGGGTCAACCCGTTAGACCCGTTAACACCCGTTAGCACCCGTTAGTTGAGGATATTTTAGTAATTTTAGTAAAGTCTTGATAACAAAAAATAAACTTTATGCAATAAAATAATAATAATAATTGTTAACGGGTGATAACCGATGAAACGGGTGACCCGTTAGCTTAACGGGTCGGATTCGGGTGATCCGTTAGCTTAACGGATTGGGTTCGGATGACCCGTTAACTTAACGGGTCGGATTCAACCCGACCCAAACCCAATAAACCCGACCCGTTTACAGATCTAGTCTTGGCCTCCGATCATATTTCCCCAGAGAAAGCAGAGGCCCTAGTGGGGGTGCAATTTCGTAATTTTCTCCCACAACAGGGGTAAAAACTGCACCTTCCCCCAGAGAATCGAGCGTATTTTCTTCCCAGTTTGTCCCGTGGTGTTTTGAATTTCAAATATCGAACGGCTCTGTGTGGTTTTTGGAACCAAAAAATAAACCCCCACAAAACAAAACCCTCCCCACTCTTCCCACGAAACAAATCAAATCACCCACGTCCCAAAAGCTTTGAGTTTGATAATTCCACCCGGAAGTTTCATTAATGCACCTGGAAGTTTCATTAATCCACTCGAAAGTTTCATAAATCCACTGCAAACCTCTGTTGTTTGCTTGTGTTTCTGCTGAAGCAAAATATTTTGCTCAAATGGGTGCTTCTGGAAAATGGGTCAAAGCGCTGATCGGGATGAAAAAACCCGACAAGAACGACCCGGTAAAGCTTCGATCTTTATCAAAATTTCGAGCTTTTGTTTTTTATTTTTTTGTTCTGAACTTTCTGAACTTTTTTTTTTTAATCTGGGTTTGATAGGAGAAGGTGAGTGGGAAGAGCAAGAAGTGGAAACTTTGGAGGAGTTCTTCAGGGGATTTGGGGTCTTCGTGGAAGGGTTTCAAGGGGAATTACAGGACGGGTTCGGAGGGGTCGGATTCGCCGAGAGGGGCCGATGCGTATAATGCCGCGGTGGCGGCGGTGGTTCGAGCTCCGCCGAAGGATTTCAGGGTTGTGAGGCAGGAATGGGCTGCTATCAGAATCCAAACTGCTTTCCGAGGGTTCTTGGTAAGTAAAAAATAAATGACTTTCAATTTTATTTGATGGAATCGTAGGCCATAGATCTTTGTGTCTGGATGTGAACAACCTACTTGTTGATGTAAGAAAGTGCTTTTCTGTTAAAGTTATAGCTTTTGACTAGTAGAGCTTTTGAAATAAGCACATAGTTAGTGTTGAAGTTGCTCAATCCTTCTGTCTTTAATCTGTTTGATAACATGCCTAGCTGCCCATTGAGCTTAATTTCAAGGATTTGGCTTCTATTGATGAAAGTTTGAAGCTTTTGTTGTTGTTTTATTCTGGGTAAACTTATGTGCAGGCGAGAAGAGCTTTGAAGGCCTTGAGAGGAATAGTGAGGCTGCAAGCTCTGGTTCGAGGCCGACAAGTGAGGAAGCAGGCTGCAGTGACACTGAGGTGCATGCAAGCTCTCGTTCGAGTTCAGGCTCGTGTGAGAGCTCGTCGTGTGCGAATGTCCATGGAGGGACAAGCTGTGCAGAACATGATCAATGAACGCCGCACCCAGGCTGATCTATTAAAAGAAGCTGAGGTACTTTAAGCTCTTAATGATCTTTGCTTTCATGTGATAAGTGACAGAAGAAAATATTCTTGGTTTGAATCGGCTTTTTCAAACTTATGTTTTTGTTATAATTACTGAAAATAGATAGAAAACAAATTGCAGGAGGGTTGGTGTGATAGCAAGGGAACAATAGATGATGTTAAAGCAAAGATTCAAATGAGGCAGGAAGGAGCATTCAAGAGGGAGAGAGCAATTGCTTATGCTCTTGCTCAGAAGGTAATAAAACACAGAAATTGGCTTCATCGGGAGCCTCCTTGTAGTTTGTCTGTTAAATTAAGTACCTTTCTCTATACATTACTGATAGGAGCAAGATTGTGTTTCTTTTTTCTCTTCTCAGCAATGGAAATCAACCCCAGATTTGAATTCGAATTCTCATACCAGATCCTCAGTGTACTCTCTCAATAAGAACAATGAATTTGAAAAGAACAGTTGGGGATGGAGTTGGTTAGAGCGTTGGATGTCAGCGAAGCCGTGGGAGACTAGGCTGATGGAAGAGTCACACGACGACTCTTCTGAGATCACACCACCTCCAAAGAGTAGAGCAGACCCTTTCGTGGGCAAACAACATTCGAAATCTTCAGAACCATGCTCAGTCAAAGTCAGGAAGAACAATGTCACCACTAGGATTTCTGCAAAGCCTCCTCACATTGGGCAAGCAACTCGTTCGTCTTCAAGCCCCAGTTCAGAATTATGGTATGATGAGAGCTCTGCCTCATCTTCACTGTGCACATCCACAACGCCGGTTTCTGGGAACACCGGATTGGCATCGGACAGAACAGATGACAGCTGCAACTATAAGCCGAGTTACATGAACCTGACTGAGTCAACTAAGGCGAAGCAGAAACCACATAGTTATCTGTCTCGAAGAACTCAAAGGCAATCCATGGATGAGTTTCAATTTCTCAAGAGGTCTGGGGTATTCTCTAATGGGGATTCAAAAAGTAGTGCTGGTTCTGAGCTATCTTCAGCCAACTTCTCTAGGCCGCTTTGCATGCCAACGCGATTGGAAAAGAACTCTGTGCAACTGAGGTGAAAGGGGCGCCTCGTTCATACGAAGTTCATTTTGATTTAGAAGATCAACAGCTAGTTGCTCCCTTCTATTTAGAATGTGTAATTTAAGTGTGTGCGAGGAATAGAAGAGTTCGGTCTTCATTTGTAATATAGTTAATTTAGAGTCGAATATTTGCTTATTTTGAATGAGATGGATCATTGAACTCATTGCCAGCTTTCTTGCAATGCATTGATCACTAGCAAATTTAGCTTCAACTTGATGATTTATTTCACAAAATCTACAGCGAAGACGTCTAATACATTTTCATATCAGTTATAAGTTACTAATCTTCAGTTGCCTTCTTAAGCAAATGATGAGTAAGGTCTGATCAGGCACGTGGAAGGACAACTCTTGCATCATTTCCGCTTTATGACCCGAAGCTTGACACCATTCTTGAACTTGAGAACAATGCCAAACTCAAGCTCCAGAGGTGACTCCATATATGGAGAGTGCCGGAACACATACTTCCGGTATAAGTGAATCAGTGCAAGCTTTATTTCTTGTATGGCAAATTTCTGACCGATGCAGGATCGAGGCCCGAGTCCAAACGGTATAAAAGCATAAGGATGCCTTTGTTTCTCTTCTTTGCAGCTTGGATCAAACCTCTCTGGCCTGAACTTTTCTGGCTCTGGGAAGTTCTTTTGATCTTTCGCTAATACTCCGAGGGCTAACCAAACCCAAGTCCCCTGCTTCTCAAAAACAAAAAGGAACTAATCCCATAAGATGTATAATATATACAAACCACTTTCAGTCCACAGACAAAAAGAAATTTCTGCAAAGAGATCCTAGCAGAAGTAGAGCAATACCTTTGGTAAAATATAACCGCCTATTTCGACGTCTCGAGATGTTTCTCTAGCAACTAATGGGGAAACCATGTAAAACCTCATTGCCTCTTTAATAACCTGCATTCGAAAAAACGACAGATAAGCCAACTAATGAGGAAGATTCCTCAATGCAACATTGAAATTTGAGAAGCCTTGCCTGATCAAGATAAGGAAATTTGTGTTGAAGATCACTTGCAGTTGCCATCTGATCAGGCGGTCCAAATCCATCGATCTCTGCCAGCAACTTTTTTTCTACTTCTGGATGTCCAGCAACCAAGTAGACAGCTGAAGACAATGTGAATGCTGTGGTGGCCGACCCGGCAAGGAGATGCTCATAAGCAAGTGCACTAATGTAATCTGTTGTGAAAACATTCTTCGAAAGCCTCCCTGACTCCCTTGCATTCAGTATAACTGACAAGAAGTCCTTTGAACCTCGTCTGCTGTCTTTCATTCTCTTTTCCACAACTGCACCAAGCCGGCTAGTCAAATGCCTGTTATTATGTTCGATTTTCCCATCCATAGTGCCAGGAATTCTCTTCAACATCTGCCAAAATGGCCACTGAAGTATGGGGACAAGTAGTCCTAGTATGATCGATAAGGAACCCGAAAAATCCATCTTAACCTGTGTTGTGGAATATATGTGTTGGTTGATAAAGTCTGAGACTTCATCGTCATTATTGTCTTTGCCATCAAACTTTTCGACTGATTCGCCGACTGATTGTGGTTTAGAAAGGCCAAAGTTGACACCAAATGCAGCTTGTCCTATTACATCTGTGGCCAATCGAAGGGAGATGGCGGAAAAGGTAATATCTTCTTCTACTTTCGCCATGGAGTCAAGTTTTTCAGTTGCACATTCAACAAATGACTGCATTGTAGGCACAAGGTTGGCTAAGTGGGAAGGTTGATACACTGATAATATAGTGTTTCGCGTCGTCACCCATCTCGCATCCCTGCAGGATGCTCAAATTCCATCAGATATTCTACGTTACTCTAATCAACATAAAGAGAGATTTGAACTTGAGTGCAAGAGAGGTGAACACAATATCCTCATCAGTTGACCTAATCTACATCTACGATAACTTTAAAACGGTAGATATCCTATGCCTCTTTATACCAATATAACTTATAAAATATATACCTGGTTAAAAAGAGACCCTTCTGATGAAGAGGGGAAGCTGCAAGGGGAGGTGGAATGCTTCTGTTTTTAATGTCTTTGAATTTCTTTATTCCAACTTCTCTACAAAGCTCTGCATCTGCTACAATTATGAGTGGTTGTCTCCCGATATGAAACCTGCCAGGATATGTGCAACCAAAAACTTAAAAGTTGTGTTATGCGCATGCGTGGATGATTTATCTTAGCGTATTTTAAATTAAAGTTACATAACTGAAACGTTTGATTTATCACGAGATCTAATGTTTAACTAACATCCTTCATTCCAAACATACTAAAGGGGAAACGAAAAAGGAAGCGAAAAGAGTAACTTTTGCACGATCCACAGTCCACATCAAAAGAAGTCATAAACAGTTGCTAAGCTTGCCTTTCACACCTAGCATGCAGATAACTCAGAAAACGGTGGATCACTTGACCTAAATGGCACTAAGTTGAAGTTTTAGAGTAATCGTTTTTCTTTAACAAAGCGATATCCTAAATTACTTTATTAATGTATGAAGAGTGGAGATTCAAACTTAGGTACAAGAGAATTAATAGAGAATTAACAGCCTGTCATGACTAATTGACCTAACCATGTATGTAGTCTCACGCTTGTTGTCAAATTTATTTTAGAAAAATTAGGAGAAAAAAAAAGGACAAATTACGCAGAATCAAATATCCACATGCATAACAGCTACTAACCTGAAAATAGGGCCATACTCTTCAGCAAAAACTGAGAATATATCAGGACCATACTTTGCCATCAAGGGAATGTGTCCTACCAGAGGGATAGTTGGAGGGCCAGGTACCCTTCTTACTCTCCAGTAGGGCCCATACAAATACCCCAAAATTCCTCCCAGTACTATCAACACCATGAAGATGTTAAACAACAGTTCAATGCTGCCTATCATTTTCTCTCAGTCTCTTGAATCTAATCCTTCGAAGGAGCAGAGCTCAGGATTTAATATATAGACTGGTGGTGGAATATTTTGGGGTGTCCCACTACTCACCGGAAGCAGCCTGCTGAGCCGTCATTGGCTGATCCATGTTGCTGTCTAGATGATTGTTTTTTCTGTCGTGCTTTACAAATTATTACGTTCCTGAAAATTGGGAACCCAATTGTCGTGGACTAGTAACAAGTGATTATTAAGTAAACGAGCAGTGGCGGAGGCAGTTAAGGACTACAGTAGTCCTAGGCCTACTCTCACTTAAAAAATAAGATTAGTCTACTACACCTATTTCTATTGCTTTGCAGCCCTTCTCAACAACTAAAACAAATTCATTCATTATCTATTTTTCATCTCATAGATACCATCCCAAAAATAAGTATATATTTTAAATGGTCATTTATCACAAAGAGTAGTGCTATCTGCATACATTTTTTTACCTTTAACACACTCTTGTTAATTTATGTCATTTGATATTCAATTCATTCAATCAGATGATCGCAAATTGAGAGGGTGTATGGAAAGCAAAAAGAGGTGTGTGGATAGCACAACCCTCTCACAAATCAATAACATTAAATTAAAACCCATCATTCACTTTTAATTAAAATAAAATCGTCTTTCACTTATGCACGGGGGAGTTTTCACCTTTTCTTATTGAATTTCATATATTTAGCCATTCTTAATCCCAAATTTATTGAATAAAGAACAAAAAGGTTTGTAATACTCTATTATTCACTATAAAACATTTGTTTCTATTCTATCCCACCTCTTACTTGAGTTTTAGGGTTTGCAAAGATTTTCGTACTTCTCTCTATTCAGTTTAATAATTATTTAAATACTATAGATGATATTATGCAACTGTTTCATTGCAATTCGTCAAGAATAATTTTGATTACTATGGATAGATAAAATTATCTATGCATATGTTAATTTTGACTACTTAATTATTTGGATAAATATTATGATGTTTTGCATTAGTAATTTTATAACCACTATTCGTTTTTTCTCCTTCTATACTTGTTTGAGGCCCCTCCTCACAAGAAATCTTAGCTCCGCCACTGTAAACGAGCGATTATTTTATTAATATTTTTCTTTTCAATGTTGGAAGATATTATGTATCTCTCTTCGCAATACCATCGGCGGCGTTGAGATTCCTCTCTCTAATTCGTCTTCACAGAACTAGCAATATTTGTTTATTCTCTCCACAAACATTGTTGCTGTCATGTCATAAAAAAAATCATGGTGGATGGTGATTTCAAAAGTTCCACTATGTAAGCAACAGCAGAAATTCATAAGTTCACTCACAGGGCCACACCCTGTGCTAAACCGAAAACACGACAGGCGTCTCCACTGACATAAGCAATCATCCTTCGTCTATTGTCCACCACCCAAAGTTTGAGATGGAAGAACCGAAAAGGATTGAAGATTCCCACCCAGAATGACGTGGGGAATTGAAACGTTGAAAGTTGTATAATTTTAGCATGAAAATTTGGAAGGAAAGAAGTCTGTTTGCGAGCCATTCGGTTTTAGGTGGCTGAATGAGATTTTTCGGTGGCTGCCCATCGGAATATTTCGACGGATGCCAGCGGTGAGCTGCCGAACACAATTTTCAGATATTTTTTTTTTTTTTGAGTGAAAGCCTGCTCTACGATCTAAGCTTGAAACCATTTTTTGTAATTTAAGAACAATGCCATAATCAAGAAACAGAGGTTCTCCATGTTAATTAATTAGTGAGAGTTTTCTTACTTTGTAAGGAATATTATTTCCACCAATTAATGCATCCATGGCCCCAAGTCCAAACAATATAAAAACACAAGGAAGTCGTTGTATGGTGATGAAACTTGAGGTTCCAATCTTAATTTTTTTTTCATGGTATCAGAGTAATTTGGTCATCTGGTTCGGTGTATGGGTCTTTGGCAGACGACCAAGTTGATGTCTTAATTTTTTTTAAAAGATCCTCCATAAAATATGTTACAAAACTAGTGTTCTACGTGATATAATTTAAGTGAAATAATAATATCACGTTACTGTTTCAAATACATTAAAAATTCAAAAATTTATGAGTGCAGAAATTATTGTCCATAACTCATTTGTCTTGAAATCCTTATACCAGCAGTGTTGAGATTCTTCTCTCTTAATATTGTCTTCAATTTATTTATTTATTATTTTTTTAATTTAAGAGGGGAAACGAAAAAAGCATTAATAAAATTCAATATTTTATCCACTAAGATATTTGATACTTAATTATTTTCAATGCAACCAAATACATCCCTCAAAATTTATATATATTCCAAGTTGTCTTCAGGAAGGCAAATCATGCTGCTGGTTTTCTTGCCACAGGGGGACACGTGTGAGATTTGGAATTGCTATTATTTGTTATGTCTTTTTTTTTTTTTTTAGAAAATTTGGTACGAGAGAAAATTTATTGATATGAAAAAATGTACTCTTAGTCAGAATATAAACCCAACCTCTCATAATACAAGAAAAAAAAGATAAAAAATACAAGAAAAATGATAAATAAATATAAATATATATATCTACTAATTAATTAAACACTCATTGTCAACCAAAACCCTATGAAATTATCAGTTTAACCTTCTAATTAAAACAGAACATGAATAAGAAATATGGAGCATTAATGTAATTTCAAACAACCCAATTTTGCTATTTTTTTTTCAAAGACTCACCTACATGTAATCCAAACATATCTCTAATTTAAAATATAAATAAAAAATAAAAAAACTTCTCACTCTCACGTTCTCTATCACTCTCTTTCTCTCTCTTTCTATTTCAAAAACAAAAATAAAAAATTTGTTAATTTTTCTTTGTTCTGGACTTTGCCTTCATACAAAAGAAATATCAATCTAATAGTCACCGTCAACTAAACCTTGGGAAAATTTCCTACAAAAGAAAAAAAAAGGTGGACGGTTATATAACAACTCAAAAGGGGGTTTGTTGCATAACAAAGGAGATGGTAATCGGTTAATGAGATAGACAACATTGAAGACACAATCGGCCCAAAATGAAGGCCGTACCTGAGATTGGAAACGTAATGCAACAGTGAGAATGTGACGATGCTTACGTTCGACATCTCCATTTTGTTGTGGAGTATAGACACATGTGCGTTGATATTCAAGGCCTTTAGTTTGGAAATAATCTTTCACGGATAAAAATTCAGAGCCATTATCAACCCTTATTGCTTTGATTTTTGCATAAAATTGAGTTATCAACAAAAGTAACAAACTATTTTAAAATTGAGTTAGGCCAGAGGGCTCGTGGAATCTGAGAAGGCCCCACGGAATCTGAAAGGGTCAAAAGGCTGGAGGGCTAGCAGCATGAGGCTAGCTAGAAAAAACACCAATCATATCGGTTATAACCAACAGGAATGTTTAAACTAAAATTTGAATCCAACGGCTAGCTGGTGCCAGTTACCGTTAGATTCAATTTTTTTTATAGGTTTTTTGGGCCTTTTTTTAATTCTTAAAAATTCTAAATTTTCCCCTATAAATACCTAAACCATTCATTCACCGTTCCTTTAAATTTAATTTGTAGTTTTTAAATTTAATTCGTCGTTTTTAAATATAAGTTGTAGTTTTTAAATTTAAGTTGTTGTTGGATTTGAATTTAAGTTGTTGTAGCTTTTAAATTTAAATAATAAATTATGTTTGAACTTTTGACCCTCGGTTGGAGACGATTTTTTGTAACATGGCTAAAACGAGCCCTTTGGCCATCGGTTGGAAACGGAGGCAAATATGGCCCTGTATTGTTCATTAAAATATTAATATCTTGGAGGGCTAGAGGGCTAAAACGAGTCATCTGGCCAGCCATTGGTTGGAGATGGCCTAAAGGAAATGGAAGTCTGGTTTGTTTGGCCATGGGACAAATAGTACAATTATTATCAAAAGAAACATTATTTGAAGACAACGAGGGAATTACTAATTTGAGACGAGTTGATGAAGGATGTCCAAGTCACATATGCCATAAATTTGAGGGATGGGAAACTTGACATGAGAGATGTGTCCATTGCAACGGCGACATGTAATGGGTAAATCGTCAAAATGGTCCCTAAAATTTGCATAATTCATTACTTTGGTCCCTAAGATTCCAAATCTATAAAATTGGTCCCTGAGATTGTCCACCATCCATCATTTTGATCATTTTGTTAAAAACTCTATTAAGTGTCCCGGAGCTTTTGGCCGAAAGTTTGGGTAATTTTCAAAGCTTCGTAACTCAATCGTTTCTTAACCAAATTCGACCCATAATATATCAAAATGAAGATAGGAAAGTGTATAATAATATTATACCTACCAAAGATTACCAGAAAATAGCCTCAAAGTCCACTGGTCCGAGTGAAAACTTGAAAACTCGCCGGAAACCGGGTAAACTTTAAACGTTCATAACTTCTTCAATACTCAATGAAATCAAGTGATTCAAAAACTAAAATCATATTTCTCGATGAGGAAAAGAGAATGGTACATTTTTTTACAGCTAACTCGTCGTGGTTTAGCCAGAAAATGGCTCGAAAATGTCTATCTTGGTCTCGAGTTAGCCACTTTCGAGCCATTTTCCGGCCAAACCATAGCAATTTAGCCATCTAAAAGGTACCATTCTTTTCTTCTTGTCGAGAAGTATGATTTTCGTTTTTGAATCACTTGATTTCGTTGAGTATTGAAGAAGTTATGAACGTTTAAAGTTTACCCAGTTTTCGGTGAGTTTTCAAGTTTTCACTCGGACTAGTCAACTTTGAGGCTATTTTCTTGCAATCTTCAGTAGGTATAATATTATTCTACACTTTTCTATCTTCATTTTGATATATTATGGGTCGAATTTGGTAAAGAAACGATTGAGTTACGAAGCTTTGAAAATTGCACAAACTTCCGGCTAAGAGCTCTAAGATACTTAACGGAGTTTTTAACAGAATGACCAAATGATGGATGGTGGACAATCTCAGGGACCACTTTTATCGATTTGGAATCTCAGGGACTATTTTGGCGATTTACCCACATGTAATAAAGACCACCACGTTGTTTACCCGATCCAATTATCTTCCTCGTAGCCAAGTCCTACAAGATACAGAAAGTGCGAAACAAAATGGCACAACAATTTAGAGAGTCAGTGACTTGGCTAGCATACATGAGATTTAAGTGAAAAGATGGAACACATAGAACGTTGTCTAATGTAACATCTGAATTGAATGGTATGATGCCAGTGGAAGTAATTATGACCAAAGAGCTTGTGGGTAATTTAACGGTGGAAATTGGTGAAGATTTGGTTTTGGTGAAAGGTGAAGAATCTGAAGTGATGTGATTGGTAGCCCCATTATCCAAAATCCAAGGTTGAGTAAATATAGATTTAACGAAGGCAACAATAAACGAAGACAGACATGCTGCATTTGCATAAACATTGTTATTACCAAGAGGAGGATTTTCTCCTCTCCTAATCTCTCTTCCATTCTCTTCCCTCCTATTTGAACTGTCACGATTAAGCCACGTTAACATCTTTTATTGATTTTGTTTATAGAGACAATAAGACAAAAAATAATGTGTGAGAGGAAGGGATGAAAGAGAATGTGAATATGAAGGAAGAGAATGTGAATATGAAGGAAGAGAATTCTACTCCTATTACCAGAGGTATGATTTAAATTCACTATGGACACCAAGTGGGCCAATAATTGAAGTTGCTCTGCTGAGAGTCTTTGCAATGGGTTCGGTAGAGGCTGGGACCCATGCTGGTGTGATTTGTTACTATGGTTACCGCCTTGCTTTCCCCCATTATTAGGAACCATTGTTCTATTTTTAAATTTGCATGTCTTCAGTGTGGCCCCTTTTATCACAGTGATATTTTCGAGTCCTACAGTTGTCAACTGTATGTCCGTCATTATCACAAAATTCACAATGGAGATTCTTCGAATTGTAGGAGGAATGGTTTGGTCAACTTTGAACAGCAACAGCGATTGAAAAAATTTCGGTCGATCCTGAGGACATTTGTTGTGTGAGAGATGTGATGGACTTCTGGATTTGATAAAGGGAGTTTAAACGAAAAGTCCACGGTACTCTTCACTTTAATGAAAAACCACATTTTTACATTAAAAGTGAAACCTGGTACTATTTACTTTACCTTTTATTTTGTCCTTATCGTTAAAACTCAAAGTTTTCAAATACTTTTCATTAGTTTTCCTTTTAGTAAATGGACGGTGTTTCAAGTATTGTGTCTGACATGATGTTTGAGAATACAATCGAAGTTGAAAACATAGGCAGTCGGGCACCAAGACCTTATGCTCTAGATACCATGTTAAAATAGTTGAATATTCAAATGGCTAGATTGGAAGGCTATGACAAGTGATAAGATTGAATGATTTCGTCTATCACCATTGCCTAGGTCAACTGATTAACCCTACTAGCTAAAAGATCATATCCAACATTTAGTGGGATTTGACTTAAACCACATTCGGTAAATATATTAGAAAATATATTGCTATGATATTTCTTAATAAATTAACATGTTGCCAACTTTGTTGTTCACATCCTGCGAAGCTATTGTTCATATTTTAACTACGAGTAGTTAAAATTTAGTCTTGAGAGGATCAGCTGCCTTTAAAAACTCCGTTACAATGGAGATGTTCACATTAATTATTTTCATAAATAACTAAAAAATTTCGTCTCAGAAATTTTTGGTCGATTTCAAGAACATTACAGGACTGAAGATTTCACATAATCTTTCATGCAATCAATCCCCAGTTGATTCAATCAGCGCATGATCGTGATCATGTCCTCTTTATGACTCTAAGCTTGACACCTTTCTTGAAGTTGAGAACAATGCCGTACTCAAGCTCAAGAGGTTTCTCCATGTCGGGAGAGTGCCGGAACACATATTTCCGGTATAAGTGAATCAGTGAGAGCTTTAGTTCTTGTAGGGAAAATTTCTGACCAATGCAGGATCGAGGTCCGATTCCAAACGGTATAAAAGCGTAAGGATGCCTTTGTTTCAATTCTTGGCAATTTGGATCAAACCTCTCTGGCCTGAACTTGTCTGGCTCCGGGAAGTTCTTTGGATCTTTCGCTAAAACACCGAGTGCTAACCACACCCAAGTCCCCTGCTCCTCAAAAAATAAATCCCGTAAGTATACAAACCATAAATTTCGAGTTTGCACCCGAAAAGTCAGGACTCGTTTGGAGCCTAAGATTGTATTGGATTGGATAGCTTATAAATTTAAGGTATGTTGAAGTAAGAAATGAAGATGACCTTTGGTAGAAGATAACCTCCTATTTCGACGTCTCCGGATGTTTCTCTCGCAACTAATGGGGAAACCATGTAAAACCTCATTGCCTCTTTAATCACCTGCATTTGAAAAACCGACAGATAAACCAAAATCCATTGGCAAATTGGTCTTCCCAAAAGAGGATAATTGATTAACAAGTAAACAAGAGCAGATAAATAGAAGCATTTGGTTAGCCCTTTGAAATTTCAAAGTTTTTATACATGTCAACATTGAAAATTCAGAAGACTTGCCTGATCAATGTAAGGAAACTTGTGTTGAAGATCATGAGCAGTTGGCATCTGATCAGGCGGTCCAAATCCATCAATCTCTGCCAGCAATTTTTTTTCGACTTCTGGATGTCCAGCAACCAAGTAGACAATTGAAGACAATGTGAATGCTGTGGTGGCTGATCCAGCAAGGAGATGCTCGTAAGTAACTGCACTAATGTAGTCAGGAGTGAAGACATTCTTCGAAACCGCCTCTGACTCCATTGCATTCATAATTACCGACAAGAAGTCCTTCGAGCCTCGCTCACGGTCTTGCATTCGCTTCGCCACAATACCATCAAGCCGGCCACTCAACTTCCGGTTAGTACGCTCAACTTTCCAGTCCATAGTGCCCGGAATTCTCTTGAAAATCTGCCTAAATGGCTCCTGGAGTATAGGGACTAGTAAACCGAGTATGATGGATAAGGAACCTGATAAGTCCATCTTAAGCTGCGTTGTGGAATAAATGTGTTGGTTGATGAAGTCCGAGACTTCATCGTCGTTGTCTTCTCCTTTGATTGATTTGCCGATCGAATGTGTATTAGAAAGGCCAAAGTTGACACCAAATGCAGCTTGCCCTAGTACATCAGTAGCCAATCCAAGGGAAAGGGTAGAAAATGTAATCTCTTCTTCTTTGGAGGAGTGAAGTTTCTCAGTTGCAGATTCAATGAAGGACTGCATGGTAGGCACAAGGCTGGCGAGGTGTGATGGTTGATACACCGATAATATAGTGTTTCGCATTGTCGACCATCTTGCATCCCTGCAGGATGCTCAAATTCCATTAGAGTCGGTTAATTTTGTTTTTGGTAAGTTCAATTTGATATACTCGATATAATTAATTGAATAAATTTAGGTGCATCCTCCTCCACATTTGCTCATCCCATTTTTCTTGTATTTCTCCTCTATTCCTTACAAAAAACTAAAAGCAAAATAGTTATCAAATGAACTATAAAATGTTGTGCCTTGGACAAATCACACCAAATCACACTCAGTTGAATAGAATAAAATACAAGAAATAAAGACACCGAGAAATTTATGAGATTCGGCAAAAATCTTACCTACGTCCCCGGAGAGATATTGCTCTTCACTATGAATAACAGTACAAGTACACATGAGTTAAATCAATATAACTCAATCTCGAATCTCTTGCACACCCACTCATAGAATTTTCCCAAGAGCCTCACTCTACCCCAAGAGTTCTTTCACTAGAATATTTTTCACTCTAACTCTCTTGATTTTCTTTCAACCCATGTTCAACCTTTCCCATGGGAGAGCCGGATGCTCCCCCCTGGATGCTTCTATGATGCTTACTCTCACTTTCTAAGCATTACTAAATGCACAAATATTGCATCTAGTTATAGGCATACACTAGCAACTATGCCAACAACCAAGACCAAAAAGTATTAAGTTCACGTGACATAATTATTACCTAGCCTACCTAGCATACACCAAAGTCTATACCTAGTCTATAAAGTACAACTTTTCTCCATTTGTCATTTAATGCATAGAAGAGAAAACATGCACAATTGTGTGCAAGCAAACACAAGGTCAAGTCTTGCTTGCTTCCAACCTTGCTTGTGGCAGTCACCATGTCTTCAATTGTTGTCAACACATGACTCATAATTACTCACAAATGTATGAACTAAACACAACATAAATTACTTTTAACTGAAAGAATGTATACTTGGACTTTCACTTAACAACCGGAAAGACTTCCATGCAACCATTACATGAAGAGTATCAAATTTGCTATATTCATGATCCGATTCGTGAAACGGATGTAGGTAAGTTTTTGTCCAATAATACCTGGTGAAAAAAAGACCCTTTTGATGAAGAGGGGAGGCTGATATGGGAGCTGGAATGCTTCTGTTTGGAATGTCTTTGAATTTCTTTATTCCAACTTCTCTACAAAGCTCAGCATCTGCTACAATTATCAATGGTTGCCTGCCCATATGAAACCTGTCCAAATTGTAATCCAAAAACCAAATGCCATTACCGAAATGCACAGTTTGTTATGAGATTAAACTCTATTTAGCACCCTTCAACCATACTAAAAGAGACTTAAACTAGCTATTGCCTCAATTTGTCGTTTTTCTTTTTACAAAACTATATTTTAAACTACTTTGATCTACGAAAATGGACCGAAGGTATAAATGAACTTGTGTTCAAGGGGCGTGCTTGCTACCCTAGCCATATGTCCTAATCCATATATACCGAACCAAGAACCAGCTTGGCATATATAATCATATGCGAGGTTTGAGTGCCCCACCCCGGCGGTCCCCTAGAAGGCTAGAACTAGAAAACCTAAACATTTGGTCTCAAATAAGAGAGTTGCTTGTACACACAAATATGCTACTGACCTGAAAATAGGGCCGTACTGTTCGGCAAGAACTGAGAATACATCAGGACCATACTTTGCCAGCAAGGGAAGGTGTCCTAGCAAGGGGATAGTTGGTGGGCCAGGTACCCTTCTCACCCCCCAGTAGGGTCCATACAAGTACCCCAAAATTCCTCCCAATATTGCCAACCCTGTGAAGATTGTGGATATCAACCAAACACTGGTAGCAAACAACACTTCCATCCCACCAATTTTCTGAAGGGTCTCCTCTTCTTCCAAGCTCTTCATCATCAAATATGAGAGCTTTGGGTTAGGTTTAATAGATTGGTGATGGAAAATAGTGGGGGTGGTTGGGGGGGGGGGGTGGGGGGGTGTCTTCATATGAATGATTTCAATTGTGGAAATGTTGGTGCCAATCATCCTCAGACAAAGCTTTTTGTACTATTTAATTTTTATATTTAGGATGGCAAAAAAAATTATGACGTTTTTTTGTTTTTAGCTAACAATATTATATACATTAAAGAGGAAGGATGAGCTTAGCAATAATGTTATTCAAATAAGCATTTGACAAGAATTGAACCTAACACTATGTTTGGATGAAGAAATTTAAGATTACTAAGGAATTTTAAAATGACGGAAATTTAAATGAATGAATTTTATTCTATAGAATTTGTGAATTTTCTTGTTTGGGTAACCTAAAAGAACAATGGAATTGAATACGGAATTTGTTGTTTTTAAACTTTCAATCATAGAAATTGGAAAATGACACATTTTTACATGAAATTTAAACTTGGAAATTGGAGGTCCCAAATTCCAAGTTTTTTTCCATGCGGAAATTCTAAATTTCTATGTTTATGAATGTAAACAAGAGAATTGGTGCATGTCAATTTATAAATTTTGTCTTTAATTCAAATTCCAATTTTATTTCCCTCATCCAAACATAGTGTAAGAAATCTCATTTACAAGTGAAGATAAATACTACTAGACTGTAATACTAAATGATAATCATACCGTTTTAAAGTTGACAAAAAGCATAAACATTTATTTTTATTTTTTTTATGATAACACCTCCAATCATGCTATCTCTAGGTCAAAAAGGCATAGGCCCCAACAGTGTTTTTAAGGGCTTATATTTTTGGAACCAAACTGATAATCTAATAGCTGTTTGTGTGGTTTTTGTTCACTATAGTTTTGCTCTGCTGAGTACTGTTGTTTTGGTTGGCATATGGGTTTGGTGTTTTTGGTGTCTAGTGTCTTTGTTGAGCAAGTTTGTGGACCACGGTGTTCTTTTTTTCTATATGAGTAGATATAAAATTCTATGTGTATATTTGCATTGTAAATTAGAGCATATAGGAGGAGGTACGCTTGATCATGTGATTGTAAAAACAAGAGAATATGGAATTGATTAATACTTAATTAGCTTTCTTGCATAATAAGCACTCTCATGGTTTGAGTTTAAAATCATTGCATAAATTTTTACATTACCAAAATGTAAATTGACTGAAATTTTTTTTATTAGGAAGACTATAATTTTAGTGCATGGATGGTAATATCCGCTTAACTACTCTAAGCTTGGTACCATGTTTGAAACTGAGAACAAAGCCATGTCGAATATAAGTCCCACATCGGACAATTGACTAAATGAAATACAATACATAAATGTATGATTTCACTCTTAATAACATCGATGTCTTTTGTTGATAAAACCCAACACCTAATTAAGTTGGGATAATATGAATGTGAATATCGAATACGGGTATAAACGTTAGCAACTACATAAGGTATAAACCCTTTGCAACCAGATTCACAGTTTGACAATTTATTTCTTAGTTGGTGTCGGCAATAAACGCCTTCGCATTATGGATGGTGTTCTTAAAACTAAAATATAAGGAGAGAGAACTCGCCAAAACCCCAGGGTCTTAGCCTCTTCTGTAACTCTTTGGTTCAACAAACATATCTGTGAATATAAAGTCATCAACTTTACTAATATGAGTTATATATTTCATAAAAATTATAGTTACAAAATTGAGCTTAAAGAACAAGACACTAATATTACATCTGCATAACTGGTGTTTGTGATAAGTAGATACACAAGCAGCAACTCTCAACAGCTAACTGACTTAACTAACTTAACTGCTAACTGCTATATGCACTAGCTACGTCGATCTGAAGCTACATCAAAAGTACCGAAACCCTTCACAGGTCTCCGATGGCTCCTCCTCCGCCTGCAATGCACGAAAGAAGAAACAGGAAATCAAGACCAGTGGATACAAAGACACACACATTTAGAAAGTACAAGTAGCATTTATTGAACGCAATCATCAAAGGATACAAAGAAACAGCAGCATTTGAGTTGGCCCCTTTGCAACATTCACCACTCCCATCTGCAAATCACAAATCATTGCATTATTTATCACTCGCAACAAATTAACAAACATACATAGCGATTAGTTAATAAAAAGCAGAGTTCTTGAATCAATATACCAATATATAGATATAGGAATGGAGTTGCAGGGGACCAACTCAGCACACATTGCACTTCATCATCATCAGACACTTTTGTTACCGTCATCACGGCTTGGGCCGGATTAGATAACCCATTTGATCAACAAGGTCTTGCAAGTCCTCACCCCAATCTGCAGGCTCTGCAACCAAATCCTCCACCTCAACGTCGACTTCTGATTCCTCGCCCACCGCAGCAGCTTCCTCCTCCGGGTTGCCACCAATGAGGTCATCACTCCACAGCTCCTCCCATATGGTCTCATCAACAGAATCCAAGTTGCCTCCACCAGTACTTGCGGGTACTAAGCTCGGTTTACGGTCTTTGAAACCACTGGTCGATTTGTTGTCCAATGCAGCAGTTGAGAAAAAGTTCTCAATATCTGGTTCCATAGTTGCCAACTCTCCCAGATCCTGGCTTGCAGAGTAGTCCACAACGTCGATTCTAGGCGCTTCTTGCAGATTCTCAAGACTGGGACTAGCAGCCAGTCTCCGCTTTCTACCAATACCGTGCAGTGCTCTATTCTTGGCATTCTTCTCAGCAAGGGTTTGTAGAAAAGATGGATTATTGAGTGCTTTAGCAAGGAAAGTCATCATCTGCTGCTGTTTTTTCTCCGTGGTCAGCAACCGGCCCTCCATTGCCATGACTTGCTCCCTTGAATTTTGTTGTTGCTGCCTCAACTTCACAATCTCCGTCATCAAAATGTTTCGGTCTCTTTTCAGTCTTTCAAGCTCGGTTTCTACTCCATACTGCCCCAATTCAACACAAGCTCCTCCTCCGGCTTCTTGTTGCATATTCTGCGAGACATGTCTCCTCCTCTTAATGGTCTTCAGCAAATGCCTCTGCCCTCCTAGAAAACCCTCGTTTGCGAATTCCCATCGGTCCGGATCAACCTTTCTGAAACCCTGCATGCATTCAATTGATGAGCAAGCCTTGAAATTTCCTGAACAAGGATGTAATCCGCAATCCCAATTAAGGATTTAATAAAATGAAACCATGATTCATGACCAACAGAAGAAAGTGAGTTGCGTAACAAAGTTAAAAACCTGTAATCGGATATATGATTCTGATTAATTCCTAATTTCCTACACTAAACCCAAAAGAATTACAGTACAAAGCAACCAAAAACAAAAGAAAATTTCCAAAAACAAAAAGAACCCGTCTGCAATTTCAGCATAACATGAAGAATGATCCAAGAAAACTCATGCTTTTTTTCAGTACTTACATATGTATTGAGCTGACGAATGAAGCTGGAGAAGTTACTGTGCTTGAAGTATCGAGGAAGAAGAGTGGCGGAGAACTTGTGATAGTCCCACACAACGAAGCTGTTGCGAGCTTTGCTCCAGGAAACAATGGCGTCCGTGGAAGGATCCTCCACCATTTCAAACGTCTTCGTGAGAAACGGCGGCGGACCCACCTCGTGCAGCCCCTCTATTGGCTGCGGCGAGAAGCTTGAGGACGACGAAGACGATGAGCCGACGGTGCATGTCACAACCTCCTCCTCTTTCACCAACACTCCATCCATGGTTATTGGTTTCCCCAAATTAGTTATTAGCAGGAATCCCAGCACCAAAAGAAAGGATTTTTACATGTGGAAGAGGATTTTGAGAATTGGATTTCTGGATTTGATGCGATTCCAGGGATTTGCGTTGCTAAATTTGAGCTTTGTAGTGAAATTTGAGAGCTTTTCTGGATATTTTGGAGAGTGATATTTCTTTGCGATGTGGAGGAGAGACAACATGTTACTTTTAAGGCGGTGGAGAGGAAAGTTCTAGAGAGAGGTGGGGCTTGGGGCTTGTGATATTGTTTCTCAAGTTTGTAAGAAGTTTCTCACAAATGCCCAAAAACCTCAAAAGCTCTAGAACCTTCTGTATGTTTTGGGTTGTGTTGAGGGGCATGGCCCAATAGCTGTGGTGTATATATCCTGGGAATAGGATTTTTTCGGATTTCTTCCATCCAGATTTTTCGGATCTTTCAATTTTGTCTGTTTAACCGAAATTTGAACAGTCACGAACTAATTCTATGTTAACTTTCACCTTCACCTTCTCTTGTTCACCGTCTTTCATTTTCACCTTCTCCTGTTAACATTATTCTGTTCATCTTCTTTCATGTTCACCTTCTCATGTTCATCTTCTTCCCTCTTCTCTATCTCTCTCCATGTCCAGAATTAAAGAATCCAGATGGAAGGGATCTGGAGATAATCCCTATCTTGTATAATGTTGATGTGTTCATTTGTGCTCAGACTAACTATTTCAAAGCTTATTGGATTAGGCTAATTGACAAGGGCAGTGTTTCTTGTTTATACTACGGTTGGTGTATAAAATTAAGGAAAACTAATGAAAATTGCTTAAAAACTTTGAGTTTTAACGATGAGGACAAAATATAGGGTCAAGTGAATAGTACCAGGATTGACTTTTTAGTGTAAAAATATAGTTTTTCGTTAAAGTAAACAGTACCGAGAGTTTTTTATTAAAGTTCCCATAAGATTAAGTAGTTTTTGTGTTCAACCTCTAACTTAATCAATCAATAACTATAAACTCAACATGCATAACTTTTAAACACCAAAACACTGTCATTCAGACAGAATCACAACACCACCATCCCCTAAACCAAATTTAAGAAATCTTGTTACAAATAAAGTTAAAGTCCTACCTAAAACTAATTGACAATATAAGAGTTTTCCATCTCCAAATAAGCCGTGGCAAGATTTCTTAGTTCTTTTATGTTAAACTTCCTCATCTATGCAAAAATGTAGGCTCAATATGTAGATAATGTTAACTAGTTGACGTGGAGTACATGTGGTGATTGAATATGACATATGCGCAAATTTTATGTGATAGCAAGTACGAAAGTGAAGTTACACATCAAAACCCAAAAGTAAACGAAAGTAGTCCAACGTCTTATATACAACTTCTTAATTATCTAATGTGAAAAGTTAAACTAAGAACTTTGAGAGAGGACAATGATGAGACTTCATATGTTCTCCAGATGGACCAAAACAGTAAAGTTGGATAAGATTTTAGAATATGTTCTGTATCACCCAAAATAGCAACATATGTGATTAGCCCACCATATAGATAGTGGATCACCATATTCTTTGTACCATGTCCCTTGAAAATTGGGCTTCGATCAGTCTTGAGCTTTGGTTCTGTATCTGAATTCTCAGGTCTTTAACAAAGCGTTGTAAATAGATGTTGATATTTTGTTGCTATATTGTGGTATATGTCATCAACATTGCTCGCTTGGGGCATGCGTTGTGGATGCATGCGCATGACCCACGTGAGCAAAAAAGGAAACCTCTATATGTTAATATTGCCAAGAAAAATACTTAGCTCTTTATATCCAGTAACAATGTTTTAGGAGGTAAACATATTGCAGTTTAACATATGTTGCGGTACTATTTTTCTATAGATTTATTTACTTTTGGTATATGTGACAAACTGTGATTAACAATATGTATAATACCGGCATATTCACCATGGGTCAACGGCGAGGCGGCTGGAAAAGACGCTTGGGAGAGCCTCCGATGACCCCTTGGCCCATGGACGGAGCTATCTAGATGACTAAGTTATTTATTTAGCACCGTTGGACTCTATAATTTTTTTAAATACAACGTCGATGACGTGAAGAATAAGGTGATGATTGTGCTTGAAGAAAATTAGGGTTTTACCATAAAATCATTTGGCAATATGAGGAGTAATTCAACGCTTTATAAGCCCTTGCAATTTTTTTTCTTTCACCGATGTGAGACTCTGTTACCTTCACATCCTCACATGTCCCTCAAGTGTGGCAAATTTTCAAGTCATACACCTGGACAACACAAATTGTGTGACGTGAAGCACGTGTAGCGGTTGGACTTCACACGTGGGCTAGACTACTCTGATACCATAAAGAAAGTTAGGTTTTCACTATAAAATCAATTGGATACGGAGAGCAGCCGACTTCTTGTTAGCCCTTGTAATATTTTATCTTTTACCAATACAAGACTCTTTTAACTTCACATTCTCACAGTTCTTTTACTGCAATCCCGTTTCGTATCTTCTAAAACAAAATTAAGATCTATTTTCCTTTTGTCGAAGATACAAATATATATTTAGGCTGCCACTGTGTCAACTCACATTAAATTATATATAAATAGTAACTAGTAAAATAAGAAGCGAAACATGACAAAAAGAAATATGGATTGGCAATTGGGGGTGGAAATTAAGGAATGACAGATGGTTGAAGACTTAAGACGAGAGGAAGAATCCAAAAGAAATAATCCAAACAATGACCAAAAACAATACACATCACGTGCCCTTAAGGACTAAATTAACAAGGATCAACGGAGCTGGCATATGACTTGCAATTCCAAGTTCCAATTACTTCTTTAATAAACTAATTTAATTAATTAATCGATTTATTAGTGGTAAGCGTGATTCGAATTATAAGCAATTTGGCTATGGATGGTAAACAAAGGTCGAAGAGTAGAGTAAAATACCGAGGCTGACAAGAGCGGACGTCTCTCTCTCTCTCTCTCTCTCTCTCTCTACACACACACATACATACATACATATATATATATATATATGTATATATTTGCATCAAGAATGAATGATGAATTATATACCACTAATAGTGATTGTTAGCATCATTAACAATATGAAGCAAACCAACCATTACGTATTTAATTGGTTAAGAAGACGAGCTTTTCTCCTGCTTTCGAAGGAGCCCACCGATGGTGTGTCAACTTGTGCACACTAATCACTTCCATCTCAGAGATACAGAGAGAGGAGAGAGAGAGAGAGAGAGAGAGAGAGGGATGTGTCGTCATGGCTTTTCTAATACCACACCACGAAGGTAATGAAGGTGGTCCACTATTAGTAATATTCTACACGATTTCTGGGTCTCCAACAATGCTTTTCTTTGTTTTTCCACCTTTTCCTCCTATGACTACTTTGGATTCTTAAATAATGGAATTTCACAACATATTAAAATTTGACAATTCTATACATGTGTGCAAGTGAATCTCACAACATATCAACAATTGATAACCGTATGCATGGGTGTCCAAAATTCTGATTAGAATTTTTTTTTTAAAAGCGTTTTTAGTAATTTAAAATAGGGATGTGCTATCCACACACTCATTTTTACTTCTCACACATCCCTTGTTAATTTCTATCTGTTGATCTTCTTCAATTCATTCGATCCGATGGTCGAAAACAAAAAAAAGTGTGGAAGAAATAAAAAAGGATGTGTCGATATTACATCCCTTTAAAATACTTATCAAATGAGTTTTAAATTCTTTATCAAACGAGCTTTAGTCTTCCTATTCTGCTCACCAATCTTATATTGTTTCTGAATTTATGATTTATTTGTATATAACATACTATAGGTACAATAATTCACTGCGAAAAACATTAGTTGATAAGGTAAAATATATATATATATATATATATATATATATATTTATAGACACACACATACATGAATTCGAAGTTCATGTATTATTCACGACTAGTGTTTTTTTTTTTTTTTGGTTCTATAGAAATAAATAGATTATGCATGCAATGAATTGACTAATTATTAAAGAGAAAAACTGAGAGGCAAGGAACCCTTTGCCTTAGGTCAGCCTCTGCTATGCCTACCAGTTTTTGCCGGTTCTGTTACCATCAACTAGTACCACAAACTTTACTTTTTCTTGGACATATTGGAGACCAATCGAAGCATCTCTCTCTGGCAAATGGATTTAAGATTTGGTCCATTTTGACAATTAAATTTTCAGATCGATCCCTCTGATCTGATGAGCTTGTCTGAATTGCTGATGGCGAGGATGACGACTTCAACTTGTATATAATGGAGATGGGAGGATGATGATGGGTCGATGGATCATGGCTTTTCAGATTTGACCTTCTTCTCAGCATGGCCACCACGAATGCCAGCACTCTTTCTTCCAATATCCAAAAAAGCAATAAACCCTAATTCTTTTTTTTCCTTTTGGTCCACTACGTACGCTGCAATTCCCATTGCACTGTAAAATTCAATATTAATATTGCTTTCTTTGTGAAATCTTCTGTAGTTTCAAACAAGCGAGCAATGGACCGTGAGAGTTTAACTAGTAAACAAGACGAGTATAATTTGATTAGAAGATGGGAGATTCTACCATGAAATTATTGTTACAACTGCTTTCTCAATCTCACTTTATCACATTCCTAGCACACAGTGAATTTAACATTGTTAATTGCGATTTCAATTTCTCGCTCGTGCCATGACTAAAAAAAGATATATTTGTCACTATACAGTACACCAAAAACTTTACCCTAAAGGAAAGATTTTTCAGTGTGATCAGAACATGGGATGGTATATCATGTGTCGCTGTACAAATGATGAGATATGTGTGTAAAAAAGTTTATAACTTAAAAAGTATAATTTCCAACCACTCATATAAAAACACGTGATGTATCAACCGTGTTCCGATCACAATGAAAAATTTCTCACCCTAAAGAAGATATATATCGAGGCCAATGGGAGCATGCATGCCTTATTAATTTGATACCCAACATATAATATATAGCTTCATTTTCATTTTAAATAAAGTTAGGTTTAGACACTTTTCCACTCGCCACTACAAAATATTGTAATCATATATGAGATCTTCTATGTCACGATCAAAAGAAATATTTTCCTATATAAGCGATATTTTTCAACTTCACATAATATTGTAGACGTTTTATTAGGCTAATTAGGTTGCATGTGTTTTGACTTTGAAAACGGCAAACTGCCTACTCATGAAATGGGAACGTATGTGTACGGTGCTAATATTCACCCTCATTTTTATCTTTTATACTTTTTTGTTTATTTTTGTTATTATATCATCTTCAATTCATTCGATCTGAGGATCATAAATTGAGAAGGGAATGTGAAAAGTAATAAGGGTTGTGTTAATAACACAACTCTATATGTGTTGAGGAAGTTAAACTTTTTTTTGGGTAAGAAATGGATGTCTCATATTTCAATGTAAATGGAGTAGTACACAGATTAATGGGAGAAATTATTGTTTCATAAACACGAGTGATACACTACGTGTCATTATAGAAGTTGAAGAAACTTTTTTTTTTAAGTTGTTAATTTTTAATATAAATATCTTACCATTTACAGAGAGACACGTAATATACCAAATCTTGTTCTAAACACAATGAAAAATCTCTCGATTAATGGGGGGAAACTAAATAAGTTTCAACATCTTATTGCCAATGCATGCTTTCTCACAAGTCTCATCAAGAAAATTACTCTGGTATTTTCATCAAAAGTTAGAGTTTTCACTCGTTGGCTGTTCATTTTGCCCGCAACGAATTGATTTGGATCTTACGTTATCTATCCCAGTGTCGATTCTTTAAGCTCCCAAGATGACACATGTTCCATCTTAATTATTAATTGGATTTTAAGTGAGAGTATATAAACTACCGAAAGTTAGTTCATCAAATGTAAGAATTTTGGTCAAGGTTCAATCGATCTTTTTTTTATTTAATAACTAATAATTTAATCCAATAATGCTATCATTTTAATATTAACATTTTAAAAGTACATATTTTTACTAACTTTATCTCTCCAATTACAGGTAAATATCCATAATTTAGTACAATAATTTTATTCTAACTCCTCCTCCTCCTCCTCCTAGTGTAAAAGTTCGGTAGTTGCATTCCTCTGCGTATTTATATTTTTTTATTGTTTTTATGTACTCGACTATACATCATACCATATCAATAATAGAATAACATTGTGAAAATCGTATCCCTAAATATTTATGTCTAATTGATGAACCCCATGCTGCCATGCATACATCATTAAGAATCATTCCATAAAAGATTTTGTGAACCACACCCGAATACATATTTCTCTTCGAGCCTCTTAATCACATGGCCAAATACTTCTTAACCTGTAATCTTAATTATCTTTTACCAAAATATATCTTTTAAGGTATATATAGGAAAACTCCATTAGAATAGTAAATGGTTGGTTTCCATCCTTTGTAATTTTGGTTTGAATGTGACATTATTTATATAATTAATTACATGGAGCCCCTTGTTTTATTCAGAGAAAATTTCATCGCGAATAACCCGAGAAGAATTGAATTCTCCTTTGTTTTGATCAGAGAAACTCTTACAACAGATGAAAAGAGATAAGTTGAATTACTTGTTATAACTCGACTTTTAAGGTGATTTGCTTCTCAGTCACGAATTTTGGTTAATGTTCAATCTCCATCGATCTCTTTTTTATTTAAGAACTAAAAATTTAATCCAATAACGCTATCATTTCAATATTAACAGTTTAAAAGTACATATTTTTACTAATTTTTATCTCTCCAGTTACAAGTAAATATCCATAATCCAGTACAACAATTTTATTCTCACTTCTCCTCCTCCTAGTGTAAAAGTTCGGTAGTTGCTTTTGTCTACGTATTTATATTTTTTTATTTGTTTTTATGTCCTCGACTACATATCATACCATGTCAATAATAGAATAACAATGTGAAAATCGTATCCCTAAGTATTTATGTCTAGTTGATGAACCCCATACTGCCATGCATGCGTCATTAAGAATCATTCCATAAAAGATTTTGTGAACCACACCCGAACATATATTTCTCTTCAAGCCTCTTAATCACATGGCCAAATATTTATTAACCTGTAATCTTAATTATCTTTTACCAAAATATATCTTTTAAGGTATATATAGGAAGTGAATTGTTATTAGCACTCCAAAAATCTTATTCTACACTCCAAACTTTCTATATTTGGAAAGAAAAATACGCTTGTGAGGAGTGTAAAATGAGATTTTTGAAGTGCCAATAACACTTCTCTATAGGAAAACTCCATTAAGATAGTCAATGGTTGGTTTCCATCCTTTGTAATTTGGTTTCAATGTGACATTATTTATATAATTAATTACATGGAGCCCCTTGTTTTATTCAGAGAAAATTTCATCGCGAATAACCTGAGAATAGTTGAATTCTCCCTTGTTTTATTTAGAGAAAATCTTACAATAGATGAACAGAGAGAAGCTAAATTCCTTGTTATAACTTGACTTTTAAGGTAATTTGCTACTCAATTAAGTCCAATAATTTAGAATACTGGGTAGTCTAGTTTTATATCCATTCAATTGACAAATAAGCAAAAATATTATTTACTCAATTTTTCGAACCGTTCATTTTATGTATCTAACTTATTGAAGGGATGAGGATTATCTCCGGATCCTCTTTGTAAGGAACTAGAAATCTTCACATCATGTCCGTTCATCGTATATCGTACGATTAGTTTTTGTTAGATACTATTTGTATTTAATTTTAAATAATAAAATTAAAAAAAGATTTATGACTGCATAATACACAATAAACGGTTAAGATGTAAGGATCCCTATAATTCTTACAATTTGAATTCGGATTGGATCCAAATCCTTATTGAAGAAAATCATTGTTACTCACCTAGTTGAGAGGGGAATCTACCTCATCAACCTGCCAGTTTTCTGTTTAATCAAACCTCAAAATAAAGTGATAAAGAATCTCTCAAACACTTAATTTATACATTATATAACTAATCACTTTAATGTATTATATTATTTCACAAACCGCCCTAGAAAAGTCGGATCTTCTTGGTCGAACTTGCGTTTAGGGTTTAAGAAAAGAGAGAGTGGGCCCTTGCAACTTGAGATGCATCCCTTAACTCAATCTTGAAAACCATATGGCAGACACCATAGTTATTACCACCATCAACGGTGCACCTCTCACAACTCCAAGATCTCACGATTCATTTATGGGTGGGTCCCCTGTTCCACAACATAGCCACCCCCGCATTAGCTACACACCACGTGGATCCCCACCATTGGCCGGGGCCATGCAACCCAAAAGTAGCATAGGCCCTGCCCGTCTATCTCAACAAAGCCCACAATCTCCATGCCTGAAGGAAATTAAAAGACGACGCCACGTGTCCGCAGGGGAACGTCACGATGACGAGGAAAGTGTGGTCCGGATCCGATGATTATGTCATGGGGGAGCGGGTCCCGCCCCACTACCCTCTCGCTCACATTAGTCCACGTCGGCTGACCCGGCCCTTTTATCGCTAGGGTAGGGCCCTGCCGGGAAGGGAAGGGAGGGGCTTTAGCTCTTTGTTACGTCAAGGTTCAATCTTTACCGTTCCACGTCGAAGTCAATGTGACGTCACCGTCATTTACTACGATGACCATCTGATTACCCCCCCCCATGTGACTGCTCCCACGCATTCCACCGGCAAATATCCAGTATTTCCGAGCTACCGTATTTTTTCGTTTAAAGATTCCCACGCGCTTGCTAACGTCGTGCACCAAATCCTTCCAATCATTCATTCACTCTTCCTCTTTTCGGTTCATTTTTCTAATCATGTTGGATCTCTTTCAAGCCCAACTCAACATTAGTTGGTTTTGAGTTCGGTTTGGTCATAAGTAGTAACAATTACGCTTATGAAAAATCGTTTAGCTGCATTTGTAGTGCATTTAATTAATAATACAATATCTTTTATGAATCGTCGACTTATTTTTCAACAAGCATGCCGTCAGAGTTTTGAGACACTTCCCCTATCTGAGAGCTTACAATTTGATGCCCACCCGATGGATTGATAGGATTGTTTCACACCCTTGGTTATGAATAAAACAAAATAAATATGCGAATGTCATGATCAATAATAGGAGAACATCACCATGGCAACTATATCAAAACAACGATAAAATGCTTCTTCACTTAAATACTTTATTTATAAATTAAGATTATGAAGTGACAATTAAGACTTAAATCAAGGAGAGAATTGGATTAGGGATTACAAATTTTGAGTTTAACGATAAAGACAAAATAAAGGATAAAGTGAATAGTAATATGATTAACTTTTTAGTGTAAAAATATAATTTTTCGTTAAAATGAATAGTACCAGGAACTTTTCGTTAAAATTATCTAAAAATAATGGAAGTGTACAAGAGCGCGTGGGTGTGAAAATGTTCACAACCTTCGATCCCAAAGAACCTATGTAACACAGTACTTTGTGATGTAAGCAAGCACACCTCCTAGGCCCTACCCCCCCCCCTCTCTCTCTCTCTCCTTTTACATTTATAAAACCCCCCTCTCTCTCACACCCACCACTTACCCTTCCCACCTCAATTTTCCCTTTGCCCCCCGTTGACATCATATTTCCTCACCACCTCTCTCCATTTCTACCTCAATTCACCACCGCTCATATTCCTCTGGATTCCCCGGAGATGCAAGGCCTACGGCGTTGCTCCAACGACGTCGTCCACCTCGGCCTATCCTCCGCCCCGACCCGCCCCCCACCCTCCCCCCCTCCCCCAAACCATTCTTCTTCCACCCTCTCCATCGACGTCGCCGAGTCCGCTGAGACCCGCATCCGCCGCCTCATCTCCGAGCACCCTGTCATCATCTTCAGCCGAAACTCCTGCTGCATGTGCCATGTCATGAAGAAGCTCCTCGCCACCATTGGCGTCCACCCCACCGTCATCGAATTGGACGATGACGAGATCGCTGCTCTCCCCCACGACGACCAAGAACAACAACAGGCTTGTAATACTCCGCCCGCCGTCTTCATCGGAGGCACGTGCGTCGGCGGCCTCGAGTCCCTCGTCGCCCTCCACCTCAGCGGCCACCTCGTCCCTAAACTCGTCCAAGTCGGTGCCCTCTGGGTATGACTACTCCTCCCACTACATAAAAAAACAAAAACAAAAATGAAAATCTCCATCTCTATCAGTGTCTGTTTTATAATTTTATTATTGTAATTATTGGCCATGAACATGTGCTAATTACTATTATCAATATTTTTCCAAAATTAGGAGAAATAGAGAGCTTGTTTTCAAGATTTGTAGTAGGATGAAGCACAAGATCTCGATGCGACAGTATTCACACAAATATGTTATATCGGAACATAATTAGTTTGAAATAACGTCACAATAACTTCCTTCGGAAGGAAGTTGATAATCTCTCTTTCAGTGTCGTATACGGGAGATGTTTACTAAATTACGTACATCGATCGCTTCTGATCCACGTTCGACGACTTCTATCTGGATTCTAAACAGTCTCTCTCTAGCCAGTAGCCTGGTCCCAGTGTGGGGTCTTTGATGATAAATTAGCAATTATTGGAGCATCAGGACCGTCCGATGTGTGGACTTCCTGGTTAGGTATGTAGCTCTCTCGATCTCTGTCTAGCTCATAGCTCTCTGTGGGTTCTGGCAATGGAATGTGATTGTATAATTGTTGTCGTTTCTTAATATTATAGATTGTAAATTTTGTCGTTTTTTTACTTAAGATAAAAAAGGAGGTTAATTAATTTAAGAGATTTTATATTTGGTTTGTGGGTCCTCACTTGCGATTATTGAGCAATCCTGGCCGTTGAATTTTAGTATATTCTTTTGTTCCCAATTGAAAAGTAGTCGGATCTAGACGACTGGTCGTAGTAGTAGTTGTTGTTTTGGGCATCAATGTCATGATCTTAACCAAGAGATTTTTTTACTACTTGTAGAGTGTGACAATAGGCTCTGGCAATCAGTATTTTAAATTATAATTTTAGGGAAATTTGTGTTTTTTCTTTTCGAGTAACTGAATGATTCACCTAAACTGTGATAAGAAGATTCAAACTCGGAACGAGGGGGTAAAATATTGTTCTAATTAAGACTAAATGAACCATACTTGGGGAACTTAATGTTAATTTTGATAAAATAAGTAAAAGAAATAGATCTTAAACCGGAAAAGTAACATTAAAACGCATGTTGTTCAGTTCTGTTAAAAGTATTGAATCGTAAACTGATATTTTAGTTCAATTCTTTCTCTTCTAAAATATTTCTCGTTTGAGAAAGAGAAAAAAAAAAAAGACAGCTAAATTCACTTGAGATCGAAGCCAAGGACAATGATAATTTGTCACCATGCACGAGGCAGTGTTCAATTTGGCGGTGTCATCGTGGTTGCTTCTTCAACCACCCGACAACCCATTTCACCATCACTGCACACATCATAATAAATACCTATTTAGCTCAGCATACGTACTGACTCCTTTGTTACCATGCAATTATATGCTATAAAATTGCATTTTAATTTAGATTGTAATCGTTGCAAGTACATATCACACAATCATAATTTTATACATTTTGGTACGAACCCAACTTCTTGAAAGCATCGTAAGAGATTAAGATGAGTGAACTCGTCAATCTAGCAGCTACATCTGCGATTGCGTACAAAGAGAATACGCATTATTAGAAAAAAAATTGTTTGTATTTTGTTTAGCATATAGTTAGATTAGTTTATAATGCGTATTCTCTTAATATTCCCTTTTACAATGTTATTTTGTACTGACATTGAATTTAGAGCTATTTTGAGAATTCTCTAAGAGCAGTTCCTCCGAATACCCAATTGCAAATTATTGCCTAAAAAAAAAGAAGGGAGTTTCACAACCCATATGAAAAGGTCAGGCAATTGGTGAGCTCAATTGTGCCGGACTACCCAGTTCGGCAATTCTTGCCCAACCGCGTGTGTCCGAGTTGGATCTGATGTCATGCTGACGTTAGCCACAATAAATATCTAAACTCGTCGTAGCCCGCCATTGTACCTATTCTAGGGGCTCCTCGTCGCCCTAGCTTGCCATTGATTCCCACTTGTCATCGTCAATCAAATAGAGAAAATAATTTTTTTAACACCAATTGCTTGAACGATACATTTAACGGGACGAAGATGCACTCAGTCAATCACTATCTCTAAAACAATAATTGCCTATTGTCCAATTACCTGAGCAATTATTGCACGAAGGGGGTAGAACTGCTTTATAGTGAAAACCAAGGAAAATGAATTTTTCTCTCTCCTTACAAGGCGAAGAGAGACTTTTATACAATATAAATATTACTAATGATAATAGTCTAAATGCACTGCTATGTAAAAATAAAAATTATGCTATATACTCATTTCTTTTTACTTTCTATACATTTTTTTATAATTTTTGGATATCAGATTGAATGAATTTAAGAGGATCAAAAAACATAAATCAACGAGAGGATGTGTATAAAGTAAAATGCATTTGTAAAATAACACCATCCTAAAACAATAATGAGACATGATTGACTTAAGATATCGCTCCAATTGCCATATATTCACATTTCGATAATGAGAGCACATTCTGAAAATACGTAGGAGATGCACCAATACCTGTTTTAAGAGCATCTCCATGAGAGATGCAAAATATAAAATCTCCATCTTAGACGGAAAATATAAACAAAAACCTAACTTCACATCTTTTATTTGACAGTGAATCCACCAACCAAATAAAGAAAATAATAAAATATCAAATTTACATACTTCCTATTAGAGTAAAACTTGTAGATAAAGCTATAAAAAATATAAAATGGGATAGCAAATATAAAACTTCCATCTCCCTATCAGAGATGCTCTGAATCATTAACAACACACCAGCACAAGAAAATATTACCAAAAAATGCGTGTGATTATCATAATTAAGCAACATAATTGATTCTAATTTGATGAAGAGCTTGTGGTTACCACGAGAGGCTCGTCAATCTTTTCCAAATTTAGGAAAGAATGATGAGATGTTGAACGGTGATAAATTAAGGGTTAGAAACCCAACCCCACGTCGCATCAACCCACCTGGGACCCGGTTTCTCCTTTGTCTTTGGAAAAGACAAGTAGTATTAGTGACGGTGATGAGAGCAAAACCATTAGCTACCACAAAACCCACAATTGCCACAGTCCGAGTGTGCGTGTCCACCTCTTATTCCTTCTATTAATCGTTGATACTACGTGGCAGACATGCAGTGGGCTTCATTGACTCCATTGGCATGGCTGGACCCCCCTCCGTGTAGAATCTTACAGCCTCACGTCATAAGAATCTCCCTTGTGATTCCCTTATAAATTTAAACGCTAAGGAACTCTCAACTCTTTATCGTAAATTTTTATGTCTAAATTAAAAAATATTGTGAAAAAAAATGAGTTTGCGAGTACGAAGAGTTTCATTTAAAAAAAATCTTCATAGCATTTCTTGAAATACATGAGGGAAAAAAAATTATAAACATAAATTTTTAATGGAATTATTGGGCAACATAGAGTGATAGTTCCTTGTTGGTAGGGTATTAAGTTACACTTTGCCCTAGTTTAAAGTGGCAAAAGTCACTTTAGTGCAACACTTTAGTTTTATGATTCATTTTTCGACAATTAGCATGAATGATTCATTTTTAAAATTTCAGTTACTTGAATAATTATTTTTAGCAATGATGATATATTAATAGTATATTGATGATTCAACGATGATATAATAATACGTAATGATGATAAAATGATAAAATAATGAACACCGATCATTTATGTAACCAATGTCCAAAATTGATAATTTATGCTAATTGCCCTTCATTTTTCTGTAATTGTGATGTCGTACTTGCACTCAAAAAAACTTCGAGGCGTCTCTATGACTATGATAACTTTCACACTGAATATAATTAACGATAATCATATATGAACCTAAGTGTGACTTTAAAGTTTACTTTGAAATCAATTGGGTGCCTTTATATAAGTTTTTTGTTCTTTATATTTCGACTTCATTTCCTAAACCCTCCCCCTAGTATAAAAATATCAATTTATTAAAAAAATAAGTTTTTATTTATTTATTTAAAACAAATGATATTATCTAGGGGGATGGGTTAAGCCTCACACAATGAGCTACCAATGATGTGGTTCAATTTTGCTTTTGACGAGAATCAAACTTAAGATCTCTCATAAATGAAGAATAATACCTCTAGACCGTTATATTAAGTGACGATATTTTAAAAGAAGTTAAAGATGCATAAAATAAATGAATTGGTGATATAAAATTCAGATTAAAAGTCAAATAATATCAAAATATACAGAAAATCTGTTTTGGAGAGGCCCACTGAGTAGGACAAGGGTTGTCTGCCCTCTATTTCCGATGCCCTCTCCGTGCCCTCTTGTTTTGTGCGGTCACGGTTAAGCCACGTCAACATTTTATATTATTTTTTGTATAGATATAATAAAACAAAAATAAATAGTAATATAAAATGTTGACGTGGCTTAACCGTGACCACACAAACAGGAGGGCACGAGAAGGACACCGGAAGTGAAGGGCAGACAATCCTTGTCACACTGAGTAAGCCTCATACTGTCCCACAGGTAAAGCCTCCACCAGACAGTTTAGTGAGTGGTGACGCCAACATCAGGCATTACCTACCTACTAATTAGTTCTTAATTATCGTTTTTAATCATTTATCGAAGTCTTTCATTTGATTTCATTGAACATCAAAAGGAAGTACACTTACTGCAAGGGAATCACAAGGAAATGAACACAAAAAGTTCGAGCATATGAGTTTTACCTAGTGAATGACTGCTCGTCATTAAAAGCTGTGAAAGAGTTTGGATCTCATTGTGAGATTCAACTCTCATTTACGAAAGCCGTCAATGAGTCCGGACCTCAATGTGAGATTAAACGCTCATGTACGATGGCCATGAGGCATCAAGTAGAGCATATGCTGATTGTCCTTGTGGATATTCGCAATAAAAATGTAAGAAGGCAACACCAACAAAAGTTGATGATGTCGAAATACTTTTGGATCCAGGCATTTGCCAACATTCCCACCCTACTATTTTTTCAACCAAAAAAAATCAGTGAGTAAATTGCCAGAGCCTGAAAAAGCTTAGGCGGCAAAGATGAATGTCATCACTGCGTGTTAAAAAATGACAATATCGAACTCATCTGCACTTTACAAAATATTTCCTGCTGTAATTTCCCATTTTGCTGTCGTTCTAGTCCTAAATCTCTAATCTTTTGTTAAAGAGTGAGCGACGGGAAAAGTGATTTGGTGCTATAAACCACCCCAATTCATGAACTTCTTGACCTCGTCGTACAAAACCAAGATGGCAGCAGCGCCGGTACTCCTAAACACATTCGAAACTGCACCACGATAAAATGAAGTCACCCCTTCTCTCCTATATATCTTCCTCCAGCAGTCCAAAGTGTTATCATACATCCGCTGTTCCAGTCCAGACTGCATCATCATCCGCCTCCGAACTGTGTCAAGTGGATATGACAACAACCCAGCAGATGTTGTGACTGCCTGAGCCACTACCCAACGCTGCCACAATGGCAAATCACGTTGACAGTCTTCTGATAAAATTTCCTTCATCGTATCAAAGCCTCCAAAGTAAAGCCCCCGGTGAATGACCATTCCCTGTAAAGAGGCTGGAAGCCCTCTGTAAACCCCTTGAATCCCGTCCTTTTGGCGAATGGTAGACAAGAAATGGTATATTCCTCGAAATTGACGGATTTCAGTTCTTCCAATGTCAGCAGCCAGGCGGGTATGTGCAATATCAAGCGGGTATATTATGATCAATGTTGTACAACCAGCAGCAGCTCCAGCCATGAAATTTGCAGATGGACCAGCCAAAAAATGACCATCTTGAGAGTGTCCACTTCTTAATACGTTCCTATAAAGGTCCTGTTACAGAAATTAATTATATGGATAATGCCCTGGGATATCATAATGAAATCTTAAGAACTATTCCATCAACCACCGTAGCAAGTAACAACTAGAACGGCAGACATCAACTTTATTGTGTTAAATTCAAAATGTTGTTGGGAGCTTTATTCATCGACTTTGATTTAAAATAACTCATTTAAATGAACATTTGGATAAAATATTAACTTTTAAATGAACATTTGGATAAAATATTAACTTTTAACAAGTAGGTACTGACTGACTAATCCAAAGATAACCACATCTTTCATATCTACTGATGCTACTTATACCATCTGATCAGGGCATAATGCTTATCTAGGTTACTCTCCTATAATCAATTGTGTCAATACTTTCTGCTTTCCTCTCTTTACATATGACAATAATATTACCAAGACACATACTATGCCATTGGGGACGTGGGTCAAGAAATCCAGACAGATGGGTTTAGTGTGGTTAAGCTTCTAAACTTCATGATTTCTTCGGGTTACATTTCAGACACACTTTTCCTTTTATAATTTCCCTTTTCAGGCTAAACAAGTTATGGCAAACTACAACCCAAGATCACAGCACTTACAGTGTCATAAGTTGAGACCACTTCTTAGTGGGGGGCCAGCTTCCTTGTATTCCTATTTACCACATCAAAGAGAATCCCACATTTTTAGGCTTTCTGCTATAAATCTTGGTTATTGTTGACAACCCTTTTCAGACGCTTACAAACACTTGCTGCATGGTCATGTCATATAATTTTAAACATTTTTCAAAAGGCCTAGTGCCTTGATATCTCTTTCTTCAATGCTATCTTCACCTCCCTGTTATTGTCAATCTCTCTAATTTCCTTACAAACTAATGCAACCTAAAATTCTACTTTTCTTTCCTCTTTTCTAAATAATGCAACCAAAATCTACTTTCTTTTTCCTCTAAACCTGTTTTGACGATTAAATTTCTACCAACAAAGGCCCGGTACAATCCTTGGCAACAACCCACATTCTGCTCGTCATCCAATATGGATGTGTTAGCATCTCAAAATATATTAACCGTGTCACTCAAATGGTTTTGTAAGGTCCGTGCATTTTAGTTCTATCTAGCTCACCCTGCACAGTGTTAGTTACTAGTTCAACTAGTTGTTCGGTTCTTGGAATGAAATTCCACCATTATCATTTTCATTATCTATGTTGACATGCTAATTCTGATCCCAGAACTAATTAAACCATGCTAAACAGTGACCTACAGATCATCCTTAAAGTAGGTGAACCAGAAAGACACCGGAAGCATCCATGCTTAGTGAACAAAATCCCACATCTACACTCGGCTTACTCTCAATCAGATGTCTCCAAACATTATCTCATAAAACAAACGAAACCATAATGTAATATTCCACACCCGACAAAAAGCATCTCGGCAATGGTTTAGTGGTTGCTTAGCAGGCACACGCTTATAACAATCAAGGAATCAGGTTCTCCCCTTTTCTCTTTCCCCCTTTCTTTCTCCACTTAAAAATTCCACCTAATAACTAGCAGCAAAGTATACAAAGGAGGCGCTGCAACAATATGGATTCTTTTGAGAAAAAAACAGATATTTGAACGCTGCATTTGCTAAGAAGCTCAATCACTCACCTAATGAGCTTCAGGAATAAAATCTTGTTTCCTGTAACTGCAAACAAAGCCTATTCAAGTTCATACAGCCCGAAAACAAGCTGCATTACCGCTCAACATGAAATATCAACGAATTTCCCAAGTACTTCATCGTAACATACTAGTGAATGGAGCCAAAGGTAAATCAATCCAAAGGTAATCTTGCATACAGAACTTTAAAATGTTCCAATAAGAACACTATTTCTTTCATCCTTACTATTATTTTCGCTTTTTCGTACTAAAACTGGGTTAGATTCTAACCAATCCAAAGATAAATCAAACCCATTGGCAACAAACAATTCCCAACCAATTAAGAGAAAAATCCAACCTTTTAAGAGAACAATCCAAAGGGACCAAAACCCAGAACACAAACATTCAAATATTGAAAGCAGAAGAAATCAAAGAACTGAAAGAACATTACCTTGAGGGAGAAATTGAGAGCGACCGAAGGGTAGTATCGGAGGACGCTGCTGCCGTTGCCTCTCCAAAGAGACAGGATGCCTTCTTCCCTGACCGTCCGGGCGATGCAATCCACCATCCCCTTGAACTTCGTCCTTCCACCGCCGAGAATGGCCAGGTTGCTCTCCTGGGTCTGCAGCAAAAGCTTGGCTCTCTCGATTGGGGCCACAATCGTGTGCACGACGCTACCCATCACTGCCCCGGCCATCAGATCACGGTGGAAGTTGGTCAGCCAATCCGGCGGCTGTGACTTCGACGCTTTCGCTTCTGGGTCGTCGTCATCCTTGCTCATTCTCTGCGGGAAACCCCTCCTCTCCCTATCTCTGCGGAAAATGGAAGAAGATGGAAATGGTGGGAAATTGAGTAGACCGATTACCCATTTAATACATATATTAATCAATGAATCAAAGAGATTAAATTAAACCCAAATCCCAATTTCCCCAAAAGATCAAAGCTTTATTGTTGATTAAACAGATTAATTAGATAATTAATTAAAGATTGCTTCTTTGTTTCTGCTTATTAGATGCTGGAGAAAACGGAATACGCGCTGCACCTTCCGAAGTATCGACGAGGGCTTTGGAGGTTGGATACATCATACATGCACCCCAGGATTGATCGTTAAGTATGAATTTTGTTTTGCCACGTATGCTCTGACCTCTGATGATCAATGCTTGTTTTTTTTATTATCATTTGCCGCCCATCTTTCATCGTTAGAGTCCCATGCCGAGTCAGAGCTGCAAAGTTCAATACGTAAGAGAAACAAAAACTAAAAGAGAGATTGAATCCGAATAAAACTTACATGAAACGAAAACGTTGTTCGACATACTCATTTAATATAAGTTATGTCTTGGATGCATTGGATAGGCGGACAAGTTTATCAATTCGGTTAAAACTTTGACATTTCCAGTTAAGAAGAAGATTTAAGTCAAAAGAGGTACAAGATGGTGTTTCACTTTTTCAAGATTGTTTAAATTTGTGTGTCATTTGCGTGAAAGAAAATGCAAGTTGGCCATTTACAAACCGTGCATTTTGCGAAAGCTTGTGGTCCTTTTCTTTTGAGAAAAAAAGCTTGTGCACGTAGACACAAGTAATTTCTCAGTGTGATGTCACATTGATAGACTATTTAATACTGTAAAATTCATAAAACATCATATGTCGTTTGTACATAACATATCAGTTATATCGTCTATTTCTGCTAACACGTGAATAATAAACATCAGGAGTCAATAACGCTCTCTCAAAAACTAATCCATGCACATGACACAACTTAGGAATTAAAGCCCAAGTATAAGCTAACCCATGATCGATAAGGCCCATTTGAATTTGTTTCCTTCGTGGACTTTTAACTTGGATGAACTAAGAGGGCCATTAAGTCTTGGCACCAAGTTAACTAGGCCGACCTCCAACCCGACCCATGTGATTAAAACCCAAATCCGAAATTTTCCCATTTTTTCCCAACAAAAACAGTAAGAACTGAAGCGCGTTATTTGTCTGAATTGAAACCAGCAGAGCTGCAGGAGGGACAGGATTACATGTAGGGAATCTTGAAGGAAGACCCCTACCAAAAAGTGGACGGTGAAGTTGAAACTGACAAATGAATGCAAACAAACTTATCTTAATTTACTCTGCAAATCCAAATTTGGATGTTCCCACATGAAATGAAGAAATATCTATTCGTTTGAAGCTTGTTCTTCTTCCTCTTTCTAATAAAGTGTTCTTATATTAACTCTGTGTTCCAAGGAAAATGTGAGGTCGACACCATCTGACCTTAAAATTGTTAATCTACATGTAGCTAAATTCATGTTCGTGGAACTAACAAAGCAACAGGGATTCGAATTAATCTACATCTATCTATTCTACGTAAGATCTTAGTGTAAACCATAATCTAGCTGCAAGATTCAGTTACTTAAACTACAACCAAGTAGACACAAAACATCAATCCAAATAAAACCTAATTATACTAACCTGTAGAACTCCCGTTTGATGCAGTCATGGTGGATCTCGATCAACCTGAAAAGCACAGCAATTCTTCTTCTCTCTGTCAGGGTATTTATCACTCAAACTAAGAATAGGGCTTAGTTCCAAAAGAGCACACACCTGTGAGAGAAGAGATTGCCATATATATATATATATGTACACACATATCCTTCTCATATTAGAATATGGATTCCCTATTAAAATCCTTATGGAAAACTACTTAAGTCTTCCTAATTCAAATCAGTTTTTCCCTGCAATAGAGTCCTCTACTGCCAAGAACTGAATTCCATCTTCTTAGAGGCTTTCTTATTCGGATTGGACTCAAACAACTGATACCGATCATCTTATCTCATGTTCACATTCTTACATTCTCCCACTTGAACATGAGACAAAGATCAAACCTTGCTGTCACCAATCATAAGAAGTGATCACATAACCTCATCTAAGATTTAACCATCATGACCACTGTCCCATTACATCTCAAAATATAGAAACCAAGAATCTCAGACCACAACCAAATTGTAGTATTAATTCAAGGCTCACATATATTCAATTTGTAAATATGACTCATGACTAACATAAACCGTCAAACATTATGCTCCCACTTTTCAAAAGATCACAACACACATTAATCTTCACAGAAAAGCAACATAGTAATTGACTATATAAAATCATTAACCATAAACTTAAAAACAGACAAACTGTTCTTTCAAAGTTACTAATGAAACTAAATTTCTAACTCAGTCCAGTATCCGTACCTCAACACCTGAAAGCCAAAGTATCGAGTAGCAGACAAGGACACTTATTAAAACACAAACAACCTTAACAAACTAACTAAAGCAAGTTAAAACATAAAGCATCCTTAGTTCAGCTTGTCAGAATTGCACATACATTTCTTGAAACACATATACTTCTGCAATCCCAAGCCTTTAACACACACGTGATTACTCCCACTGATCAAAACCTTCTAGTACTCCCATTGAAGAAACATGTTTCTTGAATTCTCCAATTGGCAGTGCCTTAGTCAAGGGATCAGCAATCATCATAGTAGTGCTAATGTGCTGTACTTCAATAACTCCTTTCTTGACTTGTTCTCTGACCTTAAGAAACTTCACGTCCATCAATCTAGATGCTGAAGTCCTTTTATTATTCTTAGCAAAAAACACAGCCGAGTTGTTATCACAGAACATTGTTACTGGTTTCTGAACCGAATTCACAATCTTTAAATCTGTCAAAAAATTCTTCAACCATGCTGCCTGTTTCATGCCTTCAAAACAGGCTACAAAACTCAGCTTCCATAGTTGATGTGGGCTATAATAGTTTGCTTTGCACTTTTCCACGAAACTGCCCCTCCATTGAGTATGAAGATATAACCCCCTGTGGACTTCCTGTCATCCACATCTCCAGCTAAATCCGAGTCTGTATACCCCCTGAGTTCCAAAGAATCAGTTCGGCCATATACTAACATGTGAGTTTTGGTTCTCTGCAAGTATCGAAGAACCTTCTTAGCTGCCACCCAATGTGCTTCTCCAGGATTTGCTTGAAATCGTCCTAGCATACCAACTATGAAGGCAATATCAGGCCTTGTATAGATAGTTGCATACATAAGACTTCCAATCAACGAGGCATAAGGCTTAGCTTGCATTTTTCTTCACCTCCAAATCAGATCTTGGACATTGAATCTTCGAAAACTTGTCACCCTTTATTGACTGGGAACCTGACCACAATTGCAACTTGCCATATGAAATTTCTCCAACACTCTGTCAATGTACCCCTTTTGAGATAAACCAAGGAGCCTCCTTTTCCTATCTCGAACAATCTCTATTCCTAGTACATAATGTGCTTCTCCAAGATCTTTCATCTCAAAGTTATCACTTAGCATTCTCTTAGTGCTATGAAGCAATTGGGGACATGAACTAGCTAGGAGAATGTCATCAAACATAAAGTACTAAGAAGATGAACTCGGAACCTGAGAACTTAATGTATATACAATCATCCAGATTGTTTTCTACAAAACCTTGTGCAGAGACAATTTGATCAAACTTTAGGTACCATTGCCTTGATGCTTGTTTCAAGCCGTATATGGACTTATTGAGCTTGCATACCAAATTCTCTTTCCCCTTTTCAACAAATCCAACAGGTTGTTTCATGTATATAGCCTCTTGTAAGTCTCCGTTAAGAAAAGCGGTTTTTACATCCATTTGATGTAATTCAAGATCGAAGTAGGCAGCTAAAGACATGATAACTCGCATGGAGTCTTTGGAGGAAACTGGAGAGAAAGTATCATTATAGTCGATCCCCTCCCTTTGAGTAAACCCCTTAGCAACCAACCTTGCTTTATATCTTTCAATTCTTCCAGCAGCATCCCTTTTGGTTTTATATACCCACTTGCAGCCTATTGGCCTAATTTCAGAGTTGGATTCCACCAATGTCCAAACCTGGTTTTGGACATTGAATCTAACTCATCCTTCATTGCATTGTTCCAAAGAACTGCTTGAGGACTTTCAGTTGCCTGAGTATATGTAAGAGGATCATCAATGTCACCAATATCGAACTCAGTCTCTTGTAAGTACACATAGTCATTGCTTGCAGTGGTTTTCCGAGCTCTTGTGGACCTTCTGATTTCAACTGGAAGTGAGACAGCAACTGGTTCACATGCTTCTGCAAAAGGAATTGTTGCAGCTTGTGTTGTGGAATCAACTCCTACAGAGTTGTCATCAGGAACTCCTAAATCTTCACTCATATCTTCAATGGCAATTGATGATTGATTGGGAAACAATGGGACTGGATTATAATCCATTGTCACATGGTCCCCACCATCTGAATGCATCTCTTCAAATATGAAATTTTCCCTTGACAAATGAGAGACATCTTCATCTTCTAGGAAAACTGCATTGTGTGTCTCTTGGATCCGAGTGTGACCTTGAGGGATATAGAACCTGTATCCTTTTGATTTCTCAGGATAGCCAATAAAATAACATGACTGAGTCCTTGAATCCAGCTTTCTTTCATTAGGATTATATAACTTAGCTTCTGCTTTACAACCCCAAACATGGAAATAAGTAAAACTAGGAACTCTCCCACGCCATAACTCATAGGGTGTGGTAGATACTGCCTTGCTTGGAACTCGATTCAATATATGATTAGCTGTTTTCAAAGCTTCTCCCCACAAGAATCCTGGCAATTTTGATCTGGACATCATGCTTCTAACCATACCAATAAGAGTCCTGTTTCTTTTTTCAGAAACACCATTCTGTTGAGGCGTTCCAGGTGTGGTGTACTGCGCCACAATACCATTCTTCTCGAGATAGAGAGCAAATGGTCCCTTTTGCTGCCCGGATTCAGTGTACCTGCCAAAGTATTCACCTCCCCTATCCGATCTAACAATTTTAATAACCTTGCCTAACTGTTTTTCAACCTCAGTTTTGTAAATTATAAACACTTAAGGGCATCAGCTTTTTCATTAATCAGAAAGGTATATCCCAGCCTTGAAAAATCATCTATGAAATTAATGAAATACTTGTTTCCACATATTGTCTTAACTGGAAAAGGACCACAGATATCAGTGTGTATGATTTCAAGTAACCCCTGGCTCCTTTTGGCATCTGTTTTTCTAAAATTGGTCATTTTACCCTTTAGGCAGTCAACACATTCAGTTGCAGTAGAAAGATCTAATTTTGGAATCAAGTCAGTTTTTTACAGCTTAATTATCCTTTCTTTAGAGATGTGTCCTAGTCTTTTGTGCCATAAATGTATGAAGTATCCTGACCTATCATTCTCTTAGTACTAATGCTGAAAATCGTGTGATTGAGTGCCTTAACAGTGCAATTTAGATTCCATAAATTATCAGACAAAAGGGCAGTCCCTAAAATAGTGTTAGGACAGTTTTTCTTGAAAATTTTGAGGCACTCATCATCACCAAGAAAAGAAAAACCATCTTTTACAATTTTAGAGGCAGAAATTAAGTTTCTTCTCATCTTAGGCACATATAGCACATCTTTCAATTCTAAAACATAACCAGAACATAAGACTAATTTGACTATCCCAACTGACTCTACTGCAACTTTAGTTCCTTCCCCAACAAAAACATTATATGTAGCATTTCCAAATTCCTTTTGTTTTTGAAAACCATTTAAAGAATTAGTTATATGCACTGAGCATCCGGTATCAAACCACCAAGAATCAACAGGTACTTCACAAAGATTTGATTCAATACAGACAAGTACTTGTTCCTTTTTTCTTTGCTCTTTACATAATCTTTGAAAATTTCACAGTTAACTTTTAAATGGCCCTTAGTTTTGCACCAAAAAACATTTTTAATTTAGACACACATCTTTAGGTTTAGCTTTAAACTTGATAGATTTTCTAGGGGAGTCAACTACTTTAGCAGAATTACTGAACTTATTAGAAGTTTTAAAAGGCTTAGAACTCTTACCAGAACCAGAAAAGCTTCTGTTGTTGAACTGCTTTTTGTCATTTATAGTTTGCACAAAGTTGATGTCCTCAACTTCTTTGCCTCTTTCTTGTTTTTGACGAGTTTCTTCTTGCACACACTGTGCAATCAACTGATCAATATCCCAGTTTTTGTCTTGAGTATTGTAGGAGATCTTCAACTGACTATATTTACTGGGAAGTGCTTGAAGAATCATGAATACTAACTGCTTTTCACCAATGTTTATGTCCATTGCATTGAGTCTTTCTGCAGCATCTGTCATCTTCATTATGTGATCCCTTATAGAGCTTGTACCCTCCATTTTGTAAGTAGTTAATAAAGACATATACTGACTCACTTCAGCTTTTTCAGATTCTTGAAATTTCTTTTCAATAGCTTTTAGGTAATCAGCAGCCAAATCGTGCTTCTTAATTCCTCCTCTGATTGTATCAGTCATGCCACTCTCAAGGATGGACAATGCTACCTTATTAGCCCTTGTCCATCTCTCAAAATCTGCCTTTTCAGCCCTTGTGCTTTGATCATTGACCACGGGTTTGGGATTCTCGATTGCTATATCAAACTCGTTTAGAGTCAACAGCAAACTGATTTCCCTTCTCCACTTCTTGTAATTTCCCCCACCAGTAAGAATTGGGATGTTAGCCAAATTCAGAGTCTTCATTGATATTGCAGACACTGTACAACACAATGAAATCACAGAAGAACGTTTAGAGTTCCAGATTTCATCTCACAGTCCTTTGTACATCATATCATCAAAACCTTTTATCCATATATATAATCTTAACAATGAAGAATTGATAAGCACATATAGAATAAAAGATTTTTCCTTTTAAGAACACAGTTTTAGCAGATCTTTATCAAATGAACAGTTCTTCATAAAACTTTCTGCATAAACAAGTGAAATCTGTAGAAGTTCTTATCGAAGAACTCCCTTCCATAGATGGTTAGAGAAAAACGCATAAACATAGGACTAATCAGCATAAATAAGCATATTTTTATGCTCACTATTCGAATCATGCTGTAGAACATAATGAAATTCAAGATAAGATTGATTAAAAAACAAATTTCAATTCAATGTTCAGGAGACATACCCGTTTGTTCTATGAGCATCAACACCCAGTAGCGGAAGCAATTAATATAAATTGTGGATACTCAACAACAATTCATATAACCCAGTTTTTCAAACCCCGAAATTGAAATCGATAGATGTCGATTTGTATTCCCAATTCGGAAGAGAAGATAGTTTATTAGTTCTTAACGGTCAAGTATTAATCATCATATTTTAATCAAAACGCACCGTTTCTTCTTTTCCTAATTTTAACTACCAGAACCTGTTTCGAAGTCTGAAGACCGGAATTTTATTTTGGATTCAATCAATTTTATCGATTGAATTTAAGAACATGAATCTATGGCTCTGATACCACATGTAAACCATAATCTAGCTGCAAGATTCAGTTACTTAAACTACAACCAAGTAGACACAAAACATCAATCCAAATAAAACCTAATTATACTAACCTGTAGAACTCCCGTTTGATGCAGTCATGGTGGATCTCGATCAACCTGAAAAGCACAGCAATTCTTCTTCTCTCTGTCAGGGTATTTATCACTCAAACTAAGAATAGGGCTTAGTTCCAAAAGAGCACACACCTGTGAGAGAAGAGATTGCCATATATATATATATATGTACACACATATCCTTCTCATATTAGAATATGGATTCCCTATTAAAATCCTTATGGAAAACTACTTAAGTCTTCCTAATTCAAATCAGTTTTTCCCTGCAATAGAGTCCTCTACTGCCAAGAACTGAATTCCATCTTCTTAGAGGCTTTCTTATTCGGATTGGACTCAAACAACTGATATCCGATCATCTTATCTCATGTTCACATTCTTACACTTAGAACTCTTAACATTGTAAAATATAGAGTAGAACCTTAACATTCAAGTCATTCATGTTTATGGAACCAACAAAGTAGCGACAACTAGAATCGGTTCATATTTGTGTGTACAATAATCTTAACACTTATAGTATTGTTAACCGTAGATCATGATACTAACATACCAGTTATTTATGTTTGCGGAACTAACAAAGCAGGAACGACCGGAGTTAGCCCAAATCTATTTGCACAAGAGGTGTGATATCCATACACCCTATTTTACTTCTCACACACCTTTTTAATTTTCGGCCGTCGGATCGGATGAATTGAAGAAGATCAACGGACAAAAATTACCAAGGGGTGTGTGAGAAGTAAAATGAGATGTGTGAATAGCACACCACTTTGCACAATCATCCTATTCCTATGACTCCTAATACATTATATTATAAAACATAACGGCAACGTACGAGTCATCTAGCTAGCCATCTACATGTATATTACTGAGCTGCGCGCGCACACACAAAATAAACTATTAAACGATGGTGGGTTGTGTTGTGCGAGCACTTGGGACCGGCCAACATATACCCTTTCTTAATTTGTTGCCCTATTCATTTTGCAGGCCAACAAAATGTCAGAATAAAACTAGCTAGCAATAAGCTATAAATAATATTTTAATATTGGAATTGGATTACTAAAATAATAATAGGTTAGGGGATAGTATAAGAATGAGGACTGTTTTCCCATAAGCATGTCTCTGCTCGGGAGGTGGATTGTTTGCCCTCCCATTTCCATACTTTTTCTATCCCTTCTTATTTTATGTGGTCACGGTTAAGTTACATTAATATTTTATATTCTTATTATTTTTTGTTTTATTATTTTTATAAAAAAATAAATATAAAATGTTGACGTGATTTAACCGTAATCATACAAACAAGAGGAAATAAGAAGAGTATGAAAATTGGATGACAGACAATCCACCTCCCTATGCTGGAATGAATATCCAATCATGCTTGTATATTTAAATGATGTGGTCGCAGATGCACAGATCAAAGTTAAAAAGGTTTTGCATTATTTTTCCTTTCTCTTTTACCCATGATGTTAAAAGGGCATAATCAACTTCTTATCATCTCTCTCTCTATCTCTCTCTCTAGTGTGCTGTGTGAAATCTAGCTCTCTTTTCACTTGGTTGCTTTATTTCTACTCTTTATGAGAAGGGAAAGGTTGGGTTATTTGAATAAAAAGAAACTTAAAAAGCTTATAAAATACAATTTAATTTGTAATGATGATTTTATTTGTACACACAAAATTGACATCCTATTTAGCTAGTTGGCAGCCTGAAACATTTTTGAATATATAGGTGAATCTTATACATGTGTGTTGTTAAAGTGTCAGTTTTGTATTTTCAAATATTGATTTTGAAAAGATGGATAAAATTAAATTATTAAAGAAGTAATTTGAGGGACTGGGAAGAGAACAAAGGAAAAGACAGAAAGTGCACGTCAGAACAAGCCTGTGGTTGGGCTGTGGTGGTGGATGGGTGGAGAGCTCCAAAGGGAATCCCTTCTCATCCCTCTCTCTCTCTCTCTCTCACTATTCTTCTCTCTCTCTCTCTCTCTCTCTCTCTCTCTCTCTCTCTCTCTCTCTCTCATGCAAGACATACACATGTCTTACAATTAAGCTTTCTGTTTATGACACAAAATTACTTGTTCCAAATTACCACATAGGGTTTTTTCTTGAATTTTTCTTGGTGTTTGTCTGCAACTCCAGTCTCACCAGCAAACCGAAGTGGCTCTTGCAGACATAAATTTAATCAAGAGAAAGGTTGGTGCTAATATTCTATGCTAGCTAGCTACTGGAAAAGTTCATGATTCTGATTTTCCTTTAAACTTAATTTATATGTAGCTCCTTTTTTTCTTATTAATTCTGTCTTTTGATTACTGCTTGAATTTTCTTGAAGGGTTTGAAGTTAGAGAGAAGATAAATCATGAAGGCTAGCTAGGGAAAACAGAATATTGGTGGGATTTGTGTGAAGCTGAATTCATCTGTTCACATTCTTTTACATATATATAATTCTTTTCTGAACTAGGGTTTGCAGTCAGATCTAAATCCTGTCACAGATGCGAAAGTTGAGATCTGTTGCTCAATTCGTTCATGAAACTGTATACAAACAATTGATGTCATCATATCCTATAATTTAAAGCAAAGGGTGTTTTAATGATGAATAAAGGTTTGATGGTGGATGAGAATATGTCAAATCTGACTTGTGCTTCTGGTGATTTAAGTGCTTCTAACTCAAGCATCAGAAATGAGTCATCTTCTGCTGGCACAGTCTACCCTCATCCCGCATCCTCAGCACAAATTCAGCAGCAGCAAGCACCGCCACCGCCAAAGAAGAAGAGAAATCTCCCAGGCAACCCAGGTCTCACCAAATCAAAATTAATTAATAACCAACATTGACACAGAGAAATGATATGACTTCTGCACACCTATTTTCTCCCTTCTACACATCTTTCTACACATCCTGTTTATTCATGTCCCTTGAGAATTGTGTAATTCAAACACCAACTATGAATAAACATGAGTTTACAAGAGGATTAAAGGGTGTGAGAAAATCACATCCATCTATATACTTACCTATCATGCATGTTAATTTAATTGGTTTTTCTTGTTTAATTTTGGTTTTATATTTTAAAATTTTAATTTTGAGCAGACCCGGATGCTGAAGTAATAGCCTTGTCTCCAAAATCACTGATGGCAACGAATAGATTCGTGTGTGAGATCTGCAACAAAGGGTTTCAAAGAGAGCAAAACCTTCAGCTTCATAGAAGAGGGCACAATCTGCCATGGAAGCTAAAGCAAAGGACGGGCAAGGAGGTGAGGAAGAAGGTGTATCTGTGCCCGGAACCAACATGTGTCCACCATGAACCATCAAGGGCTCTTGGGGACTTGACTGGGATCAAGAAGCACTTCTCTAGAAAGCACGGTGAGAAAAAGTGGAAATGTGAGAAATGCTCAAAGCGGTATGCAGTTCAGTCGGACTGGAAAGCTCACTCCAAAGTCTGTGGCACAAGGGAGTATAGATGTGATTGTGGAACCCTTTTCTCTAGGTAAGAGCATTATAGGTAATTAATTATTAAAATAGCACTACCAGAGAAAGATTATAACTACATTAACTAGTTTTTAAGAATCAACAACTTAGGATTAATATACTTTAGAATTAATATCCATACGTAAGTTATTAATCGATCGGGTATCAATTGATATATATTGTCATTTAAATTATGAGTTACATGTTCAAGAATATCAAATACTGTAGATTAATAGTCAGTACCTAACAATCCATAACCTTGATACTGCACAACCTTTGTGAAATGAGGAGAGAGAAAATCATATGGTAATTAGCTTTTGATGAGTTGTGTTGGGTTACATATATAAAGCGATTAGTGTAAGAACCTTTAATGTGTTTCACGCTTACACACATCTGCTACTGTCTTTTGTCCTCAAAAAACAAAAAGAACGAAAATACAAAAAGGTCCATATGTGAGAGAGAGAGAGAGAGAGAGAGAGGACAACACTGTTTAGGTTACTTTTTTATGGTTGTTTTTTCCTTGCTCTTTTTGTTTTCTTGTGGTTTTTTTTTATTTATGATGGGGTAACTCTGCACACAGGAGGGACAGTTTCATCACACACAGAGCCTTTTGTGATGCTTTAGCACAAGAGAACAATACAAGCTCTGCAGCTGCCAGATCGGTAATGCCAGCCTCAATAAACCCACTTCTCTCCTCACTCCCCCAACTCCATAGCCATGGCCTCCAAGTTCAATCAGCTGTCAAGAGAGAACAGGATCAGCATCAGCAGCAGCTCCTTCCTCCGTGGCTTTCATTCTTGCCAGAAGGCGGCGAAGCGGCCAGCCTCCCTACTATGAACCTCTCCGCCTCGCCATTATTCTCCACCTCTTCATTCCAGCAATATTATTCTTTTGACCAAAACCCTAACCCTAGCAGCTCTTCTACTGCCCTACTCCCTGATAACTTCCAACTTCAACAAAACACCGCTTCCCCTCACATGTCAGCCACTGCCTTGCTTCAGAAGGCATCGGAAATGGGTGCGACCATCAGCAAAACCTCCCCTTCCCCATATTTTCTCAAACCACCCACCCACCAATCCTACCTAGCTCACCAAGCTCACATGTCCAACGAAACTTCGCGTGACCAAGCAATACTATTGGATGATGGGTTTGGAAACAATGAGAGTAAATCTTCACTCTTCCATGATATGATGATGATGAGTAGCTCTCATGGTTTTGGTCATGATCATCATCAAGTCTCGTCGTCGTCGTTTGGAGATCATCAGCAGCAGCAGCAGCAGGCTTTCAATGGAATTATGGTCGACGGTAATTTCGTCGAGATTAATAATAATAATCCTCCAAATAATTATAATAAACCGAGAAGTACTGACAACAACAACAACAACGAGGGTTTGACGAGAGATTTCTTGGGACTTAGAGCGCCATTTTCATCAGCAGCAGCATCGCATGGCGGCCACGGTGATTTATTCAGTATTGATATGGCGGGGCTCGACCATCACCACCATGTGAGTACTTCTTCTCCAGCTGCTTATAACAATGGACAGCAAAATGATCAGAACCAAAAATCGTGGCAAGGTTAGTTTGGTCATTTTCAGCATGTAGTCATTAATTTTCCTTCCCTGTAGAGAGAGAGAGAGACAGCAGTTACAAACTTACCATGTCTGAGGAATTCTTGAATATTCTGGTTAATAGGCTGTTTGAATGGTGCTCCAATCTTGCACTATTCGCCTTCCTTTTTCTTGCTTTATTATTTTGAATATTTGGTCTTTTTATAATAGTTTTCTGCTTTTTTATATTTTACTTTGCAATCAGTATGGTTACAAGCCACCGACAATGATATATTCCAACTTCGAGCAAATAATTGATTGTAGTGTGACGTGGTGGTCTACAATGATACGTGAGATTATTTTTGCTCAAGATGATTTAAGATTCTGATCACGATTGAAAGCTCATTTAAAATAAGTAAAAGTGTTTAGGATCATCAAAAGTGTATTTGATCATGTTTGAGAAAAAAAGTTAAAATTGTTTTTGTATTAAAAAACACTTTGAAATGCATTCTGAATGAAACACCTTCTATGTTCGTCTTTAATAAAACACTTCGAGTGTTTGTTCAAGAAGCACATGCACTTTAAAAATAAAAATAAAGATTTGCAGTTCTGAGTTTTTTTATTTTTTTATTTTTAACAAATCCGGTTCTAAGTTTTAAAGAATCACTTTCAAAGTTTTAAAGAGTAATTCTCTGATTCACCGTTTGTAACTATGTCAATTTTCACGATGAACTTTTTATTTTGAGCAATACCTCATTGAACTTATAAATAGCTAAATCTCTCCTAACTCCTAAATTTCCTTACATCTCTTTATTTTTCCGTCCATATTTGCCATGGGGCTAGCAAGTGAGCCACTAATGAGATGATCACATGCTTGCCGCATGGCAAATATTAACAGAGACACGGATACAATGTAGAAAAATTAAAAGTAGGGGAATAATTGGCTACTGATAAAACGTTTTGGAAGTAATTAGTTAAAATAAAAGTTCAAAGTAGAAATTGACAACGGGTTACAAATTTTCAAGAATAAATCGGCGAATTACTCTATTCCAAATTACTTTAATTTACTAGAGGCAAATTGATCAAACTTGAGTGCAAATGTTATCAACTAACAAAATCCGCATAGCTGATTGCATTGAGCGACTAAGTACTCTAACTTTTAATGTATATATCTGATCAAGGCGTAACAAAACCTAATCAATAATTACTGTTATTAGTTACCTTTTCGTATCCGTAATCACAACCTATATATGCACGCACACATGCACACGAATTTGTTTCAGAATTTGTGATGTATCCAGATCATTGACTCAAGGAAGTATAAACATAATTACTGACCAGACAAAGTATTTGATGTCTCAGAAATTATAATAATTAAAAGCCTATGAAGGCGCGGAGAGAAAGATTCGAGAGTACAGTACTGCTTCACTGAACATTGATGTGGTCGTATCATATACATCAAAGCTTTTTCTTTCTGTAATATGCTATATCTGATTTATATGTGGATGTTCAACGCAAAAAGTAGATGCTTTGTGCACAATGTGCAGTGCAGCTGCTCCATAGCTCTCTCGTGTTCGTTTCAATCCCGAGGCGGTGACTGTGAGAAAATAAAAGCAACGTTGAAACCCCACCCAGGTAGCGTCGACCATGTTCATGCTACGACTAAGTTTAATAGAAAAGCTTAATAATACTTATGCATGGTACTTCATGTTCTTTTTGGAAAAGCACCCACTCATGAAGTACTTGTCGGGTGCATTTGTTGCATCGGACTATCTCGGACTGGACTAGCTGCAGGGACTAAGCTGGACTGGCTTAGACTAGACTAAGCTGGACTAACTTAGTGAAGCGTTTGGTGCAGTGTCGGACTAAAAAGCATGATAATGAAAACAATACTGTTCACCAGATTTGTGTTTGCTTATACTAGAACTACATTATTGTTCTATTTTAATAGCTCAAAAACCTATGCCCAACGCCCTAAAATTTTTGCCATTGTGTAATAGAGTAATGCTACAAATCTCATGATCTGGGTTAATTGGAGCATATTTTTGCCATGAGCGGTAGGTCTCGGGTTCGAGACTTGGGAGCAGCCTCTCCATAAATGGGGGTAAGGCTAGCCGACATTCACCTCTCCCAGACCCTGCGTAAAGCGGGAGCCTTGTGCACTGGGTACGACCTTTTTTATATTATGAATCTTAAAAAAAGAGGACAATTGTTTTGTTTTTAGTACCTGCTAATATAAATGAAAAGATAAATACATATCCTAATTCAAATGAAATTGGGCTTGGTGTATAAAACGGTTTTACCACTTATTTTCCCTCCAATATTTTGTCTAGTTACAAAAACAATCTCAATTCTGTTAGAACACAGAGCAGGCTCCACAAGTATTCCAAGTTTAAACAAGAAAACAAGAAACAAATCAAGAGGTACAAAAAGGGCCAAAATATTTCATCGAGCTACATATGTTTTTATTTTTGTTTTTCTTTTACAAAAGTCATATTACGGGAGGGAGACACACAAACAAAGAACCTCGAATGTGAGGGTAAACTGGCTTAACCACTATTAACGGAGGCAGTACAACTAGAAGTCCCTTGCATCTCCATTTTCTTTAGATTGAAATGTTTTTGGGATTAACCCAAAAAACTCACATGGATTTCTACCCATATGTTCTTTTAAACGGAATTTTTTTTGGGGATTGGACCAAATTAATATTGTTATAAATATTTGTTACAGGGGGACAAAGCATCAATTGTTGGGGGTGCCATAAACTTTGTGAAGGAGCTAGAGCAGATTTTTCAGTCCATGAACAGCAACAAGAGGAGCAAGCAACAGCCTTTGGCTGACTTCTTCACTTTCCCACAATTTTCACCTTCCCACCATGTTATTCTTTCTATTTGAATGACATCCCTTACCAAGTAAACATGTTCTTGTACTGTCAACACAACAACATCATAAATACGCCAATCCTTTGTCAACTTCACAACATCAACTATGGAAATGGTACATTAAATTACAATCTTAAGGTAGCAATCATAATGCATATAGACTTCACTATGAACAAACAGTTTGTATGATAAAAACCACAAGAAGACCGCCTCATTTATTGAAATTGCTATCTAGGAAAAAAAACTTGTAGTTCAAACTTATTCAGCGGAAACATAGCATTCAATAGGAAAAGAAGCTATTGTCATCCAATTAAACATAGTTCAAACTTGTAGTACACTCCTTTGAAGATATTGTCATCCAATTAAACATGTAGGACACTGGAATTGGGGATCTTTACCACCTAATTAAAGAAGTGTATTTCTAAAGTTAAATTAAATTCATACGATCAAATATCAAACACCCATGAAGTTTTACAAAATGGTGGGTCCTTTTTTATATTGCCTAAACAGTTTGGTTTTTCTATAATATCACAGAAGTCATATTCACAGAGATGCAACGCAAACTTTCACACATCCAAGGACTACATTCAATAGATCCATGTCGAAAATTGATCTATGAGTTTAGGAATTATACCTTCTTCTAGACTTGAGGGTTTTCAGTCGTTTGTTACTTGTTTTCCCTTGGGTTCTTAGCACTGGCCACTTCCGTTTATGCTCCTCTTCTCTGCAACCAACAACCACAGAATATTGCAGTTCAGCATCAACCCCACACGGTACAAAACATTCACATTGTAATATCATGGTTGGGCATTGACAGGACATATGGAATTTCTTCCTGCCTATCTCCAATGCCATTCAAACAAGGTGGTCCGAGGAAGGTAAAAGGAAATCAAAAAATGCAGAAACAAAACCAAACAGAGGATACGACTTCGAACATAACCACAAACCAGATTCTTTCATCACTTGTCACGTGAGATATAGCAAGGCTTAGTTGTAAAGCCATGGTCGCAAGGCTTAATTATAAAGCCATCATAGTTAACAGGTAGTATTTTCCTGTGAATGAACAGAGTTGTGAGTGTTTTTTATTCACTTTAAAAGGAGGGGTGGGCGGGAAGTGGGTATATGAATCCAAATGCATCCAGGATGCATGCTAGTTAACCCTCCTGCCATATAGAAAGTCCAAAGTATGAAAGGACACGAAATTTTCAGATTAGCTGCTTATAAGAACAACTATGGAAATTCATTGGGTGCACGTTATAACTCGACTTGTATGCAATTGCTCTCACTTTCATATACTTCCCAGTGGCACAAAAGTAGAGTAAAGTTTATGCCAATTAAAAATGTCTAATTCATGGCCCATGCACCAGCAAAGACAATCCTTTCACTAGTCATCTCTCCTTGTTATCAGAAGAAATCTTTACGCCTCTCCCAGAGAATCAAACAAACAAATAAAATGAGACCAAAGACGAAAATTCTTGCAAAAGTTTCTCTAAAAGCTGAATGAAGATATTTAGATTTTCCACTGTAATCCAAACTCCATAAGCCCTATAAAATAGGTCAGGATTTTAATGTCAAACATGCCTGGTAATACAGATCTCCTTATATATGCCTTTAGACTAACACCTAATTTTCTCATGATCTCATATAAAGAGTGCATAACAAAATTTCTTCAGCTCACATAAATTCTCATCCAAACAATTCACAAACATCCAACCCTACATGAAATTTAATAAAATAAAAAAGAGAAACTAGTAAAGATTCGTGAACCAAGAACATAAAAACGAAAAACCACACAGATTTATGCTAACATAACAGAGATAGAAGTATGTGTTCCTTCTGCAAAAGAAACTTGTCGATTTTATGGCCAAGCATGGTTTCTGAGTTTGGATTTGAAAGAAAAGTTGAAATATGAAACCCCAAATTCCAATTTCAATTTGACCCAAACATCAAAACCCTAATTTGTTCAAGTGCAGAGGTCTATGATTGAAAATTTCTCAAACCCAAAACAACAAAATCAAATAAAGCTCAGTACCATCACGATCTGCAAAACAAATTGAAGAAATAAATCGAAGTTTCGAAGTTTACCTGACAACTTCGAGCATATAAGGGCGAGCAGATGCGGATGAGGGAAAGACGCAGAGATGATGGTGAGGACGACGATGATGAGGGAGCAAGCAAGGATGACGATGAGGGAAGACGCAGACGCAGATAAGACCAGCGACTCTCTCGCGGTTCTCTCTATCAGAACGACGAAAGGCTTATGAATCTGCCCGAAATTGGGGATCCCCGTTAAGAACGCATAAGGAGGTCTTTAATCCGAGCGAGTCCGACCTAAGCTCATTAAACCTAATCCTGGAGCAGACCAAACAACGGACTACAGTCTAGTCCAATACAATCCTGCCTAATCCGGTCAAACAAACGGGCCCCTCAAGTGTTTCTTCGAAAAAGCACTTTCAAAATGCTTGGTACAGGAGAAGGCCATTGTTGTGGGTTCTTTTCTTCCTTTTCCTTCCCCTTGGGCCTTGGCCGCAGGTTACTTGATGACTGATGATTTGAGTTGGGCCGACGCAATTGACCCATTTATATTGGGCCGTTGGTTCAATCACTATTAGATAACATGTAGTGTCACTGTCAATCACAACAAAAATAACCTAATGTAGATTGGCCTATGACATTTTGGATTCTAGACTCCCATAATGTATAGTGTTAAAAAGCCGAATACTCTTAATAACTCGAACTATAAATACTTTGTCCTAAGCTCGTTATGCGTATGTAAAGCAAGAATAAAATGATCAACTTAACCCAGTCACACTTCTTGAGCTTGTTGTTTGTTAAATTGAGAGTCCTCAGATTCAACTATTATAAATAACGAGTTATTATAATAATTAACTCGTTATGTGACTTAATCGGAGTACTTTCCATACCTTCAAGTCCACTCTTCCAAGGGTAAAATGGGGATCTAGATATCCGTTCCACCGAGGACAATATGGACAGTTTATCTCTAATCATGCTCCTGGGACCTTCGTAATCTCTCTCCTGAAACCTCTATCTTCCAAAGCTCCGCGCTTTCCCCCGTTTTCCTTCTCATTTTCTTGCCATCAAAACACCACCGCGAGCTTACGGACCGACCCATCAACGCCTCCGGAGTTTTGAGTTAGAGAGAAAAAGGCGCGGTGGATTTAGAGAGAGGAACAATCAGACATTTTTGGCCTTCGAGCAAGAGATGGCTTTGAGGCGCCTGATCACTCAGGTCGGTTGAATCTCACGGCTGGGGTTCCAAGTCTGTGAATTTATGCAGTTTTCAGCTTTTTATATGCGATAGAATGGTTTTCCCAATGAAATAGTTTGTTTCTTTTAACTCGATCCCGAAAACCCTTATTCCTGTATTTTGATTGCTTAGGAATTTGATCGTTAGGTTAATTTCTGTAACCATTTTGTTCATATTTGCGGCGTTGCGGTATACGGGTTTGTTTCGGTTTGAGTTTTATGGGTTTACACCAAGGAGATGCTTACATTGTCAAGACGTTGGAAACTTGTAATTTAGATGTTAAAATCTGTACCAATTGGGAACCCAATGCGAGATGGACCTTTTGAGCTCATTACGAAAATTTGATGTTATCTGAATTTTTGGTTTTGTCTTAGTTTGTTTCTTGTATCGGCAAATGAACGGAGAGTTATTTGAAAGGTCCTTCTAGGCGGTTCAAGGGCGGATTATTAGCGGTCGAGGTTGCGTTGCTTCTTTTTGATAGGAGTGTGTGTAGTCGTGTTTTAAGGGTTGGGAGGAGGAAAATGGGTATACTATTATCAAAATCCGTCCCTTACCATTGTTGAGAATTTGCAATCAATGCCTTAATGAATGCTGTGCTCGAGGTTGTTTTTCCAATTAAGTTTTAATTTCCTATCTCAAAGAGAAAAAGGATGCAACCAAGTTAAATTTTAATTGCCTTCTTAGACATACTTCTGTTGTTTCGTTGGGCTCTTTTTAACTCCATGTTATTTCTTCAACAGGTTTCAAGGCATCGATCAGAGTTGGGACAACTGACAAAAGTGGTTGCCAGAACTTATCATCCAACCAACAGGTTCGGAGGAGGTGCCGGAGGTATCACAAATTACAAATGGTTTGATTTGTATATATTTTTTTCGTTCATTTCAAACTTCCAAAGAAATATGTTTCTTGTTTATTATCTTGTCAATTTGTTTAGGCTATGAATGAAAGACAGAATACTCTTCTCCATTATCTTCACTTATAGAAATGATCGCTTACTTTTAAACCTTATGCAGGGAACAAGTTTTTCAGTGCTCAAGAAAGGTTCAAGTCGAGCTATGTTGGCAATTTCGCTCGTAGAGTACGCGATACCGATGAAGCTAGTGAAATTTCCTATCTAAAAGAACTTTACAATCGGAGTGATTATGAAGCAGTGATAAGAGCATTTGAAAGTCAACCATCATTACATTCTAACCCTTCAGCACTTTCTGAATATGTGAAAGCATTAGTAAGAGTTGGCAGGCTGGACGAGAGTGAGTTACTCAAGACATTGCAGAGAGGTGGGTAATGGAACATGGTTATGTTTCCTTTTTAATTGTTTATACCAAAATTATACCATATTTTGTCTTTATCTTGTAGACTTGTCTAAAGTGTGCTAAGCTTATGGATGAAGTAGAGTTTATAAAAGTGGATTGGATGATGGTGTTTTAGACCTAGTTTGGGAGTGAGGTGCTTAAAAAAAAAGCACCCATGAAAAAAAGCTGTGAGGGTTTTAGGTGTTTGGTAAACTGAAAAAAAGGGCTTATTTTGGAAGCTATTGTGAGAATAAGCTGAAATCAAAGGAAAAAGCTGAAGCTGCTATTTGCAGCTTTGGAAAACTGGCTTTTTTTCGAAGCACACGGAGCTACAGTGCTTTTTTAATGAAAAGACCCACTATTAGACTGCTTTTTTTTCCAAAAGCACTTTTACAAAAAAGTTTACCAAACACTCTGCTGATTTATTTCACAGCCGCTTATTCTCACAGCACAACCGCTTATTCTCACAGCAGCTTTTTTTCAAAGCACAGCAATACCAAACCAGCCCTTAGTACCCTGCTTTTTTACAATTAAATTCCCTTTCTTTTTGTGTTATAGGGATCCTGAACTTCTGTTGTATTTTCTGTATGAATAATGTTATGCTTACTACATATTTTTTAGAGTTTTTTCACCTTGACCTGACTTATAAATTTGAGCTCTATTCTACAAGTTTTGTAGGTGTTGCTAACTCTGCAAGGGAGGAAGAAAGCATTGCCGGCTTCTCAGTTCTCAGGAATTTTGGAAAATCAACAAAAGAAGGTATTCTTGGAACTGCAAGTGCTCCTATTCATATGGTGGCTACAGAAGGAGGTCAGTTTAAAGAGCAGCTGTGGCGTACAATTCGCACAATCGCACTGGCCTTCCTTATGATATCTGGTATTGGAGCACTCATTGAGGATAAAGGAATAAGCAAAGGTATTACGATCTCCTGGTGCTTTAGACTCCCCTGCCCATTGATACATGCATTCTAAATGATGAATGTTTTCCTTTTAATTTTCCATTTCCACTTTTCAGGACTCGGACTAAATGAGGAGGTTCAACCTAGCATGGAATCAAACACAAAATTTAGCGATGTTAAGGGTGTTGATGAGGCTAAATCCGAGTTAGAGGAAATTGTTCACTATCTTCGGGATCCTAAGGTTGTATCAACATTATGTATGGAAGAATATGTAATATGAAGACCTTTTACTATCACCCTATGCCCCCTGATTTCTGGGATGGGGGCAATATCATTACTATTTAATCCAAAATAAGGTGATGATTTTGGAGGTGACCTATTAGCGCAAAGGGCTTGAAAAGGTCTCGATTCACTCGACAAAATTTCCCTGTCATTTGCATTGTGTTCCTTTAAATCAATCCAAGAATACAATCTTGAATACCTTGATCCTGTGGAGAACTAACATTAGTTTAGCTGGAGATGGATGATATGCCAAATCCATCCTTAATAGTGCCATTTGTGTCCCATGCTTGCACTCTCTTTATCTTTTTGTAATTGTAGGGCATGCCCCTTAATGCGATTTCCCTTGGTGCAGCGTTTTACTCGTCTAGGTGGAAAGCTCCCAAAAGGTGTTTTACTTGTTGGTCCACCTGGCACAGGAAAAACCATGTTAGCAAGAGCCATTGCTGGAGAAGCAGGGGTTCCTTTCTATTCATGCAGTGGCAGTGAGTTTGAAGAGATGTATGTTGGTGTTGGGGCTCGAAGGGTGAGGGATCTTTTCTCAGCTGCAAAGAAGCGGTCACCTTGTATAATATTCATTGATGAGATAGACGCAATAGGAGGAAGCCGAAATCCAAAGGATATGCAGTACATGAAAATGACCCTTAATCAGTTACTTGTTGAACTTGATGGTTTTAAACAAAATGAAGGGATTATTGTCATTGCTGCTACTAATTTCCCAGAGTCTCTGGACAAGGCATTGGTGAGACCTGGACGGTTTGATCGGCATATTGTTGTTCCTAATCCTGACGTTGAAGGGCGAAGGCAGATTATGGAAGCCCACATGTCGAAGGTAATCCTTTTATGATGGTTTTTTGTAACTCCACCTTGAATTGGAAGGGTCTTTGGTCACAACCATCTTCTGCAATGGCTTCTTCCATTACACATCAAATGGAACATAATATGTTTGGGCCTTATGGTGTATGGGCATATTTTGGCCGTCATTGTTTTTGTTCTTCTTTTATATATCTTACATTATACGACTTTGTTCTGTAAGTTGTATTTTAGATTATACGACTTTGTTTTGTAAGTTGTATTTTAGATTGATGCAGCAGATTCTTTAGAACTAGAAGTCACTCCAAGACTAATCAAGATGTTCTTTGACAGGTTCTGAAGGCCAATGACGTCGATTTGAGTATTATTGCTAGAGGAACTCCAGGGTTCTCCGGAGCTGATCTTGCGAACTTGATCAACGTTGCTGCTCTGAAGGCTGCCATGGACGGTTCTAAAGCAGTGAATATGGCTGATCTTGAATATGCAAAAGACAAGATTATGATGGGAAGCGAACGCAAGTCAGCCGTTATATCTGATGAGTCAAGAAAGCTAACAGCTTTTCATGAGGGTGGGCATGCACTTGTAGCAATCCACACCGATGGTGCTCTTCCAGTTCACAAGGCAACAATAGTTCCTAGGGGTATGGCGCTTGGCATGGTTGCCCTGCTGCCCGAGAAGGACCAGACAAGTGTCTCGCGGAAACAGATGCTTGCAGAGCTCGACGTTTGTATGGGGGGGCGTGTTGCAGAAGAGCTCATCTTTGGAGAAAGTGAAGTCACTTCCGGTGCATCAAATGATCTCTGGAAAGCAACTTCGGTGGCTAGAGCAATGGTTACAAAGTACGGTATGAGCAAACAAGTTGGTCTCGTCAGTCATGATTACGACGACAACGGTAGTAGCATGAGCACAGAAACTAGGTTGCTCATCGAAGAAGTGAAGTACTTATTGGAAAGGGCATACAACAATGCAAAAACCATCCTCACCGAACACAACAAGGAACACCACGCCCTTGCTAATGCTTTAATAGAGAAGGAAACACTCACCGGAACTCAGATAAAGTCCTTGCTTGCACAAGTAAACTCCCAGCAGCAGCAGCAGCAACCGCACCAGCAAGTAGTTGCAGCGAAGAGCGACTCACAGTCTAAGCCAGTACCGCCCTCCACCCCCAACGCGGCTGCTTCTGCCGCAGCCGCTGCATCCGCTGCTGCAGCTGCCGCAACTGCTGCAGCCAAGTCCACAGGTATTGCACCCGTCGGATCCTAGCACGGGCCAGGTTGATGAGTCGCTTTATCCGTGTCAATGTTAGTAAAGTTTTACTGTCACCAGGCTCTCTGTTCGGGTACCGTATTACGCTGCTGCCACTGGGGTACAATTTGTGCATCTCCGTAGTCAGATTGACTGGGAATTTAGAAGAGTTTGAAATGCGATGAGTCAGTGTAGGAGTAATAATTAGAAGGCACGGGAGAACGTCCCTTTGCCTATTTTTTATTTTTCATCCTCTCTGATGGTTGTTGTTTATACGATAAACAATAATGGATTCCTGAATTTTTCTCAATTTTTATTCCAACTTTTCATTATTAATTCTAAGACGCTGGCAAACCGATAAAAAACCGTGAGCGTCATCACACATCCCATTTTACTTTTCATATATCATTATAATTTTCGACCGTCAGATCAAATGAATTGAAGAAAATCAACAGATAAAAATTAACAAGACGCACCTCTTTTTTTTTACTTGACATTATTTTAATGTACAATAATTATAATCGAAACCATTTATTATTTTTACCAACTTCGGGAAAAATTCTTTCAATTTAAAAGTTAGGTAGTTAGGTAGTTCTGTTAATCATCAAAATGTTATTTTGAGTTGCACCGAGTTAGGTCCCCTATGCATAAAGATTGTCGTCGCACTTCTCGATAGTCGGTCCGAAACCTGAATCGTCCTCCGCCTCTCTAATCCATGTCGGTAGCTCGCCCGCCTCCGCATCAGAAGCAACCAGGTAAATCTGATAAATTTCCCTTCCCAGAATTTAAGTCCCTTCTTTTTGCAGAGATTTTCCAAAATTTCCTGGCCATAGATGCTAAAAGAAACAATCTTTTCGCAAACCCAGTTCATAAAATTCTCAAATTTATCGTCTTTTGAGTGATCAAAACTAATTCATTTTAATCTCCATAATATACTAATTTTTATGTTCTGTTTTATGGTCTGGATGTCGATATGTTCTAGCTTAATTATGTTCATAACAGGTTCCGTGTGTTCCTTTAAGTTTTCGAATTCTGTCGGCAGTTATTCGACAGCGCAGGGTTGTTGTAGAAAACAATCATGGGGAGAAGCTTGTCGGGATATTACATGAGACGGGTTCGAAGGAGCTCGTTGTGGTGTGCCATGGCATACACTCTTCAAAGGTTGTTATTGGCTACGACAAACAAACTATGTCTTGGTAAATTGTATGGCTGAAAGATCCGGAAATTTGAAACATTTATTCATTAGTCACTCGATTAAGAACAGGTTTTAACCAGTCGGAATCTATCTGTTTTGTGTTACCTTCGCGACCGTAAGCATGTGTATTATCTTGTTTGTGCACTAAATGTCATCTGCTCGAAGATGGTGGGATGGATGGTTGAATTTACAGTCTTTTTGTGTTATCTCTAGGAACGCATTCCTATGGTGAACATTGCCGCTGTGTTAGAAAACGATGGTATAAGCGCTTTCCGCTTTGACTTCGCTGGAAATGGGTAAGCTGTTTACTGATTGTTATGCCATACCTCGTAGGGGCAACATATGTAGTTATAAGAAGTTTATATTTATTCATACCTCTAGGGAAAGTGAAGGTTTTTTTCGATATGGTCACTATCGGAGAGAAGCTGATGATATACGCGCTGTAGTTCAATACTTTCGTGGGAAGGATTATGTAGTAACTGCAGTTGTTGGTCACAGTAAAGGTCTGTCTATAATTTTGCTCTTTTAGAACCAAACTGTGACTTGAGAAACAAAAGGAGGAATGGAAAGATGTTTGAAGTTACTGCTGACATGTTTCTTGCAGGGGGGAATGCAGTGATCTTGTATGCTGCAAAATACAGTGATGTTCGTGCGGTTGTAAATATTTCTGGCCGATTTGATCTGGAAAGAGGCATGGAAGGTCGCTTAGGTAAAGATTTTCAACAGAGAATCAAGCAAGATGGATTTATTGACGTTAAGAACAGAAGAGGTAAGCTATCATATGCAGTTATTCTTGTTTTCCATAAACATCAGCTGTCCTGTCTTAGTCGTTCTTTCAACAGTGTGGAATTTACAAGTCCTTCGTTTACAAACTCATTTGTCTATATAAAGTTTGCAACTGCGTATCTACTTGCTAATAGGTACATTTCAGTATCGTGTCACCGAAGAAAGTTTGATAGAGCGTCTAAGAACTGATATGCGTGCAGCCTGCCAATCAATTAATCAAAATTGCAGGTCAGTGATTGCAATTTGCCTCATAGATTACTTCTCCAATCTTATGCTAATGATTATCCATAAAAATTCATTTGATTACACTTTGCATTATCTGCAGGGTTTTGACAGTTCATGGATCAAATGATAAAATTGTTCCTTTTGAAGATGCTTTTGAGTTTGACAAGATTATACCTAATCACAAAGTATCGATCGTGGAAGGAGCTGATCACGAATACACTTTACACCAAAACGAGCTGGCTTCGATCGTGTTGGACTTCATTAAGGAAGATTTTCACCAGGACATGGATCTGTCTAAGCAATCACCATCTAGCACAAGAGCCGATAAATCTCTCGATTCACGATTGTGATCTTAACCTCATTGTCGTAAGTTGTAAATCTTTCTGGTTTAGAATGTCAAAATCTTCTGACAAATTGGCGAATCGTTATCAAAGTAATACAAGTATCAATGTTTAAACATCGAAAATTTATTATTTGTTAGCAATTGAAAGTGACTGCAACGAGCAATCATTGACAAGTAGTAGCAGAAGTAACCTACTAACTAACAACAGAGGTGATACAGATCGATAACGTCCTCATTACTTATACAACTACTAATCACATATACACTAAACCACTCAACTATGCTGTGACAGTCTTCGGCTTGGCCCCCATTTTTCTCCAAGATACACTGGGCATTATCTGCTTTGTGTCGACGCGATCCTTGTACCTAACAGCAAAATTGAGCAATGAATCCAAAAGAGAGTCCGAAAGAAGGTGCGGTTTCAGTCCCAATTCAATAAGTTTAGTGTGTTTAGCGTTGTAGTAGTGCTCCTCAGCTTCAACTCTAGGGTTTGGGACAGAGGTGGTTTGCACATCAATTCCGAGCTTCTCTCCAGCTTTGGTAACAAGTGCGGCAAGTTGATTGACGGAAAACTGCTCAGTAAATTGATTGAAGACCCTAAACTCACCGGCCTTTGCTGGGTTTGCGATGGCAATTTCAACACACTGAACTGTGTCTCGTATGTCAAGATATCCCCTGGTCTGGAAGATCAAAGTTCATAAATATTAGTACATGGGAATTGGGAAGTAATGCAATGCGACTTCTTTGATGCACTCGAAAAGAAAGCTTTGTATTGAACGATTTTACCTGACCCCCTTTGCCATACACGGTAAGTGGATGACCGACAGCAGCCTGCACGCAGAACCGGTTTAATGCAGTTCCAAAAACTCCATCATAATCAAACCTGTTATTGAGCTCTTCATGCATCTCGGTTTCATCCGTTCTCACTCCATATACCACTCCTTGATTTAGATCAGTGGCTCTAATCCCCCAAGCCTTGCAAGTGAAGGCTATATTATTCGAATCGTGAACCTTGCTCAAATGGTAGAAAGAGCTCGCTTGCTTCGGGAAGGGCAAAGTATCTGTTCTCCCGTTATGAGTAATTGTAATGAAACCCTCCTCAATGTCAATATTTGGAGTCCCATATTCTCCCATGGTCCCGAGCTTCACGAGATGACACTCCTCTCTGAACTCTTTTATAGCAAAGAGAACATTCAGAGTTCCAATCACGTTGTTATTCTGCGTGAATACTGCTCTGGACCGATCAATCATGGAGTAAGGGGCAGACCGCTGTTCCCCGAAATGAACAACAGAATCAGGTTCAAATGACTTGAAGGCTTCTGACAAGAACTCGAAATCACAAACATCACCAATGCAGAGCTCAATGGACTTTCCAGTGAGAGCTTTCCAACAACGGATACGATCATGGATAGAGGCGATTGGAGTCAGGGAACCAAGACCGAGCTGGTGGTCAAAGAGACGGCGCACAAGGCTATCAACAATGGCAACCTCATAACCTTTCTTGGATAGGTGAAGGGCTGTGGCCCAACCACAGTAGCCATCTCCACCAATGACCATCACCCGCTGTGGTTTGGAAGCTCCGCCTGAACTCTCATTAGCGCCGTAGCTCGGTTCATTTGGGGCTTCCCTACTTGCAGAGAGTGTGGTTGCACGCACCGTGCAAGTACCACTCCGTGACCTCTCCCCTTGCAGGATGATCCTCCCAAATGGGGTTTTGGAAGTCTGAAAAGTTAAAGAGGAAGGAAATGCGATCGAGTGTTGGATCAATGGTTTGGTGTATGGTTTGCCACCAGAGGAGAATTTTAGAGAGCAGGAAGTTGAAAGCAAATGAGCCATCAATGTTCGCTTCCTCTTACTCACAAATACCTGCAAAGAACGATCCAAAATGTTCAAATCCTTCATTTGTTTTTTCAGACAAGACGATATATATTCTAAACTCCTCTAATCTACGGGAGAAGGATTCGAACTTGGGTGCATACCGCGACATTAAAAAGTCCGTCCATTTAAATCCTTAGTAAGTTTCATGTAGTGATTTCATAACAGCAAAACAAAGAACATATTTCCAATGAAGCAAACACCCAATAATCTTTTGCGGAAAATATTCACACAGAAAGCAGATTTCTTTAGACACCCAATACACTTCTAACAAATTTAAACGCTAAAGCTTTCTCTTCAGATAAAGAACCAAATTAAACCAGCTTAAAACTCAGGGGAAACACAGAAGAAATACAACAGCAGATAAAATAAAAAATAAAAAGAAATATTAGAGTGAGTTCTTACTGTGACAGGATCAGCAGAGAGTGCAGGAAATAAGCGATGAAAGAAAGAGTGAAGACTTTGTGTTTGGTGTGTTGGGGGATTAAGGGGGAGGAAGGAGAAGAATCAAAAGCAGCAGGCAGAGGAATATCCCTCTTATCCATTCTCCAAAATGGGCTCGCCTGACCCGAAATACAAACCAGTCCATAACAAGAAAAGCCCATTTCAATGCTTAAGTGAGCTCATCCATTTCTTTACAAGGGTTGATTTGAATGCAAACCATAAACCATAAACATTGGGTTTATCTTCCACGAGGCTACTATATTTCAAGGCTTAGTGAAAAATTTCATCTTCAATGAGCCAGAAAATGAGACTAGATCCACCACTTGGGTCAGCATCTTTCTTTCTTGGGTAGAATAAAATTGGGTTACATCTAGCCCAAAAAAACAATAGATCCCACAAAAAAAAAAAAAGTAGCAACTTATGTGAGCAAAATATCATCACTCTCCATCCACTTGCGGATACACTTATACTCTTTTTTTTATCCCTTTTTATGTTGTTTTTTCTTACATATTTTTCTTGCTATTTGGCTAACTAATGGTTGCTTTAAATTTAATAAGAATTCAAATTTCAAATCGATTTAATGTTCACGGGCATTGGTGGGTGAAAATTTTAAATAATTTTTTTCAAAATTGTATGATACTAGTTTACCAATTGGTGCTATGTAAATTGTTGCGTTGTACGTGAAAAAAATTTATTTCAGATGGCCGAGTGGGGGTTTGTATCTTTCAACATATGAGATTGAGATAAGAGAATCTAATCCAACAAATAGTTCATAAGTGATGAAATCTAATTTGTCCAAATCTGGACATTTTTAGGTTGAAAGCTTCATAAAAAAAAATTAAGATAACATGTCCAAAAATCAAATTAAGAAAAGTTAACACACAAAAAAAATTATCGCATAATCAAATTACTACATAAATAAATATATATAGCCCCATACAAGGCCTGAAAAAAATAGCCTCTCATTAAAAAAAATTCTTTTATAAAACCTCAAAAATTCCTCAAAATATAAATTGGACTATATCCACCATTTTTTTAATTCCATGTAAAACCCCTCACAGGAGCTGCTCTTTCATTTCTTTTATTTTTCTGTGCAGATTTGCCACGGGGCTAGCAAGTGAGCCACTAACGAGAGTGATCACGTGCTTGTCGCGTGACAAGTACGAACGGACTATGAATTCCAGGCAAAAGGTTCGGTGTCCATCCATGGAACTCGCAAAATATCCATCCCTCCAAGGGCAATGTGGAACTCCAAATATTAATATCCACCCCTCAAAGGGTAAAAGCGGGCTGTAGATATCCGTCACGCCGAGGGCAATATGGACGTTTCACCTCTAATCATGCTCCTAGGAGGCTAGGACGCCAGTAATCTCTCTCCTCAAACCTCTATCTTCCAAAGCTCCGGTCTTTCCCCCGTTTTCCTTCTCATTTTCTCGCCATCCAAACACCACCGCGAGCTTACGGACCGACCCAGCAACGCCTCCGGAGTTTTCAGTTAGAGAGAGAAAGGCGCGGTGGATTTAGAGCGAGAAACAATCAGACATTGTTGGTCTTCGAGCAAGAGATGGCTTTGAGGCGCCTGATCACTCAGGTCGGTTGAATCTCTCAGCTGGGGGTTCCCAAGTCTGTGAATTTATGCAGTTTTCAGCTTTTTATATGCGATAGAATGGTTTTCCCAGTGAAATAGTATGTTTCTTTTAACTTGATCTCGAAAACCTTAATTCCTGTGTTTTGATTGCTTAGGAATTTGGTCGTTAGGTTAATTTCTGTAACCATTTTGTTCATATTTGCGGTGTTGCGGTATATGGGTTTGTTTCGCTTTGAGTTTTATGGGTTTACATTACAACAAGGAGATGCTTACATTGTGAAGACGTTGGAAATTTGTAATTTAGATGTTAGAATCCGTACCAATTGGGAACCCAATTGGAGATGGACCTGTTGAGCTCGTTATGAAAATTATCTGAATTTTCGTTTTCTCTTAGTTTGTTTCTTGTATCCGCAAATGAACGGAGAGTTAGTTGAAAGCTCCTCTTAGGTGGTCCAAAGGCCGATTATGATCGTTCGAGGTTGCGTTGTTTCTTTTCAATAGGACCATGTGTAGTTGTATTTTAAGGGTTGGAAGTTGGGTCACCTCTTTTGGTCTAAAAAGAAAGGAGTTTGATATTTTTGTTGGAAGGAGGAAAATGGGTATACTATTATCCAAGTCTCTCCCTTTTCACTGTTGATAGCTTGCAGTCGATGCCTTGATGAATGCTGTGCTCGAGGTTGTTTTTCCAATTACGTTTTAGTTTTCTATGGAGCCATTTAAATTTTAATTGCGTTCTTAGACATACTTCTGTTGTTTCTTTGGGTTATTTTTAACTCCATGTTCTTTCTTTAACAGGTTTCAAGGCATCGATCAGAGTTGGGACAACTGACAAAAGTGGTTACCAGAACTTATCATCCTACCAACAGGTTAGGAGGAGGTGCCGGAGGTATGACGTATTCAAAACTTGATTTTTATATATCTTTTGTTCTTCATTTCGAACTTGCAAAGAAATATGTTCCTTTAGGTACTTCATTGTTTAGGCTTTAAGACAGAATACTCTTCTCCATTATCTTCACTTATAGAAATGATTGCTTTCTTTTAAACCTTATACAGGGAATAAGTTTTTAAGTACTCAAGAAAGATTCAAGTCCAGTTATGTTGCCAATTTCGGCCGTAGAGTACGCGATACCGATGAAGCTAGTGAAATTTCCTATCTAAAAGAACTTTACCATCGGAGTGATTATGAAGCAGTGATAAGAGCATTTGAAAGTCAACCTTCATTACATTCTAACCCTTCAGCACTTTCTGAATATGTGAAAGCATTAGTGAGAGTTGGCAGGCTGGATGACAGTGGGTTACTCAAGACATTGCAGAGAGGTGGGTAATGGAACAGGGTTATGTTTCTTTTTTAATTGTTTCTACAAAATTACACCCTAGTTCGTCTTTATCTTGTAGACTTGTCTAATTTGTGCTAAGGTTATGGTTGAAGTAGGGTTTATAAAAGTTTAATTGGATGACCGGTTTTTTAGTACCCTGCTTTTTTACAATTAAATTCCCTTTTTGTTGTGTTATAGGGATCCTGAACTTCTGTTGAATTTTCTGCAAACAATGTTATGCTTGGTAAATATTTTTTTAGTTTTTTCACCTTGACCTGGCTTATAAATTTGAGCTATCCTCTACAAATTCTGTAGGTGTTGCTAACTCTGCAAGGGAAGAAGAAAGCATTGCCAGCTTCTCAGTTCTCAAGAATTTTGGAAAAACAACGAAAGAAGGTATTCTTGGAACTGCAAGTGCTCCTATTCATATGGTGGCTACAGAAGGAGGTCAGTTTAAAGAGCAGCTGTGGCGTACAATTCGCTCTATCGCACTGGCCTTTCTTTTGATATCTGGTATAGGAGCACTCATTGAGGATAAAGGAATAAGCAAAGGTATTAGTATCTCTTGGTGCTTTAGACTCTTCTGTCAATTGATTAAGATGCTTTCTAAAAATGATGAAAGTTTTTCCTTTTAATTTTCTATTTCCACATTTCAGGACTCGGACTAAATGAGGAGGTTCAACCTATTGTGGAATCAAGCACAAAATTTAGTGATGTAAAGGGTGTTGATGAGGCTAAATCTGAGTTAGAGGAAATTGTTTACTATCTTCGAGATCCTAAGGTAAATGCATCAACCTTATGTATAGAAGAATATGGAATATGAAGACCTTTTAGTCATCACCCTATACCCCCTGATTTCTGGAATGGGGGAAATATAATTGCTATTTCATCCAACATAAGGTGGTGATTTTGGAAGTAAACTGTTAGCGTAAAGGGCTTGAAATGGTCTCAATTCACTCGAAAAAATTTCCCCTCGTTGCATTGTGTTCCTTTAAATCAATTCGAGAGTACAATCTTGATTACCTTGATCTTGTGGTGTACTAACTATAGTTTAGCTGGAGATGGATGATCTTCCAAATCCATCCTGATTGGTGCCATTTGTTTCCCGTGCTTGCACTTTTTTTATCTTTTATTAATTTATTCTAATTGTAGGGCATGCGCCTTAATGCGATTTCCCTCGGTGCAGCGTTTCACTCGTCTAGGTGGCAAGCTCCCAAAAGGTGTTTTGCTTGTTGGTCCACCTGGCACTGGGAAAACCATGTTAGCAAGAGCCATTGCTGGAGAAGCTGGGGTACCTTTCTTTTCATGCAGCGGCAGTGAGTTTGAAGAGATGTTTGTTGGTGTAGGTGCTCGAAGGGTGAGGGATCTTTTCTCGGCTGCAAAGAAGCAATCACCTTGTATAATATTCATTGATGAGATAGACGTAATAGGAGGAAGCCGAAACCCAATGGATCAGAAGTACATGAAGATGACCCTCAATCAGTTACTTGTCGAACTTGATGGTTTTAAACAAAATGAAGGGATTATTGTCATTGCTGCTACTAATTTCCCAGAGTCTCTGGACAAGGCATTGGTGAGACCTGGGCGGTTTGATCGGCACATTGTTGTCCCTAATCCTGATGTTGAAGGGCGAAGGCAGATTATGGAAGCCCACATGTCGAAGGTAATCTTTGTATGATAGATTTTATTAGACTCCACCAAGAATTGTACTGTAAGTTGTATTTTAGATTGGTGCAGCAGATTCTTTAGAACTAGAAGTCACTCCAAGACTAAATAAGATGTTCTTTCGACAGGTTCTGAAGGCCAATGACGTTGATTTGAGTATTATTGCCAGAGGAACTCCGGGGTTCTCCGGAGCTGATCTTGCGAACTTGATCAACATTGCTGCTCTGAAAGCTGCCATGGACGGTGCTAAAGCAGTGAACATGGCTGATCTTGAATATGCAAAAGACAAAATTATGATGGGAAGCGAACGCAAGTCAGCTGTTATATCTGATGAGTCAAGAAAGGTAACAGCTTTTCATGAGGGTGGCCATGCACTTGTAGCAATCCACACTGATGGTGCTCATCCAGTTCACAAGGCAACAATAGTTCCTAGGGGTATGGCACTTGGCATGGTTATGCAGCTACCTGACAAGGACCAGACAAGTGTCTCCCGGAAACAGATGCTTGCACGGCTCGACGTTTGTATGGGGGGGCGTGTTGCAGAAGAGCTCATTTTTGGAGAAAGTGAAGTTACTTCGGGTGCATCAAATGATCTCCAGCAAGCAACTTCGCTTGCTAGAGCAATGGTTACAAAGTACGGCATGAGCAAACAAGTTGGGCTCGTCAGTCACAATTACGACGACAATGGTAAGAGCATGAGCACAGAAACTAGGCTGCTCATCGAAGAAGAAGTGAAGTACTTATTGGAAAGGGCATACGACAATGCAAAAACCATCCTCACCGAACACAGCAAGGAACATCACGCCCTTGCTAATGCTTTACTGGAGGAGGAAACACTCACCGGAACTCAGATCAAATCCTTGCTCGCACAAGTAAGCTCGCAGCAACAGCAGCAACCGCACCAGCAAGTAGTTGCAGCGAAGAGCAACTCGCAGTCTAAGCCAGTGCCACCCTCCACCCCCAACGCAGCTGCATCTGCTGCTGCGGCTGCATCCGCCGCTGCCGCTGCCGCAACTGCTGCGGCCAAGTCAACAGGTATTGCTCCAGTTGGATCTTAGAACGGGACAGGTTGATGAGTCGCGGGCATCTATTTATCCGTGTCAATGTTCATATAGTAAAATTTTACTCTCAGCAGCCTTTTTGTTCGGGTACCGTATTACGTTGCTGCATTGAGGTATAATTTGTGTATCTCCGTAGTCAGAATAACCGGGAATGTAGACGAGTTCGAAATGCAATGAGTCAGTGTAGGAGTAACAACTCAAAGGCACTGGGGAACATCCCTTGTCTATTTTTTATTTTCACCCTCTCTGATGGGCTTTGAGTTTGACAAGATAATACCTAATCGGATTAGGGTTTAGGAGAAGTGAAAAGATTTCGAAACTATTACAATAATTTAAGGAGTTTGAACTTAGAGCGCATGAGCAGAAACTCATACTCTATCCACTAGGAGATTGGAGCACATGCCTATTATTTCTCCCTGTTCTTTCTCACTTGTATCCCAAGTCGCATCTACAAGCTCTCCCAGACTCCCTCACCAACCTCTCCCTCCGGGGCTTCTTCTCCTCCTTCCTTGCCGCCAGCCGCACCGCCCAAGAGGTACGCCACCCGAAATCCTCCTATGAACTCTCACACTTTCCTTTCCCGTCCATTTGCAGTGGTTCTCGACTCTCCTAAGCTCATTCCCAAAGGAGGAATGTAAGCATTATCTTAGATTTCTTTTCAATGTTACAGTCAAACAATCGAGTCGACTCAACACCGCCATTATATTATGAATTAGTAATCTATATATAGAATCATATCCGTATTAGAACATGATTCACTGAGTAAAATTACGTGATGGTGTGCCCGACAGATTGCAAGATCTCTCTATTTTAATTATCTCATGTAACGTTACATAGTTGTTTCAAGATACTGTTAATTTGACATTTCCGTTTCATCCGATAAACAAAAGATTCATACTTTTTTAAGTGTCTTCATAAATTACAGAGCAGCATCGGAAAATTTAAACCCCAACATGCAGTAATCAACCATCCATAGAAAAGTCTCTTCCTTTGGGAAAACCCAGAAAGGAAGAGTTCAGTGGGGAAGTGAAGAATTCGAATCGAAAAACCTCTGCTTTTTCCTCTCATATCTCTCCAGTGGCGGCATAGTCAAAGAAGTACATTTCCCAGGATAACTCAGCACCCACAACAAGCCTGGAGATCTATGGATCTCAATACAGGGCAAGATCTACAACGTCTCCGATTGGACCAACCACCATCCCGGCGGCGAGCCCGTTGCTCAGCCTCGCCGGCCAAGACGTCAAGGACGCGTTCGTCGCTTACCACCCCGGGTCGGCGTTGCAGCACCTCGACCAGTTCTTCACCGGATTCCAGCTCGAAAGCTATTCTGTTTCCGAATGGGGCTTTTCGAAAACAGGGGACACGGCGTTCATTTCTCTCTGTTTCTGGTGGCAATGCTGTTTACTCTGAGAGTCTACGGCGTCTTGTGCTCTGATAGCTGTTGGGTTCATCTGGGTTCCGGTAGTTTGATGGGTTTTCTCTGGATTCAAAGCGGGTGGCTCGGCCACGATTCTGGTCACTACCAGATCATCAGCAGCAAAAGGGTCAACAGATTCGCCCAGATCCTCACCGGAAACTGCCTTGCCGGCATCAGCATTGCGTGCTGGAAGCGCAACCACAACGCCCACCACATTGCTATCAACTGTGAGATTGTTAGTATAAACTAACTGTTTGATGACAGTAAGTTTAAGGGAGGGATTGATAAGTTTGATTGTCCTTTTCGTTGTAGGACTCTATTACTTAGGATTGTTTTGTTTTCAATAAATTCCTATTATGTAGGAAGACTTGTTCTACGTAGACTATTTCCTCGTGCATGTTACCACTTTCCGTTAGTGTGGATCGTGGGCTGTTTTTTAGGGTTTCGTTAACTATGTAAGGCTATATAATAGCCAACGTTTCTATTCAATAAACAAGTTATTCTCCCAGTTTGCTTGAGTCAATTGCAGTATTGCTCTTGGTATTTTTGTTTTGGTTCCCAACAAACTGGTATCAGAGCCCAGCCCCTCACTGGGGCCTGAACCGGAAAGCTGCAGCTTTTGAGTGACTTCAAACACAAGAGAGAAAGAGAGGAAAAATGACTTCTGAAGGAAGCTTCGTACAACCTTCCATTCCACGTTTTGATGGTCATTATGACCATTGGAGCATGCTCATGGAAAATTTCCTTCGCAGCAAGGAGTATTGGAGTTTGATTGAAACTGGTTATGAAGAACCAGCAAAGGGGGCGCAACCTATATCAGAAGCACGACAGAAAGAGCTTGATGCAGTGAAACTCAGGGATCTCAAAGCCAAAAACTATCTTTTCCAGGCAATCGATAGGAGCATCCTAGAGATGATGTTGGAAAAGGACACCTCCAAGAAGATTTGGGATTCCATGAAGACGAAATATAAAGGGAATGCCCGAGTGAAGCGCTCAACTTTTCAAGCCCTACGGAGAGACTTTGAGACACTTGAGATGAAGGTTAGTGAAACAATCACTAACTATTTTGCTAGAGTGATGACAGTAGCAAACAAGATGAGAGTGTATGGGGAGCCTATGACTGACGTCACGATCTGTGAAAAAATCTTGCGATCTCTCACGGACAAATTTAATTATATAGTTTGTTCGATTGAGGAATCTAGGGACTTGGATGCAATTACCGTTGCTTCAAAGCTCGCTCACTGTACATGAGCAAAATTTTCACAGAAGCAGCGGTGTGGAGCAAGCTCTGAAGGGAACAACTGATGCCAAAACTGAGGGAGGTTTCAGCAATCATAGAGGACGAGGGCGTGGAAGAAGTAACTATAGAGGACAAGGACATGGAAGAGGAGGCCAAGAGGTGTTCAACAAGGATACGGTGGAATGCTACAAGTGTCATAATCTTGGGCACTTCCAGTATGAATGTCCTAAATGGGATAAGGAGGCTAATTATGCAGAAGTGAATGAAGAAGATATGTTGTTGATGTCATATGTGGAGGTACATGAACGGACTGATGCTTGGTTTCTTAACTCCGGATGTTCCAACATATGTGTGGCGATTGGGATATCTTCACAAACCTAGATGAAAGCTTTGTTCATTCAGTTAAATTGGGGAACAACAGTAGGATGAATGTGGTTGGCAAGGGAAGTGTCACGTTGTTTTTAAATGGAATCAATCATGTTGTCAATGAAGTGTACTATGTTCCAGAGCTCAAAAACAATCTCTTGAGCATAGGACAACTTCAAGAAAAGGGCTTGGCTATGTTAATTAAAGAAGGACCTCAGACTCCAGTCTCTACAAGTGCTCCACCAGAAAGGTGTCTTCACACAAGCTCGCAGGATCTCTTTTATCTTTGGCATCGAAGACATGGTCACCTAAGCTACAAGGGATTAAGAACGTTACAACAGAAGATGATGGTTTGTGGACTTCCTCAGCTTCAAACCTCAAATATCACATGCACAGACCGCATTCAAGGTAAACAACATCGTAATGACATGCCAATAAGAAGTACGTGGAGAGCAAGTCAGCCTTTGGAGCTCATTCATGCAGACATATGTGGGCCAATCTCTCCCATATCAAATAGTGGAAGGAGGTATACTTTATGCTTTATTGATGATTTTAGTCGTAAAACATGGGTGTACTTGTTGACATCAAAGAGTGAGGCACTGCATTGCTTCCAGTTTTTCAAAAGAATGGTGGAAAAGGAGAAAGGGCTTAGTGTCAAGTGTCTACGGACAGATAGAGGGGGTGAATTCACCTCAACTGAATTCACTAATTTTTGCAAAGAAAATGGAATCAAGAGGCAGTTAACCACTGCCTACACGCCGCAACAAAACGGGGTGGCTGAAAGGAAAAATCGAACTGTCATGAATATGGTTCGTTCTATGTTGTCTGATAAGAAGCTCCCAAAAATGTTTTGGCCAGAGGCGGTGAACTGGACTATCTATGTTCTGAATAGATGTCCCACATCATCAGTGAAGGATATCACTCCACAAGAGGCTTGGAGTGGAGTAAAACCCTCAGTCGAGCACTTCCGTGTCTTTGGAAGCCTAGCACATGTCCATGTTCCAGATGTCAAGCGAGGTAAATTAGATGATAAAAGTTTTCCTTGTATTTTATTGGGAGTTAGTGAGGAGTCCAAGGGATATAGATTGTTTGATCCTATAGCCAAGAAAATTGTTGTGAGCATGGATGTTATTTTTGAGGAAGAAAAACAGTGGGATTGGGATGTGAGTTATGAGGGAAAGATCATGTTAGATTTAGAATGGGGAGAAAATGAAGAAAACAGTGAGGGAGAAGAAATGGTGAGTGAAAATGAAGATGAAAATGGCAGTGGGGCTAGAGAAGAAAGAAATGTGGGTGAGAGCAGTGAAGACACACATGGTTGTGAAGAGAGAAGTTCTAATGAACTTGGCGAGGATGAAGGGAGGGTTTATGAAGGAAGAGTTAGACGTCCTCCTTCTTACTCAAGTGATTATGTCACTGGAGAAGGGCTAAGTGACGACGAGGTACACATGGTTCAAATCGTGGCAACCGAATATCCTCTCTATTTTGAAGAAGCAGTGAAAGAAGAGAAATGGAAGCAAGCTAGCCTCGAACACGATCCGAATCTCCAGCACATGCCGTTTTTCGCTGTGAATTCGAAACTGTTCACCTCCCTCACCTCTTATTACTACGACAGGAAGATGAGTTTCGATGCTTTTACCAGGTTCTTGGTTAGTTACCAGCACTGGACTTTTTACCCTGTCATGTGTCTTGCTAGGATTAACCTTTTTGCTCAGTCATTTTTACTTTTATCTTCCAAAAGATTGAGGGTAAATAATAGAATTCAAGAAATTTTGGGCTTTTGGTATTTTGGATTTGGTATCCTCTGCTGGTTTCTTACCTGCCCAATAGGAGGGAGAGAGTAATGTTCGTTGTGGCAAGCTTTTCTGTCACTGGAGTCCAACATGTTCAGTTCTGCTTGAACCATTTCTCTTCAAGTGTTTATGTCGGTACGCCAACGGGGAACGATTGGTGCGAAACCCAGACGAATGGTTCGCTCAATATAGTCTGCCCGTCATGGATGGACTGGTTCCACGGCGGATTGCAGTTTCAGATCGAGCACCATTTGTTTCCGCGGTTGCCCCGACGCAACCTTAGGAAAATTGCCCCCCTTGTCAAGGCATTCTGAGAGAAGCACAACCTGCCTTACACAAGTGTGTCATTCTACAAGGCCAATGAACTCACCGTCGGGACACTGCGCACGGCAGCGTTGCAGGCTCGCGATCTAGCTAGCCCGGTTCCGAAGAACCTAGTTTGGGAAGCCGTGCACTCTGTTGGCTGAGATGAGATGAAGATCTGTGAATGTGATGCTTTTTTCGGAGGTTTTTGATGGTGTGGTTATTTGTGCCCAAGGACAATAATGTTGTTGTTAGAGGGGTATGGTAACTTAATTTTGATTGATATCTATGGGGGTGTTGTGCCTAAGGACAACAGTAATGTGATGCTTTTGTTTGTGTGTGTGTGTGTGTCATAAATTGCCTTGATTTCAGTTGGAACAAAATAATCATCATTTTAGGTTTGCTTCCAAAATTCTTGTTTATATATTGATTCGAAAATGTTATTTTACACCCTTTTTAAACGCATAAGATATTTATGTTGTCAAACTATAAATCTGAATCATGATTTAGCGTTCTCATTTCACCATTGACTGCATCTTTAGCACCAGTCATGTATCTTCGATAGAATCAAGTTCAAACAATCAGGAAGGAAAAATAATCACTTGATTTAATTAATCTGACAACATAAGTATGGCAAAAGAACTTTTTCAAACCTACCCGAAATACAAAATAAACAAACGCACTAACAAAAAAGGGCTTTATTCATCCATGTAAAATTCAAGAAATGAACTTCCATTTTCCAAATTCATATGTTTTTTGGGGTCTAATTTCATAATTCAAAAAATGCCACAACCACGCTCCACGTAGACTATAACTAACTCCCACGTCTCTGGATTTTCTCCCAACACCGACAAACCCTACTCTCTCTCTCTCTCTCTCTCTCTCTCTCTCTCTACTGAAATTTCTCTTCCCTCCCTCAAAATTCTCCGATCACTTCTCAAACCGATAAAAGAGCCTAAAAAAATCCCGATGAAGAAGTCCCCAAGTTGCGCCGCTTGTAAACACCAGCGCAAAAAATGCCCAGAGGACTGCCCCTTGGCCCCCTACTTCCCCTCCAACCGCCCCACAAACTTCCACAACGCACTCAAACTGTTCGGCGTCAGTAGACTCACCAAACTCGTCACCGACCTCCCTCCCCACCTCCGAACCCCCGCCATGTCCACCATCTTCGTCGAAGCCGACCACCGCGCAAAAGACCCTGTTGGCGGCTGCCACGCCGTCGTCCGCTCGCTGCTCTGGTCCATCAACAAGCACCAGGCCGAACTCGACCGCGTGCGCTACCAACTCGAATTGTGCCGCGGCGGCGGCAATGTTATGCCGATGGTTATGCCGATGGCGCAGAGTCTGAGGGACTTTAAGTTCAATGTGGGTGCGGGAAATGTGTACGATCAAACGCAGTTTCATCAGGTGCAGAAGAACGTTTTTCAAGAACAAGAAGAACAAGGCAATGTTGGTGGAGGAGTTGTTCCGCAGCCTCACGAAGAACAGAGCAATGTGTTTGATATAAGGTCTGACTGAAACTTTTCGATAAAATTTCGCAACTTTCGAGTTCTTGCCATTCAAATTGGTTTGTTAAGTAGGAATATAATAAAATTTGGTAATTCGTTCAAGAACACAGCAATGTTGTCGAATAACTTTGTTTCATCAAGAACTGAGCAATGTGTTTGATTTAAGCCCTGACCGAAACTTTTCGATAAAATTTCAAAACTTCTAAGTTTTAAACCAGAGACATTGATTTTTTAAGTAGGATAAAAAAATTCCCACTTGAACAAAGATTGGTAATTTGTTCAAAGAACACAGCAACGTTGTTGAAGAACTCGTTTTTGTCAAGAACAGAGCAATGTGTTTGATATCAAGAACCGGAAAATTCCCACTTGAAGTAAAAATTGCCAACTTAACCGCCATTGATGAATTTTGAAGTTTTTATTTTGTTTTGCTCGTCGTTTGTTTGAATTTTTTCAGGGATGAAGATTTGGTAGAACAAGATTACAACCCAATTCAGTATTAAGGAGTTAGAAATTGTAAAGGAGGAATGAGATTATCCTGCATTGTTATTTTTGCTACAATTCAGTTTAGATTTGTGTTTAACTTTTTTTGGTACATCAGAGAGAAGAAGAAAAAATTAAAAACGAAGGAGAACCGTCAAGTACGGGCTCTGATACCATGAAAGAATTGACGAAGACTGCCATTGTCCTCTGTGAATCGAAACAAATGAGCTCGTTCGATACATACTTTGGCTAGACTCAGCTCTATGTATACAAGCTAAACAAATTTAATTAAACTTAATACAACTGATTAGTCTAACTAATCGGAACAGTATTTGACAAACTCTATTGACCTTGAGGTGCTGCTGGCATGGCTAGGGCCTAGAGGAGCAATCTGATGCGGAGGCAAGTATACTATCAACAAGTACATCGTGGTTAGCCTCTTTCCGGTGAGCATGATCGAGTAAGGGGATCGGTGAGGATGGGTGGAGTAAGGGGCTCGGCTCGTGAGGTCTTGGTTAAGACCATTTTATCTCCTTCTGGTAAATCATGGATTCGATAAATTTCCCCAAGCATTACTTACTCTCATTCTTCTTCGAAGAACTCTAGTGACAATATGTTCATCACCATAGAAGAAGGAAAGGAAGCCACTAAGTGATGGGCAAGACCTTGCATCATATGCCTTTTTATAGTGTTCTCCGATCGTCGAATTTGGTTTATGTTTAGAAATGTAATTAAAACGGATCCACGGAGAAGATATTGTCTCTTGCGTTTTGCATCTGCAAAGATTTGAAATTTATTTTCATATCTGATTGTCATAATATCGATCATCTTGTAACTAGTTGACTTTGTGATACAACTAATTAAAGTTCAGCAGGTCTTGAGTTCGACTCGCTTGTTAGAAATTTAAACCAATCACAAGTCTTTTTATTCAAATGATTCAATGCAATGCTTATGAGAGTACAAAACATTTAACACAATATGCATTAAATTAAGCACAATGAAGCTTTTGGAATGAAATCATTAAGTGCTTGCAGAACGTGAATGTGAAGGTGAAGAAGAATCAGAAGTGAGCTCATCTAAAATAAACTTAGCACCATCTTCTCTATCACCCTTGTTCCAAATATTTTCGATCATCCGATGCACAACGCCGATCGTCGGGCGATCTTTAGGCAACGGAGTAACACAGAGCAACCCCACCTCCAAAAGAGCCCACATTTCGCCCTCCATCGCTCTATCCCCCAACAGCTCAAAATCCAACACTTCCCAAGTATTGCACTCTTTCTGCATCGCGGTCTTAACCCACTCCACCAAATTCGTCTCTCCTTCTTCCGCCGCCATCCTCCCCGTCAAAATCTCCAACAGAACCACCCCAAAGCTATAAACATCGCATTTCTGCGTGAACTTTCTCGGAGTTTTATTATTGGACACCATCAATTCAGGAGCTCTGTATGCACTTGTTGATGATGAAAACGGAGCAGGGAGGAGCTGCTGGAGGCCGACGTCGGCCAGGCAGGCGTTTCCGGTTCGATCCACCAATATGTTCGACGAAGTGAGGTTTCCGTGAAAGAGCTTGGATTTGCTGCAGCCGTGGAGGAAGGCCAGTCCCTCTGCAGACCCCGCAGCAAGCTTCAATCTTGCGGCCCAAGCAAGCGGCGTTCTTCCGGGTCCTCGGTTTCCATGCAGCGCGGAATGCAAGCTTCCCTCTTGGAATAAATCGTAGACCAAAAGCAGCTCATGGTTGGAATTGTGGTAGGCTCTGAGGGCGGCGATGTTGGGGTGCCTCAGCCCGCCAATCTGCCCCAAAAACCCATCGATTTCCTTCCCACCATTTCTCCTCTCCCTCACCCTCTTCACCACCACCTTGTGTCCGCCGTCCGTCACGACTTTGAAAGTGGTCCCCACGCTCCCCTTACCCAGCATCTCCGCCGATGCCTTCAGCAGATCCCCAACCTTGTCGGAGCCCCGGTACCCTTCAAATACAACCATGTCTTCGCTTTCTCTGGGCCCACCTACAGGCCCGTTCACATTAGACTGGGCCCACTGGGCCAATTGGACTCCAGTTGTACTTTTCTTCTTCGTTAACTCTCCGGGTCCGTATTGCTTGCTCACGAAACCGTGTTCGTTGGCTGTCTCGCTGTGGGTCCCGCGACTTTTGATGCGCCGATACCACGTGGCGGCCACTAGTATCACTAACAGCGTAGCAGCTGCGCCGACAATACTGATCGCGAGCAGCGCGGCGTTACTCAAAACGCTGTCGTGTCGGTTCCGGGATTGTATGGAAAAGTTAGCGGCCGTTGGATCGGAGCATTTGTACGGCAATGGGTTGCCGCAGAGATGCTCGTTTCCGGCGAACGACGTGGCGCCGAATTTGGACAGCCACGTTGGAATTTTGCCCGAGATGTTGTTGTGCGAAACATTGAAGTCCGAAATCGATGCAGAAATCGAGTCGGCGGAGGCGAGTTTGCCGGTGAACGAGTTGGACTCCAGGCGGAGAGTTAGCAAGTGAGGCAGCTGAGCCAACTCGGTCAGTGGGATTTCGCCGGATAATTGGTTGTGCGATAAGTCGAGCCGCCTGAGGTGGCGGAGGCGGGAGATTCCGGCTGGAAGGGCTCCGTCGAAGCGGTTGTGGGAGAGGTACAGGTGGTTGAGGTTGTGCCACGCGGAGAGGTTGAGGGAGGAGGAGAGGCGGTTGCGGTTGAGGTTGAGGAGCTTGAGGTGGGCGAGTTGGGTGAGTTGCTGAGCCGAACCGGTCAGGTTGAGGTTCTCCAGAACGATTCGGGTAACTTGGCGTTTCGCCGGATCGCAAGTGACGCCAAACCAAGAGCCGGAGCAGGGGTCGGAGGAGGCGACCCAGGAGGAGAGCGAATTGAAGGTGTCGGCGGAGGATTTGAATGCCAGCAGGGCGGTGGTTTCTGGGTTAGAGAGAGAAAGAGAGAAAAAGAGTGAGAAAAGGAAGGGTGAGAGAAAATGAAAATTCTTCTGCGTCTGCAACATTTTCCGTTTATTTTCCCTCAGATTCTGGAGAAAGTTGCGGAAGAAGAAATAAAAGAAAGGGAGAAACAGAAGAGGGGCATGTACAGTATTGGCAATTACCGCCAGTAACTAGCCGTTGAGACGGGATTAAAAAGACGTTGGGTAAACGATAAGTAGTTGACTCCCCTTGCCTTGTCGATTTGGCTTCCCTCAAAAGACTCTTCCAAAGTTCACCCAAAAAAGACTGTTCCAATACGAGCGTATTTATCTCAAGGCTCCCAAGGCTCCCAAGCAGTGGTAATATTCATTATCATATTTATCATCGTTGAATAAGTTTAAATTTTAACATTTGTATCTATTACATATATCTTAAAATATTATAGTTGGTTTATGGCACTCACAATCATACTCATGTTCTAACAGACTAACTATCAAACGAAGCGTTGTGTGAAATTGATGCACATGATAGTCCTATATTCTAATGCGAAACATCCAGATAACGTAATCAACACTGCTACACAAGTTTTTTCCTAACGTGTAAGTGGGGTAAAATATGTACAATAAATAGGGGTTAATTTGTGGGTGGTGTTTTTTGGTTTTGTTTTTGCAGTAACACGTTTATGGAGGTGGACTAGGACTATGAGCTGCAAGGGAGGCTGGTGGCCACTGCCAGTAAGTATTGAAGCGGACAACTTAATATGTTTCCATTTTCGTTATACTATAATTGTGTCTACTTATTACAACCATGAGTATGGGGGGATGTCTTTTGCATTACGAGTATTGTTGATTAAGGAATTACTTATGAGTATTATTCACTGATATGATTTCTACCTATAGATTGCGTGATTCCAAATCTTAAACACTTACTGTAGAATTGTTCGTTTACTCTTAACATATTTGTCGTATGATCTCGTAGATAGACTAATACGAGCCATATTTGGCATGTAAGTATCTTATCCACTTTAAAGGAAACAACCCTAACAGTATGTTTGGACGAGGGAAATAAATTTGGAATTTGGATAAAAATCAAAATATATAAATTGATATGCACCAATTCCCTTGTTTGGATTTATAACATAGAAATTTAGAATTTCCGCGTGGAAAAAAAACTTGGAATTTGGGGCCTCCAATTTACAAGTTTAAATTTCATGTAAATAGGTGTCATTTCCCAATTTCTATGATTGAGAGTTTAAAATTAACAAATTTTGTTTTCAATTCCATTGTTCTTTTAAGTTAACCAAACGAAAAAATTCACAAATTCTAGAAAATAAAATCCCATCATTTCAATTTCCGTCATTTTAAAATTCCTTAGTAATCTTAAATTTATTCATCCAAACATAGTGTAAGTCATTCTGATTCAATTGCTTTAAACGTAACATATATCGTTAATTAGACATAAAATTAACCACCATGCTAATACATTCTCGAATACAAATAATCGCTCATGTCTTAGATAATGTATTTACAATATAATCAAGGATAAATTACATAAAACTATCTCAACTATATGTCGAACCACAATCTCATATATCTTATATTTTAAACATTGCAATGTCATACCTTACCTTATGAATTCGTTGCAATGTCAGACCTCTGTTAAAATTTATATCAATTTTGCTGTTAAGCGATGACATGGCATGTGCGGTGTCCGCTCCTTTGCCAACTGAAATAAAAAATTAATTCAATATGATCTAAATTTTCTGTTATCCCTTTTAATAAGATCTAAATCCAAATCGCGGGAGTATGGACCCACCAGTATCAAATGCCCATGGGATCCTGTCCGGCCCAATTTGGCGTCTTTGTATTGGCGTGGCCCAGCCCCAGTAGCCGACAGTCAAAGAATTGTCAGTTTTTAAATATATTTTGGGGAAAGGGATTCTTATCGGATCCCTTCCTCCTAATCCATCAAGTTCGGAGATTCGAGTTGTTGAAATTTGATCAAACGGCTAAAGTTATTATAACTTTTAAAATAGACCTCTGTTTGTAGTCGTTGGATCAAATTTCAACGGTTCGGATTCACTTGATGGATTAGAGGAAGGCATCTTTCCATTTTTTGGAAGGGGAATATTTAATGGGTTGGCACTTTTAAGGCATCCTAATTATAAGGCAATCTCAGGAAATTTAATAGGGTTAGCACTCGCCCGGCCGCTACGGTTTGATCTTTTTCAGTAGACCCCACCATGATTGTAGTAATCACGTTTATACTTGCAGATCAAGTCTGTCTACTTACCAAAATGTAATCATATTATTATTCTTATTATTACCCACGAAATGAAAAAGCGTAGATTCTTCTCCCTTGGTGATCATATCTTGCTTCATGTCATATTCGGAAGGATCAGTCATGTATTTAGAGAGACAAACTTTCTCACATATGCTATTATTATTTTCGTTATTAACTCAAAGTCGAGCGAACAATGGAACTCTAGTACGCAACCTCGAATTGAAGCTTACCGTCTTTCCGCTCGTGTTCGTATTAGGTTTTTTTCTTACAAGACGATTTATTAGGTGTTTCTAAGCCTCGTGTCATCCGTAACCCAGATGTTTTGTTAAGGTGCCAAACGTAAAACGACGAAAAGCAGTGTGTTTAGTAAAAAGAAAAGGGAGACTAAGCCTAAAGAGTAAAAAAGCTTCTGACTGAAATTCCAACTGCCCCTGCAAACCCAGACCAACAAAGACACACCACAAACCATGTGCACCCGAATTTAATCCCATCTATTGTCTTTCGCCATCATGCCTTGCACACTTACAAGTCCCCCCAACAGGGCAATTACTTTATCATTTTATTTTTTTAATGTCCATTTCTTTTTTCTTTTCTTTTTTTGTTTCACTTATTTTACGTTTACATTGTGCTCTTTAATGTAACAAAAAGATAATTATCATTATGTGCTCTTGTAAGTGCAATTTATTCGTTATGTATATGTCATTTGATCAATTGCATACATGAGAGTGAATTAATCTGACTTTACATGCATGTAAAACTCAAAAAACATGAACGATCAGAATCTACTCGCGCCCGAGGGTGCTGCGGTCGCTTACCACTCCCTTCCCTGTGTTTATTTATTTGAAGGTAGAAGAGAAGGTGTGCATTAGATTTGCAGCACCAGAGCACGATGTGCCGTGTTAGTTTTTCTTCATTAAACAAAGACACATTTGCAGGTAAACAATAATATCTTTTTCACCAAAAGATGTAGCGCCCCTTAGATTGGACAAGGATTGTCTGCCCTCCTAGTTGTGGTGCCCTTCCATGTCCTTCTATTTTGTGCGGTCACGGTTAAGCCACGTCAATATTTTATATTTTTATTATTTTTTATCTTATTATCTCATTAAAAAATTAATATAAACTATTGACGTGGCTTAACCGTGATCGCATAAAATAAGAGGGCATGAAAGGGCACCACAACTAGGAGGGCAGACAATCCAAGTCCCCTTAGATTTGTAGCACCACAAAAGCCAGTGACACGGTGAGAGCGGCGTGAGCTTATTGAATGCCAAACCCTAACAACTAGGGTTTTATTATATAATAACTCCGGACCTCGAAACTCAGTTTTCAAGTGAAGGACTCAATCAAAACAGTTCAATACGGAAGTTCATCGTAATTAGTAAAGATAGCCACTAAATTCACCACCCCACTTTTTTCCATCGGATCACTAGAAATTTCTCCGGGTTTTGTGTTTTTCTTTTTGAGCGGTGCTGATCACATACTTATTTTTTAGTTCACTGAATATGTGGAGGTATAAAGAAGTGTGTAGATACTGATAGTACCACCCTTACTTTTTTCTACCTAAATGCACACACAATTTAGTATTTTACCCAATAAAAAGCAATTTTCCAGGTATTTTGTTCTCAACATTGTTTGATAGGATACACAAATACAGGCGAAGTGATTTCCGCACTCTTTCTTATTTTGCACTCATTTCTTTATTTGTAGCATTAGGATTCCAGATCAAAGAACATGAGAGAGGTACGAAGACGAACGAAGGCACCTAAACAAAACGAAGAGTGCACAAAGGAGAATCATTATATATTTTCGGTTCTGTTTTTCTTGGATGTACTTAACCAATTACGCCTAATTAGGAGAAATTTCAGAGTGTAACCGAGAGAAATTGTACAGTGTAACCGAGCTGTATACCAATGTTTTGCTTTAATTAGGGCATTCTAGTGATGCTCTGTTCATTGGCCTTCTCTGAAAACTATGCAGGGCAGGTGACGTATTACACTCGGCCAAGTGCCACCACAATTGGAAGACAAATTACACAGACAAATTAATCAACAGTAATAATAACGTCGCAGAAAATAGAAAGTAATATGAGAATTAATTGCCATAAAAAAAAAACAAATTCATCACTTACAATCACCAAAGTACATATATATATATATAAAAAAAGAGATGGATTCAAATTTAAACCCCCAAATTTGCACTTAAATCCTACTTAATTTTTCTTGTGATCACCATTTTTTTGATCATTATCCTCCTTCTCAAAAGTTTATAAATCCCCGCTCGAAAAACCAATGATTAAAGTAAAAAAATACGCAATTAAAATAATGAAAGGAAATTTAATTAAAAGGTCCATTTCCAGATCCTGATCCGAAGATCAACCTTGCACTTGGAGTTGGAAACGGCAGCCACCGACGGTGACTTACCTTTTGGTACAACCCCTTTGATTCCTTGACACGTAACCCTAATCCCCACCTTCTTGCTACTCAGCTTCCCCATCGACACCTTCACTTTGGTGTCCATCTCCAGCTTCAGCGCCACCCCTCTCTGCTTCTTCAGATCCGATCTCAGCGACTTCACCGACTCGACGTCGAGATCCTGCGACGTCGACAGGACGGAGCGGAAGAAGGTGCTGTTCTTCGTGCCGCTGGTGAACGCCGGGATCGACCCGTTTGCGATTTGGACGTCTCTGGTAGTGGAGAGGAACAGATTGAACGGCTGGTAGGAGAAGGTGAGGTGGTTGTTAGGGTTTTTGGAGGAGAGGGTGAGGTTGAAGAGCGTGGCGAGGTGCGAGGTGGAAAAGTCGGGGGTGGTGGTGAGGTTGAGCTTCGCAATGCGGACGGAGGTGAGGGTGAACTCGGGGCGGTGGGGGCGGTAGAGGATGTAGACCGCGGCGCCGGCTATTGCGGCGAGGAGTGCGAGGGCTATGAGGATAAGGAATGACCAGAAGCAGCAGCAACAGCATAAATTGCGGTTGCTCCGGCGGTGGCGGTGGTGTTGGTACTGGGGTTGCGGGCGGTAGGGTTGTCTGAGTTGGGGTTTGGTGCTTGGTGGGTTGGCTGCGGTACCCGTGGTTGTTGCGGCGGCGGCGCCGCCGTTGGTGGTGGGTTTGGAAGATGGGTAGACTCGGTCTGTCATGGTGAGAAATGGGTTGGATTTGGATTTGAGAGAGGTGGTCCTGGATTGTTGTGGACACTGTGAGGTTTTAGAGAGAGAAGAAGATGGTGGAGTGAGAAGGATGAGAACGGAAAGAAAATGGAGGACCCAAAAAAAGGTGGGGCCGGGGGGGGGGGTGGGGGATGCTTCCACCTCACACAATGTCAAGAGGGATGGATCTTTCATGTGAATTTATACGAGAGATTATCCTGCATCATTATACAAATAATGGAATATATATATTAAAAAATTAATAATTTAAAAAATAAAATTTTCATCATTTATATAAAAACATACGATACGATGTACCATTTACATTCTTATCATAATAAAAAAACTCTCGAATTTCTATGCCTGTAAATATTAGTAATCACTATTCACTAATCACTTCCACCAAGCTTACCAACTAAAGCCTCCAATATATTTTTTTTCCTTTTTCAAAAGGAGAACCAACTGGTTGAAGCCAGTCCGTAGTGGTTAAAGCCTCCAATAATTAATTTCCAAAAACAAATTAAGCTTACTAATTTGGATTGAGATGTGATCTAGTTTGAATGGTCCACATGTGATGGAGTGAATTGTGAGAAATGTGGGGTCCAGGTCCAAGTCCAAGTCCAAGTCCAAACCTTCTTTTAAATTTCCATTTTGCTGTTGGTTTCTATTTTTCCTTTATATTTTTTGAGGCCTTACTTCCTTAAAAATTTGACATAATGGCAATTGCTATATTTTCATTAACATACAACATACAACATACAACATACATAGGGTAGGTGGTAAGAAACCACAAAATCACGCTTTAATGAGCACCTAATATTTCTTACGCGCAGAATTGATTCGTAATCTGAAAGTAAGAAAAGAAAACAAATCTGAATATTTAATGGCGGATTATTAGCAACATTTACGTGTGGGATGATCATAACTATTCATGCTCATAAGATAGCTCTAGATGAAGCATTTGATTAAGCATCTCACGAAAGCAGAAGCTAAAGCAGCAACTTGAGAATCTTCAAACGCTAAAGTTTCATCTTTACTCATAAGTATGAACGACCGATGTCAACCTAAACACACACTAAAAAGCAGACGTGTGCATAAACAGAAAATTAATATATAGAAATTATGGTATTTCAACATTAAATTAGATTTTTTTTTTCTTGGTTGGTGAAAGATGAACCTTTATTTTGTTTTTGATATTGGGAAGTATATGAGACGGGGAAAGCAAGGCTCATTAAATTTAAAGCACCTCCACTTTAGGTAAGAGATTAACAATATTTTTAATCTAATCATGAGTTTGATGGTAATTAGTTAAGCAATCAGAGTCAGTGTGGCTCAGTGGTTGCATTCACTTGACTCCTAAGTCAGTCAATTAACAATGCTGCTGCTCTCGAGGTTGCAAGATCCTCTCATTTTTTTCATTAACAATCATTATCTCTTAATCTTTTTCTTAATATGAGTGTGGCAATAAACCTTGTGCCCACCAAACTTCCATGGTCAAGTTTCTTATAGCTTTTTGAACCCGGCTGTGTTTGCCGGTCGACAGGTTGTATCACCTCCCGAAAATCGAGATCTCGTTTCTAAAGCCGCCTTTATCTAAAAGAAGTTTTCGAGGTGACGTTTTTTAAACAATGCGGAATGAAAATGTAACGTTATTGAGTATGTAGTAGAGGGTCGATGGAAATTCAATATCAAGAGCCGTGTAATTCTTATTGATGATTAGAATCATCAAGATTCTCAATCTTTTTAAATACAAGCGATTTTACTACTTTAAATTATATTACAGAAGAGGAGGGAGGAGTTTGAACCCAAGACCATCCACCGCATGTGCAAGATTTCCATTTAAAAAATGGTTGAAGTGGGAAGTCGAAATTGACTTAACCGTAATTTTATTTTGATTAAGCAACAAAATGGTGGAAAGAAATGATAAAAATGCAGGTTAGGGCAGTTAACAAGGACATTATCTCAGCTCACTTGCTCTCTAGTCCAAATTTGTCCCGTAGGTTAGAGTTGATTAGAATATCGGTTTGTTTTGAGGTGTATAATCGTTCTCTTTCTCTTCAGTTTGGGCTTTGTCAAGGGAAGGAGAAGTTTCATGCTGATGGGTCCACCAACTTTGGATTTTTGGGTTGAAATGGGAATGTGTTTTGGGCTGCCTTCATCCAGTGCATAAACAATAATTATAAAATATGAAAAATAATACAGTTTCTCTAAAAACTAAATGTTCATATGAATGCTTCAACATGCAATTTGTATTTTGAGACAACGGCTCGGAGCAAAAGACATGGAGTACATAGAGCTAACAGAAGAGTTGACGCAAAACCGAGCGCAATGACGTTTTAGAATTCATGCAGCTAATCCTAATTAATGAGATGAGGCTTTGTTGTTGTTATTATATGAATGCTAGAACAATGATCACATGATAGAAAAATATGCATTTGTTCTTTGATGCACATGTATGCATATGACTAAGCACAATTGTCCAAAAGAACCATATTATACATGTGAAGGAATTTGTGCCATACATGTGCTACAAAGGTGATATCTGTAACTTCAATTATTCCCTCTGATACTTTACTAAAGAAAATAAACCCACATTATCAGCAATATAGAAGAGAAAACTCCAACTCGAACAAAATTCATGGTGTAATCTTCATTGGCCTGTCTATAATTAACCCAGACGACGAATATATCTACCCTGCAGATAATAACTGTACTAAATGCCGGGTTTATATCATTAGTAACCGGTAAGCTGTCGTCGCAGTGCAGTTACAAAAGAGGTTCTAACTCCTGTAATCAAGTGAGTCAAAGTCCGGCTAAACTACGCCCTCTTAACCTCTTTTGGTTTTCCCTATATTCTGGCGGCCGATGGGCGATCACCACGTCACAGCCACCAGGAGAGAAAAGTTCATTAAAGGGAAGAAGGAAGGGGAAGGCACATGATTGACTAATATCATTAATAGTTTGCATTCGGAGAATAAATTCATTCAACTGAAATTGATTAATCTAATTGCTCAATGGCAGAGACATGTTTTTACTGAAACTTGGGAGTACAACAGATCACACTTTACCTCTAATGACTCCGCATTTACAGAATTTTCGAGCATCTGCTGGGACGCTGCACAGACAATGACATCATCTCTGCCTTGCCTCTTTCATGAACATTCTTTAAAGGCGCCTATTCTGTTATCAAGCCCACTAATATGTAAGAGAAAGAAATGTGTTCCAGATCATACTATAACAAGAAATCAACACTTCAAAACAGGAACATTTGCCAAACAATTTAACCTTTCATTTCACGCAGATCATAATATAACGGGAAATTTCACTAAGATGCAAAAAACTAGAGTACCTTTGACATTTAATGTTTCTATTCATGAGCATGATACTGAGCAGAACAGGGACCATCACTAAACACAAATGCCCCAACGAGTGTCCACTGATAATGAAACGATTTGCATGGTAGATTTTGCCGTCGGCAACGGATTCAAATTTGGCGAGAAGGTAAACCCCTGTAAAGAATTGCTTTTATGCTTTGCAGATAGGAATGTTCATTGGTGGAATGCTTAAACGATATATTAAACGTCAAACTTTTACATTTGAAATCCAGACTATCCATTGTGAAAGTTACTTTTATATCTAGGTGGAAATTTTCCTTTACCAAGAAAAAATGGGGCAAAGAAAAATATTTCCCCCTGTATATGCTTGCTACGATATTCTACTTTCACAAAAGAAAAGGTTCAAAACGTAATAGTAAAAACCGTTGCTTTGTACTGTATTTAATTGTGCAGGAGGCGGTAAATAGACTAATTAACAATCATACTATTTTTACTCAAGAAATAAAGATTAATGAACATGGCCTACCAGCGGCCCAAAGCCAATATCTTGAGTGAGTATATTTAGGTGGGAACACAAATGACATTGCTGGAATTGCCATACATGGAATCAACTGGAACATCATGGACAACCTGATATCATTATACGTTCTGCAAAGAAACTCATCCATATATCCACTATAAGAGTTTAGCACAAGAACATAGAGGGGAAAACACAAAACTTGAAGCACAACACTAACCTGTCATATGCAATGCTAAGAAAAGCAATGAAAAGGAGTGCAAACAGACAGCTCAAACCGATCCGCTCTCCTACTCTCTCCACTATAAAACTAGAGAAAAGAGAGGAGTATGCAATCATCATCTGCAATTCAGAATCTATCTTCAACAATTAAAATAAACAAAGTGAAACAGATTGTGCATGACTAGGATCCAGACACTTTGTTAATGACAAAATCATGGACCTTAATAATTGATTTTACTTTCCTTCCTTCACGGTCTTTCACGAAAGGGGTCAATGGCGCAACACAGGTTCAAGATTAAGGACAACATACGCTACTTTCGACATTCATGGACAAACCTTCAACTCGGGGTACATTTCAGGGACCAATGTAACAAACTTACAATTAAGTCATCAAAATAAAAACTTACGTTTACTGAAACTCTCAATCGTTTCAACAAACAAATAACCAGGGCAAATGTCACTAATTAATGGCTAAAACCGAGAGCTCTTGAGAAGGATTGAATTACTAACCGGCAAGGTGTCCCAAGTTACTCTACTATCATCAGGCTTCAAATGATAATAAGCAGACCCAAATGCCAGCCCTGCCATTCCAGCATAGAATAGTGCCCAACCCCAAACCTCACCCGGCAAACTAAAACCAGTTTCCAAACAACACCAACGAAAAAGTCAAAACTCCATTGAAATCAATGCAACAAACAAAATCAGTGCATGAAGTACTATATAATCCAGAGAGTGCAAAAAACCTGATGTTAAAAAGCCCCCCTTGCACGCAGAGCACAAAACCCAGAACGCCAACAACCAAAAATGGGAAATTTGTGATCACATTCAAGGTACTGGGCACTCCTGTGAAAAACCCAGATCATAAAATCAATCAAAACATAAATTTCAGTAAGACAACGAGAGAACGATAAGAAATTTTACCCACAAAATTGCGCATGTCAGCGTAGAGATGGTGTTTGGGAGAGTGAGAAATCTTGGGAGTGACCAGCATTAACAAAACCCAACACAGAAGCGCCCCTCCCCATATCCGCCGTCTCTTCCCTCTGATTGCAAGCTGCTGAGTTGCCATCCACACCATCCCTCTCTCTCTCTCTCTAAAGTTCACTCACTCACTGCCTGGTGGGCGGTGGTGGTGTAAAAAAGCCCCTTTTGAAATGGAATCGTGTTTTTTTTTTTTTTGTCAAAGTTGAAATGGAATCGTTGGGTCGTTTGTTCTGTTTATCTTGTTGTGGTTTGGCTATAAAGGTCAGACGTGTCAGGATCGTAAATACACCCACGCGGTACAGATGTTGGTAATCAATGGTGTATGATTGACTGTGATATAGCAATAAATGACAGTCATGTACAAATCAAACGCAGTCGCGCTTCTTTACTTCGGGGCCCGTTTGTTTTACTTTTCCCCTGTCAAATCCAAGTTTTAATTGCTTTTTTAAAGAAGAATTTTGGTCTGTCTACAATGATATCCACACATCATTTTTTACTCCTCACACAGCACTTATTGATTTATATTATTTGATCTTCTTCAATTCATTCAATCCAACCGCCGAAAATTAAGAGAGTGTGTAAGAAGTAAAAAATGGTGTGTGGATAGCACACCCCTAGAACAAAAGGAAAACTAATGAAAAATGTTTGAAAACTTTGAATTTTAACGATAAAAAACAAAATAAAGGGTAAAGTGAATAGTATCATGATTGGTTTTTTAGTGTAAAAATATAGTTTTTCATTAAAATGAACAGTATCAGAAACGTTTTGTTAAAGTTCTCTAAAACAAAAGGTCATTTGGGATGAGTAACAATATGGCATATGATTTTAAAAATTGGCCAAATCTTGTTGGTAAATCTTACAATGCCCCTCCTTTGTTGAGAGAAATTTTGGTATGATTGACTGTTAAAATAGTTTTCACTAAGATTCGGTCATAAAATACAAAAGTCACATCCTTTTACTAGAGACGCATCATAATTCTTACATATTAAAACTATACAGTACCAGACACAAGATAAATTTTTCAAAAAATAAGGTTTTTTTTATTGAATAAGCCAATTCATTTGGAACCCTACAGATCCACTCTTTTTTCCTATTCAAATATCAGCTTGTGTTTTCACATCGAGAATTCTTTGTGGATAAAGAGATATAGTCAAAGTGTTTCTACGTAAGTCTATTTTCGTTTTGACTATATTGAACTATCAAGTTAATAGATTGTTTGTTTGCAAAAATACCGTGTCAGTATTCAAGTGCTGCGATAAACAGAAGAACCAGCCCTAGCTGTTGATCCCTAACTTTGGCTTGGGGTCGGTGGCAATGTCATTTCCTCTTCCCTCTTCTCGCTCCCCTCTCTTCAGCTGGTTCCCAATCCCCTCTTGGGTGGTTGCTTCCTGAGTTGTATCTTAACTTTCCTGAGCTCTATCCCAGATTGAATATAATATCTTCTTTTCTATTTTAAATTTTGTTTTGTTATTAGCAATCCAAACTCGACTTGTTCATTTTTAAAGTCATTTTTTCTTCTTACTCAACTGTCCACCATTGAGTTTTATTATTTAGCAAGTGAATATTTGTTTTTTAAATTCAGAGAGTAATTGTTCATTTTGTTATGAATAAAATCTTTGACAACATTTTTTTTAACTGTTTAAAATAGAAATTTTCTTCAATGGTCTGGTGTCTAGACTACTGAATAGCACAAAAAATAAAATGTCGTTATTCAGTTGATGAAATTTTTTTTTTCTTTTCACTACGGATTTAATAGATAAAATTTTTAAATACTTAATAATTCGGACCACTAAAATGAACCGTGTTTTTCACAGAGGACTTAAAAAGTCCACACGAGGACTAAGTTACGGTTGAAATGCATCCGCCAGAATCCTTTGTTTTCTAGTTTGCAACGAGGACATACGCTAGGGTGGAAGTGCACACAAGAAAACACAACCCTTTGTTTCCATATGCGTAGCACGAGAACAAGACAAAGCATAAAAAGCAACACCAATTTACCTTTCAATCCCCTCACCTCACCGTGTTACGAACATTGAACGGTCCACGTTAATCCATTTTTCCTAGTGGACATGATGTTTATTCAACGTAAAACGTGCATTTGTCAAACCCTATCAAATAATATCCCCTTTGGATTATCCCTAAACCGTTCTCATCTGTAGATATTTATTTCTGAGAGAGGTTTCTAGCGTCCAAGAAAAACATATCTTCAGTGACACGCTCAAGTTAGATGTATATATATTTTCAACGACAGATAAATATCCAAATGATTATGTTTAAGATCATGATAATCATGTAACGCTGTGTGCAAAATTTAAAATGAATATCTTCATATGATTTGCTTTGGTAATTATGTTTGACATTATGTGGTGTGGGAAGATGCATGCTTCTGGAAGCGTTATGTCATTTTCCATACAACACATTTATACTGCAGTGATAAATTGAATCCGACACCGCCATCAGACTGACTCGCGGCAGAAACTTATCATTTTCAATGAAGAGGCAATCAATCAGGCGGCAATGCATATAATATTCCCACAGCTTTTGCTTAATCGGAAAAATACCACGCCCTTGTTTCACACAAGGTAGCAACTTATAATTAAGTTTCAGAAATGCTTTTAACTAAAAGAAAACGAATGGAAATGATTTGAAAATTTTGAGTTTTATCGATGAAGATAAAATAAAGGATAAAATGAATAGTACAATGATTGACTTTCTAGTGTAAAAATACGGTTTTTCGTTAAAATGAACAGTACCAGAAGCTTTTCGTTAAAGTTACCTAAAAAATAATTGAAAGCATTTTTACAAGATTAATTATGCTTTTTTTTTATTAGAAAATACTTCAAGCATTTTTTCTAAATTTACGAATATTTTATTAAGAATTAGTTTCGAAAAATATTTTTACCTAAATATTTTCACTTATTTTAAAAAGGCTTCCAAACAAACTATCAACTTCCAGGTAAATAAAATATTTACTTTTTTATATTAATTTTTAATTTTATGGTTTTGATTAAGTATTTAAACAATTTGGTTATTCAATTAATAATTAATCATCAAGTTGAGCATCTTAGTAGACCTCGATAAAAACCACTTGCAAAAGTTGTTTGAGTTTGTGTAAGACTCAAGGGCATCTATGTGTTCCAAATTACAATTATTCAATTATTGTATTGAGCTACAAGATCTACTTGTGACATTGCTTTGCTTCCACAACAATTATAGCATCATCATCCTCCTTTTATTTTGTTTAATTTCCAATTATCAAATTCCTCACAATCCCCCCAATGTCAAACTATTAAACTTTACACTGTAGTGGTAGATATTTAACGAGAAGAGGTCTCGAGTTCGATCATACAAATTTGAAAACGATATACATTTATAATGAATTCAATACACAGTTATTGTTGACCATGAGTTCGTTATTAGTTTAACGCATGTTGAATAGTAATCTAGTGATTAACAATAGAGATTAACAGTAAAAATGGAGATGAGAAAGGATAATTTGGGGATTAGATCCCATCCGGATCCACTTTGTGGAGATCCTAGGGATTACCACATTTTAACCATTTATCATGTATCGTGCGGTCATAAATTACTTGACTTTTTTTTATTTAAAATTAAACACAAATAGCATCTGACGAAAATTGATCGCACGATATACGATAAACGGTTAGGATGTGGAAATCCCTAAGATCCTGATAAAATGACTCCGTAGAAGATCCTCTTCCGCTAATTTGGACCTATTGTCGCTAAAAGTGATTAAGTGAAGATTAAAAAGTTTTTACCCTCTAATGTGGGCCCTCCCTTTGATGACTCGCATTCAAAACGTGAATACAAAACCTTGATAATATGAGGACCAGAACCGAAGGACTGAAAAGAGATTTAATATACGAAGTTTTAACGAAAAGTTTGCGGTATTGTTCACTTTAATGAAAAATTATATTTTTACACTAAAAAGTTAATCATGGTACTATTCACTTTACCTTGAAAAATCATATTTTTACACTAAAAAGTCAATTATGGTACTATTCACTTTACCTTTTATTTTATCCTTATCGTTAAAACTCAAAGTTTTCAAGCTATTTTAATTAGTTTTCCTTTTAATATAAGGTACATATCATTAAAGGATTTAACTTTGCTGTTGCTTACACCTAATTCAGGCTGAACACGTGTTCAAATTTTGATTTAAAAAATTAAAATTTAAACATGTGTCCAGCCAAAATTAAGTGTAAGCAGCAACTGCTGCTGAATTTGCAACAGCCAAGTCCAGTTCGTCATTAAAATCCTCAATTTGGTAGCAAACTCCGGCAAATTATACATCCACATATTATCTTAATTTTGGAAAAACCAAGACGAGGATATGTATTGCATAGTACCAAACGAAACGCAATCCCCCCCACGTGCAGCACAACCAAGCACCTAAATTTGCGGATATAAGCACAAAGGACGAAAGCCATATTAAACTAAAGAGAAATCCAGCTTGAGAATACTTTTAATTAATTGAGTTATAAATTTTTTAAGTATTTCAATATAAGATAATAAAGTCTTTCTCTGTTATTTTATTTATGGATTACGTTCGAGTTAAACCAGTTAGCCATTAGTTTAAGAGTGCTATATTTACTATTATTTGTGTTATTTTTTAATAGAGGCAAATATCTACCAACACATGAGTAATATTTTTGCTAGTTTAATGGTGTTTGTCCCCACATTGTTGAAGGCTGTCTCAAGTTAGCAAAGATGATATATATTTACGATGAGTTTGATACGTAATTATGGATAGTCTCGTTACAATTGTGTCGCCTTATTGTAGCACTGCTTGTACCATTTTAAAAGTGTGAGTAAATATCTTATCGTATGTAAAAAGAGAAGTGAATGAAGTGTAATAAAATTATCAAAACTAATTTCATGACACAATCTGGTAAGGGAAAGATGATTAACACAAAGCTTCGTGTGACGTTCTTAACAACTCGAGCAACATACTCCATGCGACAATCAGAACCGTTTAGGTTATAAATTGTTTTTTATAGTCAATACCATACCAAATGCCAGCTACCACTCCTTCCACCACACCCCAAAACCCACATGGGCTACATCGAAGTGGAAGGTTAGAAAACTAACCAGATATTTTCAACCAATTTTTTTCTTTAATAACGCCAAATTAATCAACAGTCTGGAAAATGAACAAAGATTAATCATTGTGTTTAAAAATCAAACGGTTGAAGATTGTT